CACAGGAAGGAGAAAGCAGCGGGAAAAGCCAAAGGTTGGATGAGCAGCCCTGTCTCTTTACTGAGTAAATGGTTTAGGTGGGCTTCCTGGAGCATGGCTAAATTGGACACAATACTTGAGAATATTTCTAGGAACTTTTTCTATGTCTTGCATGTGTATACCAATTGTCCAGATCTTGAGAATATTGCAGGAGTCCATTTAGAGCTGTTTTGGAACCAAGCAAGAAATATTATTCATAGAGTTGTTTGCTAAGGTCCTTCTCTAGAACAGTGTGTCATCTGTTACAGCATCTGCCAATCCATGTGTTGCAAATAAATGGTGGAGAGCTATGATTGTTGGAACACATGTTGGTGAGTATTTCAAGTCATTTTGACTAGAAGTCTTCCACAATTTCACTTGGGGTGGATCTACACACAGGTGGGGGGGGGGGGAACCACTATAAATAAGTCAGAAATTAAATCGTTATAGCAAAAGGGGGGGAAAGTGATGTAAAATAGCAAAGAATTATTTTTGTTCTCCATCGCCATCTGGTGTTGTATATTTATAATGCACTCAAGGTGCTGGTTTTTTTTTTTTTACTAATGTAGCTGAGTCCTTGGTCTGAAAGAATGATGTGTTGCCCGTACTTTGAGATGAGTAGTGCTTTTTTCCATAAAAAATGTTCAGGGGTACTCTCATTTTCACTCAGGAAAATCACAATTTTATAGTGCAAATTGAGAAAAATGCAGTAAATGGACAAAAGTACAAGATTCACAAAATGTTTAGGGGTATGCGTACCCCTGTGTCCCTCCTAGAGAAAAAAACACTAGAGATGAGGAAATTGTGATGCACGTAGTGCATAATATGCACTAACCCTCTTTTGTGTTTTATGACACTGAACAATCACTTTAAAAGCTTCATTCATAAACAAATTTATTAAGAGGGTAAGTCTTCATGAATACAGTTTGATTTACTTCAGGTAAACATTCAGAGGACTCTGCTGCTTGTTGCTTTCTCACCTTTGGCCCCTGAAGTTAGGTAATTGGAGTGACAAAGTCTGACTCCAGAGGAACTCATCTGACCCCAAGCCCCAAGGATGATAAACTTTGCAAGGGGCCCAAAACTTTGACCTGATTGGATTTGAACAAGTGGTTCAGTGGAAGAACTTATTTGAACTTCAATATAAAATTGCCTCACAACCATTTTAGGTGGAGAAAGCACTCGATTCCTACTGAATGGCAATGATTAATCAGAATTCAAGGCCATGCCAGCCTATAGGAAAAAAGCTGCACCTTCATACTCCATGCCAGTTCTGCATACTGCATACTGTTTGATAAGAGACAAGTTTGATAAGAGACAAGTGCACCCAGAATGTACCGGTATTCTTTGCATTCTTTGACACACATACTCTATAGTTCACACAGCAAACACGATCACATGAAAAAGCACAGATTCCCTCATTTGCAGCTTATAAGAATACGTTAATAAAAATGGTTCTTTGTACTCTTCCAAGAGTTTAGCAACACACACATTCATTGAATCTCACACTTTAGCCAGACTCTGGTATTTATAAACTGCCATAATATGATTTACTACAGGTTACGCTATCCTCTGCTTCTTTGAAGTCTTTAGAGTACGGATGAGTAAACTTATCTCTTTTGTTTCCTCTCACTTTCTCACATTTCCACTGTTCTTTTTGGTTCACCATATTTCTGCACCAGTCTGTGCTTTTTAGAAGAAAAAAGTTCATGAAAATTTTTAGTGTCAGCATTTTAGTGTGCATTTCTCTTGATATACAAATTTATAGACAAACATGTTTAATACACACACACACACACACACACACACACACACACACACACAATGGTTTTTCTTAATATAACACTTTCTGTAGGATATTTGGCTAAAATAAGCATTATATCATATTATTTGTATAATAAACATGGTCCCTTTCCATTGGAAAGCTGTTTTGCATAATTTGGATGTGTGTGAATTTTGATGGATGAACTGTAGCTGTATTTCTGTTCACATACTGGTTCAGGAAGTTGAAAATTGGTTGACACATTAAACCATGTGTAAATACATGTGTACACACACACAGCCCAGGAGTTACACTCCTAGCCAGCTGAACCCCAGAACCAAACTCTTCCCTCTGCCCTCTAATTCTCTCTATTGCTTTTTCTCTTGATGTCCAAATTGCTGACTCCACCCACCTCTGCCTAGCTGTGCCCACAGCCCGGGACACTGAGTATATGGGGTGGAGGGGGCTTCAGCCCCCTCAATATTTGGGGGCATACGGCTCAGACCCACTTGAAGAGGAGATGCGCGTGGTGCAGCCCAGTTGAGGAGAGTGGCAGTCTTGACAGCTCCTTCATATGCTGGAGTCAGGTTCCGATGGGAGCTTGTTGGGGGGGCCCGGTCACCCCCACCAGAAAGTGTGTCTGGTGGATAGTGGACTGAGTGGGTCTGGCTGGGCTGGGTGTGTGTGTGTGTCATGCATGTGACATCATGAATACGTGATGCACTCCCCCAATGTTTGGCGCAACTTGGCGCACCTGCCCACAGCCTATGAGAAGGAGGTTACAGCTCAGTACTCTGGGGGAATTCTGCGGCATTGCATACTCTGGTCTTTCTGAGCTTTCCATCAGAGATGACTTGTAAGGGCACTAAAACATATATCAGTCCAACATATTTGGGGTGGAGAGTACAGCATAAAATATTTGGGAGAGTAAGACATAAAGGTTGCTACTTTTCTTAGATAGATTTCTAAAACAATCCATGCTAATTATTTAGTAAGTTTTATTAAAACAAATAGGGATTATTTTGGAGTTAAAGATGGTGTTATTGGGGTGTAAGTCAGTGCAGGCATGTGTGTACAAATAGACATCCATTGGTGAATCTCAGGTCTCTCTTACCATTTGAGCCCATTTTCTACTAGTGGACCTGAGCAGACGTAATACTGCTTTTATTTCTTAAACGGACGAAGACCACTATTGATATTGGCTGTTGCTTGTGTAAAGAAACAAGTTCTCCCCCTGTTGTTCTTTACATTATCTGCCTCTATGCACCTGTGTTACCTTTCTTTTCTTGCATAACATGCCAGGAATGATTTACTAAGGAGGAGCCATCGGCTTAATCCAACCCTTATTATCTAACAGAACTCTATAAAGCAATCTCCTACAGAGCTCTGAAGTTGAGCCTTGAAAAGCTGAAATACTCCAAGCTGCAAAAGAGATCGCTCTCTCCCTCTCTCTCCCACACTTTTTGACTCTAAAAACAAAAGGTAGGTAAGTTTTCTTGTAATTTAAACTTTCCAGGGAAAAGCAGGACTACTAAATGACAAACAACTAATCTACTCTTTCATGCATGAGTCCCGAGGGGCAACAAGATGCATGAAAACTCTTGTCACAGTTCATATTCTTTTCTGGTGTCACACAGAGTGCACCACTTGTGCTACCAGAGATTAAAAGTTTTTTTAAGGGGACTGAATGTGAACTCCAATTGTGCAAGCAGAACCCTGCTCATTTACGGTATATATTGGAAAATCAACCCGAGTATTTTACTTGTTACTATTTTGTATATATAATGTTTTCCACCAAAAGATTGTTGCATTTCTTAGCTATGACACACAAGACTTATATAGAGAATTAAAGTGATTTTCAGGCTTCTTGGCACTTTATTTCTTTATCAATTATAAGCAACTGACTATTGTTATTTCTTTTATTTACTTTATAAGCCATCCTTTCATCTAGAATATCACAAGGTGCTATATCTCGATTTGGTGCATCATATTATATATTATGAACTGAAATGTTCCAACAGGTATAAAAGACAAGCAACACACTGGCGACAACTTTGGTTTCCTCAGCACCCAACCCAATGGAGCCTTGAACTTTCTCCCATAACAACTCCCCGGCTCCTTATACCATGCACTGAGCCCACACTTACAAGTGCCTTCCTTGTCAGACGCTATGTGAGAGGAGAGAAATTGGCGCAGGGAGGAGACAAAAAAAGAAAGGGCTATTTTGGCAGTGGTTGTCTCAGTACTGGAACGCCTGCCCAATAGGGCCCATTGTATGTGTAGCCAACTCTCTGTATTATCATAGATGAAGCTGAGGGCAGCATTCCCTCCATGGAACGTCCTTGGCACCACATTTCAGCAGCAGTTTCAGTCAGAGCTGGCAATGGAAGCCAGATGGGCATTGAGCAATATCTTTCTCTTTACCACCCTGTCTCTCTTTCCCCTCTTCGACATCCATTCAACCTCAAACATACACAGAGCAATGTGTCCACTTCATCCAGCATCCACTCATTTTGCAAACACACATGCATGCGCTGTCTGTCGTCGAGAGAGTAGAACAGAAACAATCTCTCCTATGACCCCAGGAACAGTCAGAGGCTAACACTGAAAGGAAAACTGGTTTTGCCCCAGGCAGGCAAGAAAATATGTCATCCCAATTTCTTGAAGCGGATCAAGAACTCAGGAGGAATTGGCAAGAGTTCCCAACAGACTTCAGTCTTTCATTTCCCCTGGATCCATTTACAGGGAGCAGTTTTTTGCTTCCTTCCCACCTCCCCTGAGTACAAGAATGAGTGTCAGGATGGCAGCACTGACCAAACTATGATGCCAGGCAGCATAAGGTGAGGCCAAGGGTTGCTATTTTGCATGCTGCACACATGCACTTGAGAAATAACTGTGTCAGGGTGAAAGAGAAAAGCTTTATTGTGCAGGGGAAAGCCAGCTTTGAGTTGAAAGCAGCACCATTAACAAAAACAAAAACAGACATAAAGTAGGAGGAAAAGAATGCTTTGTTGCCTCAGTGATGAGCCAAGTCTCTGTTCTAAGGTTTAAATGATGGACCTTTATGTTGCTCACCTGTGATGGAAGAGAAGCATGGGATTCTGCTATGAGATCTGCAAAAAGAGCAGGATTTGACAAAATGACACCTCTATTTCTTTGTGATTTCCCGTTGTTGCATAATAGAGGTAACTGTTCTCTTCTCTTTATTCTTATACAGGCAATGGAACCAGATGAAAAATATGCTTTCAAATACAAAGGATTTTATTTCCAGCCAGATTTGGTTTCAGTGGAGTACTTGGATACCCTGGAGGATTTTGAAATAAGAGACAGTGATGTATTTTTAGTCACTTATCCAAAGTCAGGTAAGAGTGCATTTTCATAGGACGAACTATGATTGCTATTCAACCATGATGGATACCCACATATATGTAAATAGTATCCATATTATACTAAGGCGAGTTTAAAACCAAATGCAAAATTGAGGTGAATATGGGTAGTGTAGAACTTACCTGGTTGCATAAAGAAGAACCGGGTCATGTTTGTTTGTTTTTTAAAAATAGGAAATAATGTGTTTTCCACCGGTGTCAACCTGTTTGAGGTTTTGAAAACAACATAAATACACATCAAAAACATTCAAATGTGCTTGCGAAGGGTTTATTGTATTTACTGACTTTCAGGATTTTGTATGTGGCTGTAAAATAGTGTTTGTAAAATTCTATTCTTAAAAAGCTTTCATCCCATGACTCTTTATTTCAGCATTTATCTGCCACAACTTTGCCAGTATCAGGGGGGGGGGGGCATATCCAATGCAGTTGTGCCCTACATGCAATAACTCCCACTTCCACACCAGAACCTCCTTCACTCTTCTCTCTCCTTGTGTTCCCAGTGTTCCCCAAATCTGCCTTGGAGGATTGGTGGGGTAGGGAAGACCCAATAACTGGGAGTGGGAGAGGAGAGAGAGGGGAGATTCTGCATTGTACAGGCATTTAGGACTTGGGTGACATGAAGAAAGGCTTCTGCAACTGCCTTTTGCCTATTATGTTTGTTTCACTGGCCATTTGTCAATATTCCTGTTCCTAGAATGCATTGATAAAAAATCATGGTTTGAATCCACTGAATCAAAGTACTTTGGAGAACAGACAACTTTCTTTTAATTTCCTGGTCTTTGACTGTCATTTGTATAATGTTCTGAGAAGAATCTGGAATAGCGTTTTTGGTAGCTTGCTAAAAAAGAAAAGAACTTATTAGCAAATATTGTTCTGTCTTACGAATTCCTCGATGCAGAGACATGTTGTTCTCAGTTATTTCACTCTGCAAAGTACTAACTACATTCATGACAATGAATGAATGAAATAGGCTTATTCTTGTTTATAGGAACAATATGGACTCAAAATATTTTGAGCTTGATTTATCATGAAGGTCACCGAGATGGAACTGAAAAAGTGGATTTACTAGACAGAGTTCCATGGCTGGAGTACAAGCTCCGCGATGTGGATTACATCAGTCGTCCATCACCTCGCCTCTTTGCTTCCCATGTCCCCTACTATTTAGCACCCAAGGGATTAAGGAACAGAAGAGCAAAAGTAGGAAATGGCACATTTATTATTTGATCAAATTAAACGTTTGTCTTGTCTTATTTAAATTAACATCTGGGTTTCTGTTAACATTTCTCCGTTTCTGAGAGGGCACTCCTGCAGACACCTAATGCGTGCCACATGAACTTCTCTCCCTACGACTGGAAGCGGGCTTATTACAGCATCAAAAAGGGAAGTGTGGCCAAGAACCCATGCAGCACTTGGCTAAGACTTAGAATAGACTCCGGTTGGACTACTTCTTCTGAGGCTTCTTGACAAATGCCAGTCTAGTTGGCTGAAGGCATTCTCAGATAACTTGGCCACATATGAAGTCTCTCCCAGAGTATTTATTAAGTTCAGAAAGGGGAAGGGCCAAGAATCTAATTAAAGAAGCATAAGCTCAGGACATTGGAAGCCCAAAATGACTTTAGTCAACTTCCGATAACTTATAAACTCCCATTCGACTCCCAAAGCCCCCATTTAGCAAACTATCTCAAAGTTCTACATAATGCTAAACACCGATGGGCATTTACCAGGGCCCGCTTTAACGCTCTCCCTTCAGCTCTTCTAGAGGGAAGATACAACAAAATACCGATCGAACAAAGATTATGTCTCTGTAACAGCAACGAAATTGAAACCCTCGGGCATGTTGTTCAAAATAAATTGCTTCTATACCATTTAAGAAAGTCTGACTGAAGTCCATCATTTCAATCATTTTTTTCAAGAGACATTATCAAATGCCTTCTCTGCATCAACAAACATCAGTGCCGCCTGTCTTTCATCCATGACCTCTAGATACTCAATCACATCTATTATATTTCTTATGTTATTTTTCATCTGTCAGCCAGGTAGAAAACCAGCTTGATCCTGACAGCAACGGAGTTCAAATTGCAAACATCGAAGGAACGATAATAAACAGTAGTGACATTTGAATTGAATCCTTAAAACCTTAAAAGTCGAAACTTGGTCATAAACATAAGTACCAATTTTGTGATTTGGCCATATCTCCACTGTTATCTGTAGTACAATAGTACTTATATTGCCATATTTTATTTATAAATTGCTTTCTGGTCATTGACCGTATTAAAGATATTTGATATTGTTATATCCTTCAGGTCATCTATTATTTTTCTATCAACTTCAAGCTTGAATATAACATTAATTTCTTGTTTTCTCTTTAACTGCCATGATAATTATTTCCCTGGTTTATTTGCAAATTCAAAATTCATTTATCTTAATTTTTTTATTTTCCATTCTATTTCTTGGTACACTAGCATAGAAAATTGTGTTTTTAATCTCTTTATATTTTGTTTTATTTCTTCTTTCTTAGGATCTTTTTTCTTCACATCTTTTTCTTCACATCTCTCACCTTCTTTTGATAACCTCCATCTTCTTGTTGGATTTTGTTCACCTCTTAATTCCAAATAAACCGGGTTATTGTCTGAAAAAGTCATTGGTTTTATTTCTGTCCATTTTGATTTTGGCACTAAGTCATCTGAGATCCAAATTAAGTCAATTCTTCTGGCAGATTGAGAACGGTCTGAAATGTGAATGTATTCTCTATCATATACATGTTTGAGTAGTAATGAACCTTATCAGTTCCTTGACAAGTTCACAGATCCCTTTCATCTTTCTGTTCAGCTGGAGATAACTACGAAGTCGTACTTCCAATTAAATTAAATTAAATTCCAAGTCCTTTTAGCATTTTCCAGTTCAGCCCATAAATAATAAAGGATATGGAAAAGACAGCTCTAAGTTTCCATCGTAAATCTTTTGCAAAACAGAGCTTCCCTCTCTCTTTCCATTTTTCTTCTTCACACACAGTTCCATTTAATTTTGTATTCCATATCAACAATCCAGTGTCCTCCTTCCTCACTTGCACATATATAAATTGGACTAGCATTCAAGGGAGGGTTGCCATATCATAAATGTAAAGAAATAAAAAACTTTGTATAAAGAAGACGTAGGCTCCTCCCCACTGTCTTTTGCACCGAATGAAGTCTTCTCTCAAGTTCAAACCTTGATGACCTTGCAATTGATTCCGTTCTGCAGTTTGTAATCTCATCTCATCTCTTCTAGCACATGCCTATACATTAGTCCAAATTAAGCTCTCATTAACAGGAGAACCTCTGCTTCTTAATGGCGTTATAGAAGGATTATCAGCAGGTGAAGTGCTTTTGCACCCAACAAATCCCTGCCTCTAGCATTCCATGCAGGAGCGGGAGTCAGGTACCGAGACGAACTGCGAGTGAAGCCTGGGGAATATGCAAGGATAATAACCCTCAATCATCATTGTTTTTCCCTCTGCAATGATCTCCCGCTCTCTTGAGAGCTGCTTCAAGGCAGACAGGATCCGGAAGCTTAAAATGAATCTCTTTTGTCCCTTCATCCTTATCTCCTTTGACAACAGATTAAAGAAATTCTCTGTGTGGTAAGGAACGTTTTCAGAATGCCATGTCTGATGCCATAGGTTACTCTGAGGAAATTCCACATCCATCACAAAGAGTCTCCAACTCAGACTCCAACTACACCATTTTATGCCACTGATGAATGGTGCCCATTGAAGCAGAAGGAAGGGTGTAGATCTGGCCAACTCCCAAAGGAAATCAGTTGGATTTATATTCTCTTTGCATCAGGATGCAGCAGCTACAAATCATTACAAGGTGGAGCCCCTAATCCTTAATCAAGTGTAGAGATTCGTGTCAAGTTATAACTCAGAAAACCAGACCATGTCTCCTAAATGTTGCAAGTATTAACTGCCACACCATATAAGGAAACTGGCCGTGTGGGAAGGGAGGGAGCTGGAGGAAGGCTGGACTGATCTCAGCCCACCCATCACTCTCTCATCACATTGGGATGGGAAGCACTGCAGGCAGCCTTAAAATGCAGAACTCTTCTGCAAATTCCTTCTCTGAGAAAGTGTTTGGTGAGGGTGGATGGTATTAATTCAGCTTCTCTTTAATGGTTTGTACCACTGCTGGTTCTTAAATTGATTCCTCTAAATTGTTTTAATGGAATTTATATGTTTGTACTGCTTTTCTCTGAATGTTTTTCAAAAAAATCACCTGATCTACATTTTATGCCAAATCAATCTTTCCCATCAGTACTTGCAAGTTTATGGCTGGACCATGTGGAAGGCTGGTACACTCACAAGGATGACTTCAATATTCTATTTCTTACCTATGAAGAAATGAAGAAGGTAAGTTATCAAAATGCTATCCAGTCTGATATTAAGCATCCTTCAAAACTCTCCTTTACAAAATGGAGGAAGGAAGCAATTTGATTATTCAAGTGCCCTCAGCTGCTGCTTCCCCTGCTAGTCTCATCTCCTTTCTAAAGGTTTTTTTAAAAAGACTAGCGGGCCATGGACTCAGGAGCCGCTTTTCAGACCCCAGACTGCGAAAAGTGCACTTTAACCATTTCCCCTGCAGGATTACGGGGCGATAAATAAAGTGTCGTGATCCCAAGCAAGATATGTCCTTTCACAGGCCCTCAGATGCTGAGGAGAGATGTCACAGAACCTCCCTTGTGTCTTCAACAGGGACATTTATTTATTTACTTGTGGATTCAGAGCTGCCCCAGAATATAATGATTCTGCATGGCTCATGGAATAAAAGCAACAATGAAAGTACAATATAATGCAATGGCAATTATTACAAACTAGGCAAAGAAAGATCCAGGCTGCTTGTTTCCCCTGCTTGTAATCCTGAGAACGGGGCCTGACAGGCCTCTGTACAGCACAGAGGGTTCTTTTTAAAATGTTTTTAAATTATTCTTTTATCCTTTTAAATTCTTTTTTTAGCTTAAATGTTTAGTTGCCGTTAGGGATTTGCTTAAATTTAGTATGAGTGTCGTTTATTATAATTATTTTAGTTTCTATTGTTTTATTGGTTTTTTGTTTAGTTTGTATTTTGTTTTTAAGGGGCAGGGTCAAGGCTGCCTGGGAGTGGGCCCCCGCCAACAGAATGGCTGGGGCAGGTTCCGGGGGGGTGGGGTGGTGGTGTACTGGGACAACTGATCTCAGTGATTACGGGTAGGAGGAGGAGTTACGCTAAGACCAGACCATGTCATTAGAGAGGAAGCAGATTTAGTTGCTGTTTGAGGACTATTCCTGCCTCCAGGTCTGGTCTTGACCAGATGGATACTGGAATCAGCAAAGGATACCCACATGACCTGAAGGTGCAGCTGTGCAATGCCAAGTCAATGATTCACAAGACCACTGCCATCCATGACTTGATCGTGGATGGAGGACTTGATCTGACATGTGTGACAGAAACTTGGTTGGATGAAGCAGATGGTCCTGTTCTTGCCGCTGCTTGCCCACCAGGTTTCTCTTACGCACAGCAACCCAGGTCATGGGGGGGGGGGGTTGCGACCTCCCTGCTGCACCAAGGATTCGCTGCCCAAGCTGCTTCAGGTTGTGGTGGATGTTCTCCTGGAGACACCTGGTTTGGTTGTCCTGGGGGATTTAACATCCACATCGACAGGACCTTACAAGGGGCCGCTCAGGACTTTGTGGAAAGCATGGCCTCCATGGGGCTGTCCTTAAATAAGTTTGGCCCAACTCATAGTCGCAGACATGCCTTAGACCTGGTGTTCACCTCTATGGATGTGGGTGACCTGACACTAAGTAAAAGCGAAACAAAAGAAGTGCCATTGTCAGATCACTTCCTGGTGCAACTGGACTTCTCCGTGACCTCTGCAGGGAGGTGGGACCGATTCAGATAGTCCGCCCCCTGCACCTAATGGATCCAAATGGTTTCCAGAGAGTGGTAGGGGATGTTTTATCCCATGTTGATGGCCTTTCAGCTGATTCCCTGGTGGCCCGCTGGAATGCTGAGCTAACCAAGGGTATTGACTGTCTAGCTCCGAAGCGCCCTCTCCGATTGCATGGAGCCTGGACAGCCCCTTGGTTTTCCCCAGAGCTGAGGGCGATGAAACAATCACTGAGATGGCTAGAGCACTGGTGGCAGAAAACTCACTCTGAATCTGAGCGGATACAGGTTAGAGCTCAACATTGAGTCTACCAAGTGGTGACAGCGACGGCGAAGAGGCCCTTCTTCACTGTCTCTGTTGCATCTGCAGAAAACAGCAGCAGGAGACTCTTTCAGGTGGTTCACAATTCAATGGAACCATCTCTGCCATCAGGGCCCGGTAAAGGCCCCAATATCTTCTGCAATGACTTTGCAAAGTACTTTGCAGATAAAGTCTCTCAGATTCAGAATGAGGTAGACGCCACAGTGGGAGCAGGGCCGGGGCGTGAGAGTGCTAGAGTCCTGTCTAGTCAAGTTGTATGGGATCAATTCCAATCTGTTACCTCCGAGGATGTGGACAAGGATGTGGATGAGTGAAACCAACCACCTGTCTACTTGATCCTTGCCCATCCTGGCTAATAAAAGCGAGCTGCGAAGGGCTGGGCAATGGGCTCTGCAAGGTGATGAATGCTTCCCTCGGTGAGGGAGCCTTCCCAGACCCACTGAAAGAGGCAGTCATAAAGAGGCAGTGGTTGCTGAACAACTCCAGGCACACCTGGAGGATGCGGACCATTTGGATCCCTTCCACTCAGGATTCAGACCTCATCATGGGACTGAAACTGTCTTGGTCACACTGGTCAATGATCTCCAGTGGGCTAGGGACAAAGTTGAAAGCTGTTTCCTAGTTCTGCTGGATCTCTCAGTGGCCTTTGATACCATCTACCACGGCATCCTTCTGGACTGTCTAGAGGGGCTGGGAGCTGGGGGGCACTGTTATACAGTGGTTCCGCTCTTTCTTCCTGGGCCGTATTCAGAAAGTGGTATTGGGGGATGTGTGTTCAGACCCTTGGGCTCTCACTTGTGGAGTGCCTCAGGGTTCCGTCCTCTCCCCCATGCTTTTTTAATGAAGCCGCTGGGAGAGATCATCAGGGGGTTTGGGCTGGGTGTTCATCAGTATGCGGATGATACCCAGCTCTAGCTCTCTTTTAAATTGGAACCAGTGAAGGTGGTGAAGGTCCTGTGTGGGTGTCTGGAGGTGGTTGGAGGATGGATGGCGGCTAAGAGATTGAGGTTGAATTGTGACAAGACAGAAGTACTGTTTTGGGGGGACAGGGGGTGGGTAGGTGTGGAGGGCTCCCTGGTCTTGAATGGGGTAACTGTGCCTCTGAAGGATCAGGTGTGCAGCCCAATTCTGTGTCCAGGGCTGAGACCCTACCTGCCCTTGGACTGCCTTGCCAGAGTGGTGCATACTCTGGTTATCTTCTGCTTGGACTACTGCAATGTGCTCTACGTGGGGCTACCTTTGAAGGTGACCCGGAAACTACAACTAATCCAGAATGCGGCAGCTAGACTGGTGACTTGGAGTGGCCGCCGAGACCACATAACACCGGTTCTGAAAGACCTACATTGGCTCCCAGAACGTTTCCGGGCACAACTCAAAGTGTTGGTGCTAATCTTTAAAGCCCTAAACGGTCTCGGCCCAGTATACCTGAAAGAGCATCTCCACCCCCATCATTCTGCTCGGACACTAAGATCCAGCCCGAAGGACCTTCTGGCGGTTCCCTCACTGTAAGAAGCGAAGTTACAGGGAACCAGGCAGAGGGCATTCTTGGTAGTGGCACCCGCCCTGTGGAACGCCCTCCCATCAGATGTCAAAGAAATAAACAACTATCTGACTTTTAGAAAACATGTGAAGGCAGCCCTGAAGCTTTTATTGTTTGATTAATTATTGTATTTTAATATTTTGTTGGAAGATGCCCAGGGTGGCTGGGAAAACACAGCCAGATGAGCAGGTTGTTGTTGTTGTTGTTGTTGTTGTTGTTGTTGTTGTTGTTCTGCCTGTTCCATGAGTTTTAGTCACTAGGCTGTCAGGTTTCTCTATTGTGGATGGCTTGACATTTAAACCACGTTCCATTTCAGGATCTAAGAAGCTCTGTATTGAAATTATGCAACTTCCTGGGAAAGAGACTGACGGAAAAGGAGGTGGATGCTGTTGTGGATCAGGCTACATTTAATAAAATGAAAGCAGATCCCAGGGCAAACTATGAGTTCTTGCCAAATGATTTAATAGACCACAGCAGAGGGCATTTTCTTCGCAAAGGTAAGTCAGTGGCAGATCAAACTCACTTAGTGCGGCTTGCAGAATTCCCGACAGATTCACTTGGCACCTACTATGACATTTGATAGCTACCAAGTAATAGTGATTTCATTTTTTCCAGTCTTCATGAAACTCTCAGTTTCTGGTGTTTCCTAATTTTATAGTTGGTCTATTATGTACTTTCTCTGTTGTTTTTTCCTTCTTCTAAATATGTATATTTAAGGGTGACGTAGTTGTCTTTCCAATCTGCAGTGTGGAAACTTTTTCACACAGAGGGTCATATTCCCAACTAGGGATGGAATATATCTGGAGTTATGGATATTTATTTGACCACCACAATGCACGTTCTTTCTGTTTGCTTCCTGGGCCAGGCACTGTTGGAGACTGGAAGAACATGATGACAGTCGCACAAAATGAAAGATTTGACAGTGTTTTTAAGGAGAGAATGGAAAAGCTGCCCTTCAAGTTCTGCTGGGACATCAATGAGGAATCATGAGCCCATCTTTAGCTTGGAAGGATGAAATAAAGTGAACTGTATGCATTTAATCCAGGCCTATTTGTAAGAGTTAGGGGTAAAAACATCTCATGTGGCTTAATAGCGTCCTAATGCTTGAATATGTGTAATATTTCTTTAAAAAACAACAACACTAGAATACAATTACATTTGTACTGTAAGCCTCTTCTCTTTCTGCATTCCAACATGTCTTAATTTTTGACTCCATATGCAACAGTCAAGGAATCCCAAACTAACTATTGGGATTAGTAACTGTATTATAATTTGGCACTGTTTTAATGAAGCTACTACTGGATTATTGTAATTGAAAATTAATAAAATTATTGTTAAAAAAACCTAACTAACTATTGGTGTTGCAGATGCAAATGGAAATCAGACGAGTCATTCAAGTCATTTATTTATTTATTGTTGGTGGAATTCCACTTCACACTCTTCCAGTTGTTCTCTCAGGACAAACATTTCAGTCTACCAGATGACACAACCCCTCCCCCTCACCTTCCTTTACCTCTGCACTGTTCTTGGGGTTCTCCTTACCCTCACAGAGTCATTTTTGAGGGTGCGTTAGGAATATGCGGGGAGGAGAAGTGGGGAAAATGGACAGTGTATGTTTGATGCCCATAGCAATTTCCTTCATGGGTTAGATTGAAAAGGGGGAATTTCCATCGGGATCATGGAGCAGAGAGAAAGGGTTAAAGCAAATTTTGGGGACTGGAGGAGGTGAAATGAGAACCCCAAGAAGCATCTGAGTCCAGGGAGGAGGCCAGTAGTAGAGAAATGTTCTGCCCTGTAACATTGGACACCTCAAGCCGGACACCTCCTGCTGTGGAACAACCTTGGTGACTCTTCCAGTCAGCAAGAAGCCTTCTCCTTCAGGGGAGGAAACTAGAGTAAATTCAATGCTAAGCCATTGGCAACACTGCCGCCATCTCCTCCAAGGACACAAAGATGCCTGTGCCAGTGCAAAAAATCCTTGCAGACCCAACACACCTGTAGGGATGCCTGTTTGCTTGCTTGTCTCCTTAGAGAGCTTAGGCCCCAGGTATTCTTGGAACAGGGCCCAGGCATTGGAAATATCAAGGGAAAAGGCTGCACTTTGCCATGTCCTGAAGGTCTAGGAAAATTTAGCCCAGGGTCCAACCTAGGCCTGAGAGCAGCAATCAAACACATTTGGCCCTGGGCAAGGTCTCAGGAGCTCAGAGGGGCACATCACTAGTCCCAGCCTGGCCCCACTGCCCATCTCTGAGAGACTGGGCTGGAGCTGACAGCAAAGCAGTGAAGAAGCCCTCTGCATCCTACCCCCACAATCTATGTCAAGAAAGACTTCTTATGCCATCTTGTTGCATGCCACCCCAATTTTGAGCAGTGCAAGATCCCAGCGGTTCCAAGTGCTCTTTCTCTCAAAAAGGGTATGTGACTATTCCATGTTTGGGAGACATTACACTAAAAGAAGGTGCATGTTGATCTTGGAACCTCCCAATAAAGGTGCCGGATTCTGTGCAGCAACTAAGGATGGCATTTTGTGACAACCTGGCGTTACAACTATCTATTTGACCACCACAGTGCCAGGCACTCTTGGAGACTGGGAAAACATGATGGCCATTGCAAAAAAATGAAAGCTTTGAGAGTGTTTTTCAGGAGCAGATGGAAAAGCTCCTCTTCAGGTTCTGCTGGAACATCAATGGTGAACTGAGTCTGCTTCCAGCTTGAGAATATTTATACAAACTTTTTCTCTGTCTTGCATGTGTGTACCAATTGTCCACACAATTGGTACACACATGCATTGGTACACACAAGGGATGCGGGTGGCGCTGTGGATTAAACCACAGAGGCTAGGACTTGCAGATCAGAAGGTCAGCGGTTCGAATCCCCGCGACGGGGTGAGCTCCCGTTGCTCGGTCCCTGCTCCTGCCAACCTAGCAGTTTGAAAGCACATCAAAAGTGCAAGTGGATAAATAGGTAGTGCTCCGGCGGGAAGGTAAACGGCATTTCCGTGAGCTGCTCTGGTTCGCCAGAAGTGGCTTAGTCATGCTGGCCACATGACCCGGAAGCTGTATGCTGGCAGCCTTGGCCAATAAAGCGAGATGAGTGCCGCAACCCCAGAGTCGGTCACGACTGGACCTAATGGTCAGGGGTCCCTTTACCTTTACCTTACCAATTGTCCAGATCTTGAGAGATTTGCTGCAGTCCATCTAAAGCTGTGTTGGAACCAAGCAAGCAGTATTCTCAATAGAGTTCCTTGCTTAGGTCCTTCTCTAGAACAGGATGTGCATGTGTTATAGTATCTGTCAATCCATGTGTTGCAAATAATTGGCCAAGAGCTGTGATTGTTGGAACAGATGTTTGTGATTATTTGAAGGCATTTTTCGTAGAACTATTGCAGGCAAGAAGTAATTTCCTTGTAATGGTCCTACAAAACCAAAATGGATACTTGATCATTTCCCTGGTGAAGATAAGTCACTTTGGTGGGTTACACCAAATTGCTGGGTATGCATAACTGTGTGATATAGTATAATTTCAGAGCTGTAGAAAAAGTAACGTAAAAATTACAAGAGCAATTTTATTGTATGCTGCATGTCATTTACTCACCTTTGGCCCCTGAAGAATGCTTGTACAATTAGCAATCCATGTGTTGCAAATAATTGGTGGATAATCTTGATTGCTGGAAAAGATATTTATTTTTATGGTACTGAATAATCTCTTTGAAAGCTTCATTCCTAAACAAATTTATTATGAGGGAAAGTCTTATTGAGCACATTTGGCTTTAATTCAGAGGACAGGGCTGCTTATCGCTCCCTCACCTCACTCCCTTGGAGAAAGGTTGTGCAAGAAGAGTGACAAAGTCTGATTCCAGAGGAACTCATCTTACCCCAAGGGTCATAAACTTTGCAATGATTAATCAGAATTCAAGCCCACACCAGCCTATAGGAAAAAAGCTGCACCTTCATACTGCATGTCAATTCAAGGCAGTGAAGTTTGACAAGAGACAAGTGCACCCAGAATGTATTCCTTGCATTGTTTGACACACATTCTCCTCCCTGTCATTCACTGAGCAAACACAATCACATCTGCTCAGGTAAATTGGACACAAAGATGGATTTGAAACGCAAATTCTGCTGGGAGCACAACAAAGGGTTATGCCAAAGGCAGGTTTCTAAGTCTCCTCATGAGTGTGTGGTGGTGCCCACCTGGTATCGTCATGTTTCAAACGGAGGCAGCCCTTTTGGGGGGCCAGGGGCACTATCAGCAGGGCTCCCCAAAAAACCCCTGGCCCCTACAATGGCTCAGCAGCAAACCGCAGATAACAACCTCCTTTGCTTGGCTTTCACTCCCATCAAATTTTCCTCCCTGTGTCATATGTTAAACATTTATCCTAATAAGGAAGCAGCCTCCTATTTGTGGCATGGCTTTTCTCAGGGTTTTAGAATACTCTTTCGAGTACTGTCAGGTACTCTTACAGCTAAAGATTCTCCAAACCAAAAATCTGTGAGGGAAATGCCAGAGTTTGCCAGGAAAAAAGATAGAAAAAGAGGTCAAGGCAGGCAGGTGGCAGCCCCTTCTTTAACTCCCCCCTCAAAAACCTTCACATTTCACCTTTAGGCATCGTGCCAAAAAAGACTCCAGGGGAATTCAGGCTGATTCATAACCTGTCCTATCCAAAAGGGGGTTCAGTTAATGATACTATACCCCCCGAACTTTGCTCCGTTAAATATACCTCATTTGATCAGGCTGTCAAACTTATTCGCAGTTTTGGGCAGGGGGCTCTTTTGGCAAAGTGTGACATTGAATCAGCCTTCCGATTATCGCCAGTTCACCCTAGCAATTTCCATCTTCTTGGCTTTCAGGGTGGATTTTGTTGTGTATTGAGTCAAAGGATTTTATATCTGTATTATTATTGTCTGTATTTGCATTAGGGTAAAGTAACTGCCTTTTGGTTCCAGAGGGTACAGCTACTATTGGTTCATTTAAGCTGCTGTATTTGGATCCTCTGTCTTATTGGTTCCCTCCAAAAGGCAGGACTGTGATTGCCTGATATTGTTCCCTCCAAAATGTATCCTTTCTTGCTAGTTCCCTGTCCCTATAAATGTAGCTTCCTCTCCCCAGTAGTCAGTCTTGTTGCTTTAATAAAGAAGTGTTACTAGAGAACTGTCTCCAGCATGTTATATCAGGAGAGCTGAAATCACAAACCCCACGTCACAACAACTGGCGACGAAGGTGGGATCCGGAATGCTGAGGAGCGGTTAAACGCAGCCCTGCCTCAGAGTCCGGATTGCAGCTAAGAACAAGACTCACTGGCCAGCTGAGAAGACGACCCTGCCACAGGACAATGGAGAGTCCAAGGGTATTGGAGCCCTTCCAGCCATCAGAGCCCGACACGTGGGAAGACTACGTCGAACGCTTCGAGTTCTTCGCAGAGGCTCAAGGGATCACCGATGCCAGCAAAAGAAGGGCCACATTCCTGAGCTACTGTGGGCCTGAGACCTTCAAGCTGGCCAAGGCATTGCTTGCTCCAGCGAAGCTAAGTGAGACATCTCTCAAAGATATTCTTGCCGGCCTGACAAGCCACTTGGCGCCTACTGAGACCAAGATGGCTCGGCGGATGGAGTTTCATAAGAGGCAGCAGCATGCTGGGAGTCTGTATCTGCATTTCTGGCTGAACTGCGGAAGCTCGCTCAGCACTGCGACTTCCAAAATCTGGAAGAGACTCTCCTGGATCGGTTTATCGGTGGTCTGAGCAGCAAGAAGGCCAGAAGACGCATCGTGGCTAAAGAAGAGGTTACCCTTGCTTCAGCCTTGAAGGAGGCCACCGCCACGGAGAATTATGAAAGAGAGGAGCTTGATGCCAGTCGCAAGGCCCCTAAGCCACAGATAGAAGTTGCGCATGCCATGGACGAGCTAGAGGCTACTCCGAGCCAGAGCCCAGTCCGTGGGGTCGAGTCAGTGAGTCAGGCCTGCACAGTGCACAAAGATCACCGAGGCAGGTGCCCAGGTTGTGGCGGAAACCATGAGCGGAAGAGTTGTCGTTTCCGGGATGCTATGTGCCGGACGTGCGGGAAGACAGGTCACATCGCCAGGGTCTGTAGATCGGCGGCGTTGGGAGCGACAGGAGCACCTAGACCGGAGCATCGCAGACCGCCCGCAGCAACCCATTTTCTAAAGGACTGCCACTACGTTACGGAGATCAACGGGAGGGTCGTGCAGTTTCCAGCACAAGGCAAGGCACACGTCAAGGTGAAGATTGAGGGTCAGCAGTGCGACATGGAGGTGGACTCCGGATCTGGATTCACTATCGTGTCGGACCAGACCGCGAGGACATTCTTCCCCAGGGGTAAGTTGCCCCTCTGGATCCCTTCCCGGCAACCTTGCAGTCATACTCAGCGGGCCGCATCCATGTTATGGGAATGTGTGCCGTGAGAGTACAGTTCCGGGACAAACAGGCTGTACTCAAACTGGTGATTGCGAAGGGCAGTCGCCCCAGTCTCCTGGGCACTGACTGGTTCCCCGCCCTAGGACTGAGTATATCAGGGCTTAATTCAATCCAAACCTGCCCTGAGATGAGCGAGGCATTATGCAAAGAATTTGCTGGTCTCTTTAATGGAAAACTGGGTTGTTATAAAGGGCCCCCAGTTGACTTCGAGTTGGACCCTGGGGTGGCCCCAATCCGACTCAAACCAAGGCGAGTGCCATTTGCACTGCAACCCAAGATCGAAGCAGAGCTGGAGAAATTGGTCAAGCAGGGAGTTCTCTCACCCGTGGACTCTGCTAAGTGGGAGACTCCAATCGTCACGCCCTTAAAGCAAATGGGGAAGTCAGGATCTGTGCAGATTACAAATGTACTATCAATAAGGCACTCAGGGGAAACTCATACCCCATTCCAGTCGTATCACATCTGTTGGCTAAACTGGCTGGGGGCAAGGTGTTCGCCAAAATTGACCTGGCACAAGCTTACCAACAGCTGCCAGTAACCCCACAATCAGCGGAAGCACAGACTATTGTCACACATAAAGGGGCGTTCAGAGTTAACAGATTACAATTTGGAGTTTGTGTGGCCCCAGGGATTTTTCAAGGGCTCATGGAACACCTGTTAAGAGGTCTGCGGGGGTCTTGCCATTTTTTGATGACGTTTTGATTGCTGGAAAAGACCCACAGGAACTGGTTGCGCGTGTTCGTGCAGTGTTGCTCAAGTTCAAGGAGGTGGGGTTGCAACTGAAAAAGGAAAAATGCAGTTTTGGGGTGCCAACTGTGGATTTCTTGGGGTTTAAAATTGATGCATCAGGCATCCACCCCACAGATGCTAAGATTAAGGCCATCATCGAGGCGCCACGACCACAGAACAAGACGGAGTTGCAGTCATTCCTGGGACTTATTAACTTTTATCATTCGTTCTTACCCCAGAAAGCTTCGGTAGCTGAACCATTACATAGACTGTTGCAGAAAAAGAATGTGTGGCGATGGGGGCAGGGGCAGCAGAAGGCTTTTGACTCCTTGCGAGGAATGCTGAGTAGCAGGAGTGTCCTTGCTCATTATGACGAGTCAAAGCCTCTGGTCCTGGCATGTGATGCCTCTCAATACGGCCTGGGGCGGTGCTAAGTCATAGGGAACCGGATGGGTCGGAAAAGCCCATCTCTTTCTATTCCCGTACGTTGTCGCCCACGGAGCGCAACTATGCTCAAATTGACAAAGAGGCGCTTGCAATTGTGGCAGGAATCAAAAAGTTCCATGATTATGTGTACGGTCGCCATTTCTACATTGAAACGGACCACAAGCCACTGTTAGGTTGTTCAACCCGAACAAACAAACGCCACAAATTCTCTCCCCAGAATGTTACGTTGGTCTATATTCCTGAACGGGTTCCAGTACACCTTGACCCATGTGCCCGGGAAACGGTTGTGCCACGCGGATGCGCTGAGTCGATTGCCCCTTCCTGGCGGGAGCACTGAGGATCCTGCTCCAGCGGAGCACATAATGATGCTGGAAACACTTCCGGGGCTCCTGTAACGGCTACTGATATAGCTGAGAAAACGAGGAAAGATGCTGTTCTCTCCCGTGTGCTCACTTGGGTGGGGAGGGGTGGCCAGGTGGTCCGCATGAAGACAAATTCAGGCCTTATGCGACTAGGCAGCACGAGTTGTCCATGCATAAGGGTTGTCTCCTGTGGGGAGATAGGGTGATCATCCCAGCACCACTGAGAAACAGGGTTCTTGAGACGCTTCACATGGGACACCCGGGAATGGTCAGGATGAAGTCGCTAGCCCGATGTTATGTGTGGTGGCCTGGAATGGACCAGAACATAGAACAATGGGTACGAACATGCAAGGCATGCCAAGAGGTGCGGCCGGAAGTGGCCAGAGCACCAGTCCACTGGTGGGAGCAGTCCAGATCTCCCTGGAGCCGGCTGCACTTAGATTTTGCTGGGCCATTCCAAGGAAAGGTCTTTTTGGTTATCGTTGATGCATATTCCAAATGGTTAGAAGTGGCGATGGTCCCTAGCATGGCATCAGCTGCCGTCATCAAGGTGTTGAGGCAGCTGTTTGCAACCCACGGGTTACCTGAGACCATTGTATCAGATAATGGGGCAGCTTTTGTATCCCAAGAATTCAGGGCATTCTTGGCTGATAACTTCATAAGAGGGGTCACATCCGCGCCCTTTCACCCATCCTCCAATGGGCAGGCTGAGCGCATGGTAAGAACAGCCAAAGAATCCATTGCGCGCTTAATGGAGGGTAACTGGTCAGCTCGCATCGCGCGAATGTTATTTTTGCAGCATGCGACGCCGTGTACCGCAACGGGCAAGTCGCCAGCTGAGCTGCTCTTGGGTAGGAGACTGGTAACGGTGCTGGATTATGTCCACCCGGATAAAATGCCAAACCATAATTCAAGAGCAACCCCCCAGGCTGAGACTGACACAACAAGGTATCTCGCCCCTGAAGATCTGGTCTGGGTGAGGAACTATTCACGAGGTTCGCGGTGGGTGGCTGGTGTGGTCACCCGGGCTAGTGGACCTGTGTCCTATTATGTGACCTTGGAAAATGGGCAAGTGTGGAAGAGACATATAGATCAGCTGAGGCGCCGGGCGCTCAGCAGGGAGGAGCCAGATAATTCATCCCTGGCTAACGACGCAGAGCTGCAAGACCAGAGTGAAAATGGCACAGAGGTGCAATCACCAGGGGCTTTAACAAATGAACCAGGGTCTGCTAGTCCTCACGATGACGAGGTACAGATAGGGGACCCTGAGATGTCGGGGACTCCATCTGTTCCTGACGAAACCCCTAGAGCAGCCCCTCTACCACAGGTAACACCCAATTCAGAACCTGCAACACCTGTTGTCAGGAGATCAAGTAGAAGTTGTAGGCCCCACAGTACCTGAGAGATTACGTCTGCTGTGCTCACTAGGGGGGAAGGGGTGTTGTGTATTGAGTCAAAGGATTTTATATCTGTATTATTATTGTCTGTATTTGCATTAGGGTAAAGTAACTGCCTTTTGGTTCCAGAGGGTACAGCTACTATTGGTTCATTTAAGCTGCTGTATTTGGATCCTCTGTCTTATTGGTTCCCTCCAAAAGGCAGGACTGTGATTGCCTGATATTGTTCCCTCCAAAATGTATCCTTTCTTGCTAGTTCCCTGTCCCTATAAATGTAGCTTTCCTCTCCCCAGTCGTCAGTCTTGTTGCTTTAATAAAGAAGTGTTACTAGAGAACTGTCTCCAGCATGTTATATCAGGAGAGCTGAAATCACAAACCCCACGTCACAACAGATTTTACATTGATAAAGCTATGCTCATGGGCTGTTCGGTTGCATGTGCAGAGTTCGAAACATTTAGCACCTTTCTGGACTGGGCTTTACGTTATAGAACTGGTTTGTTAGGGGTTCTTCATTATCTAGATGATTTTTTATTGATTGGGAAATCAAATAATTCTGAATGTGCTTCTCTTTTAGAGGCTTTTATTTTCTTGACGCAGGAGCTGGGAGTCCCCTTGGCAGCTGACAAAACAGAGGGCCCAGTTACAACGCTCACCTTTCTTGGTATTCAATTAGACACCATTGCCCAATCATCCCGTCTGCCCCTGGATAAGCTGGTTGCCCTTAAGGAATTTATTTTGCAAATTCTCCCCCTCAGGAAGGTCACCCTCAGGCAGATCCAGTCTCTCCTGGGACACCTTAACTTTGCCTGCAGGGTAGCATCCCCAGGGCGACCTTTCTGTGCCCGCCTGGCTAGGTTATCTGTGTGCCTTAGGTCCCCACATGACAGGGTCCACCTGCCCAAGTCTGTCAAGGCAGATTTGGAGATTTGGCTCAGGTTTCTAGAAAATTACAATGGGATCTCCCTATGGCAGGACAACCTTAAACTGTTTTCAGACTTTCAGGTCCAGTCAGATGCCACAGGGTCCCTCGGCTTTGGAGTTTACTTTAGGGGGCGATGGTGTGCTCAGCGTTGGCCTGAAAGCTGGCAGGGCGAGGCCATCACTCGGGACCTTACCTTTCTTGCATTTTTTTCCCATAGTGTTGGCTGCGCACCTTTGGACTAATGAATTTCGTGATCGCCGGGTGTGCTTTAGGACAGACAATCAAGCAGTGGTGAACATCCTGGCCAAACAGTCTTCGCGTTCCGAGAGGGTTTCTGGTTTGCTTCACGCATTCGTGCTGCTGTGCCTCAAATTTAATATTATTTTCTCTGCCAAATTCATCCCAGGCGTTAATAATGACATAGCGGACTCTTTATCTCGATTTCAGATTAACCACTTCCAGTCATTAGCACCTCAGGCTCACCTGCTGCCAGAACCTTTCCCGGACCACCTTTGGAACCTTGGAAGCGTGTAGTTATCAAGGGAGTATTGGCCTCTGTGGCACCTTCCACTCTCAGGTTGTATAAAAAAGCCTGGTGTGATTTCTTGGAATTTCAGTTTAAGGAGATAGCTCTCACGCATGGTATTCCGCCCACTCCTGATCATGTTCTACAATACTTGGCACATCTGCATAACTTAGGGCGTGCTGCAAAAACTTTAAAAATTCACATTGCTACAATTACGTTCTTTAGCAAATCAACATTTTCATTTGACCCTTGCACAGACTTTATTGTCCATAGTGCAATTGAGGGGTGGAGCAGGCTTCAACCCTCAAAAAAGGATGGCAGAAGGCCAATAACTTTTGGCGTTCTCTGTTTGATACGCAGAAAACTTAGGTCCATTTGTTGGTCAAAATATGAAGCACGCTTATTTTCCGCTGCCTATGCTGTTGCTTTCTTTGGAGCCTTGAGAGTGGGGAGGTTGTTGCAGAAACCCAATCAAATAGTACCTCATGGGGCCTGCTGTTAGAAGACATTCAGTTATCTAGTTCTGAGTTGGTATTGCACATTCAGCGGTCAAAAATGGACCAGAGCGGCAGGGGTGCCTTGATCAAGCTAGCAGCATCCAAACATCAGGGCCCCTGCCCAGTAAAAAACATCAGGCGGTATTTGAGGCTTAGATCTGCCCGTGTGGGCCCTTTATTCATACATGAAGATGGTTCCTGCTTGATGAGATACCAGTTCCCGCGTGTCTTACGTAAGGCAATTGATGCCTGTGATTTCCCAGCCAATGAATACGCTGCACACTCTTTTAGGATTGGAGCGGCCACAATGGCGTCCCATTTAGGCCTCCCAACAGATAGGATCAAGGAACTAGGTCGCTAGAAGTCAAATGCTTATAAGGGATACATTCGCAAGAATCAGTAATTCTCAACTGCTGACCTGTATTTTCAAAATCCATAGTGCTCAACCCTTATCTGTCTTTTCATTTTCTTATTTTCCAGCTTCTCCAGGTCTCCAAATTTGGATCTGTGGTCATAGCATTGTTCATTGGGCCCGTGTGCGCGTGGTCAAGTGTGGCATCGGCAATGACCTTGGTCTGCCATCAGGTGTTCGTGTTTCCTGGATTTTAAGACGTGGCATGCGTTGGGAAGAGTTTATGCCAGTAGTGAAGGCAAATGCAGCATCTTTTGGTCCTCCCGACATCTTGATTATCCAGCTAGGGGAGAATGACCTTGCCTTCAGGAAGAGCGTGGACTTGTTTTTCCACATTAAGAAGGACTTTGATGAACTGGCTGTATTATTCCCAGAAACAACTGTGTTTTGGTCCTTCCTTCTAAAAAGAAGGGTGTGGTGTAGCAGTCATAACCCTATAGCCATTGACAAATCCAGGAAACTTCTGAATCGTGCGGTGGCCCGCAGTATATAGGAATGGCCATGTGATTGCACATCCTGACATCCGATTCAGCGATGTGTTTCTGTTTCGTGATGATGGCGTCCATCTTTCCGATCAAGGAAATGATGTGTGGTTGGCAGACGTCATCAGAAGTATTAGGAATTAGTTGCAGCAGTGAGGGTATTGGCGGGGAGCCTTTTGGCTCAGGTCGTGGTTAGGCATTGGAATATGTGTGTTGTGTTGGAGGATTGGTTATGCGCCATCATCTACCCCTCCTCTTTTGGGTATTGCGTTAAAGGAATCCAGAGGATGTGGATCCTGTCCAATGCCCTGCTAGTGGCTAGGGCCATGGCACGACCCCCAGTGATGTCACAGGGGAGCTTCCAGTTGTATTTACATCAACAAGCTCCTCCTATTGGTTGTTAACCCCGATATAACTCCCGGCTGTGCGGGGTGGAGTCTTGTATTGCTGTTTCATCCAATGCTTAAGCCAATACTACTCATATACTGTAACCAATAAAAGTTGTGGCCTAATTTTGCCCATTAACCTAAAATAATGTGTCTGTGTGTCTTATTATAATCCTATGCGGGTGGAGGGTCCTCAACTCACAAAGTCTTATTCCAGAGGACCTCATCTTACCCCAAGGGTCATAAACTTTGCAAGAGTGCCAAAACTCTGACCTGAGCGGATTTGAAAAAGTAGTTTGATGGGAGAACTTATTTGAACTACAATATAAAATTGCCTCACAAACATTTTAGATGGAGGAAGCGTTCGATTCCTAGTGAATGACAATGATTAATCAGAATTCAAGCCCATGCCAGCCTATAGGAAAAAAGCTGCACCTTCATACTGCATGCCAGTTCAAGGAAGCAAAGTTTGATAAGAGACAAGTGCACCCAGAATGTATTCCTTGCATTGTTTGACACACATTCTCCTCCCTGTCGTTCACTGAGCAAACACGATCACATGAAAAAATCACAGATTCCATCATTTACAGCTTATAAGAATACGTAAATAAGAATGGTTCTTTGTGCTCTTCCAAGAGTTTAGCAGCACCCATTCTTTGGATCTCAAACTGTAACCAGACTCTGATATTGATAAACCATCACAATATAATTTAGTACAGGTTGAGTCACCCAGTCCTATTCTCAGCAAGCAGTAGGTGTGCCAGGATCCATCTCTGCTTTCAAAATAAAAACTGTCTCTGCCTCTTCTAAGTCTTAAGGGTATGGATGAGTAGAAAGGTGTATCACAAAATCTGAAGATGTGTAAATTTTGATGGATGAACTTTAGCTGTGTTTCTCTTCACAGACTGAGGAAGTTGAAATTAGGTGGACTTGCATTAAAACATTATTCAGATTTCTCCCCATTCCTGCTCTGGAGTACTATTACTGTCCGCCTGGCAACTAAAGCAGATGGATAAAGGACCCAGGAAACCAACATCTATCAGCCAGGAATGGCTTGTAAGGACTCTGAAACATCTATCACTCCAGCGTATGAAGTCAGTATCATTTATTAGGAAACACAACTGAGATTTGCCATCCTTTGAAATAAAAAAAACCCTGCAACCATAAAATAAACTACGATTTCACAATCTCAGGGGTGCTGTATAAAAAAAACCCGTGATTTCGTGGGGGGGAGAGCTGAGGTAGGGGGAGTTAGACAAAGTTGTGGAGCTGCCCAAGCCTAAGACATTGAAAGTGGTTTGCGTGGGCAGGTGGAGCCCCCCAACCCCAGGCGACCCCCGAGCGGAATAATGACTCAAGACAACGTGCCATGGGATTAAAATTGGCCACAACTTTATTAAGTTTCTGATGTAGGGAGACCTCGGCTTAGGCATTGGCCGTTTATCCTTCCCAGTCCCCAGCCGGGGATCTGGGAGACTTCAGGGTTATCCAGAATGTGTGGGGGTTGGGCTGGCTCTGGAGAACATATGTTCAAGCAGAGAGCCCATCCCCCGTTTCACCGCCGTTGGAGGGGAGAGCAATGAGAACCTCTTGGTGTATGGCCAATGCCTCCCCTCAAGACCCCTTTAACGGGGAACCCTGGTATCACTGCCACAAGGGGGGTGTGGGTCACCGCTTCACGCCCCCCCCCCATTTAGGAAGATAGACTAAAGGATTCTGCCCAAGGCCTGAAACCGCCACCCAAGGCCGCAAAATCGCGGTCTCGCCGCCACTGCTGCTTTGGAGGTAAGATTCACCTTCTGTTGTGTGGGCAGGATGGTCCTTACCTGGCCAATCCCCTGGCAACGCCTCCCCAGGCGGGATTGGGCAATTGGCTGAGGTAGGCGGAGACCTCCAGGTATCCAGCCTAGGGGGGATGAAGCCAGCCCAAACTACCAGGAGTCGCACTGGGATCCGGGGTCTGCGCGTGACCATGCAAAAGGCGCCACAATTTGATGTCGGGAGTGGTCATTGCAGGATAAATTTGGACAGTTTAGCAAGGAGAACACAGGAAGACATCAAGTGCATTTTTTATGCAAAGGTATTCCTGAAAACATTAGCTTTAGATGATAAACAAAAACAAAATGAGCCATTTCTGCATGTGGCATTGTTTACTGGGAAATAGCTTTCATGGAATTCTGACTATAAAGACTGGGAGCTGTCCATCTTGATGTGGACTCTGAAAATTCCTCAAAATCTTTGAAGGGTGGGAAAGATTGCTGCCAATCTGTTGGATCTGAAAGTTTATTCTTGGACATGAGTCATGTTTGATCTCAGATAAGCTGTGCACAAATGAAAAAGGTTTCTACTTTTCTTGGATAGATTTCTAAAACAATCCATGCTAATTATTTAGTAAGTTTTATTAAAACAAATAGGGATTATTTTGGAGTTAAAGTTGGTGTTATTGGGGTGTAAGTCAGTGCAGGCATGTGTGTACAAATAGACATCCATTGGTGAATCTCAGGTCTCTCTTACCATTTGAGCCCATTTTCTACTAGTGGACCTGAGCAGACGTAATACTGCTTTTATTTCTTAAACGGACGAAGACCACTATTGATATTGGCTGTTGCTTGTGTAAAGAAACAAGTTCTCCCCCTGTTATTCTTTACATTATCTGCCTCTATGCACCTGTGTTACCTTTCTTTTCTTGCATAACATGCCAGGAATGATTTACTAAGGAGGAGCCATCGGCTTAATCCAACCCTTATTATCTAACAGAACTCTATAAAGCAATCTCCTACAGAGCTCTGAACTTGAGCCTTGAAAAGCTGAAATACTCCAAGCTGCAAAAGAGATCGCTCTCTCCCTCTCTCTTGCACACTTTTTGACTCTAAAAACAAAAGGTAGGTAAGTTTTCTTGTAATTTAAACTTTCCAGGGAAAAGCAGGACTACTAAATGACAAACAACTAATCTACTCTTTCATGCATGAGTCCCGAGGGGCAACAAGATGCATGAAAACTCTTGTCACAGTTCATATTCTTTTCTGGTGTCACACAGAGTGCACCACTTGTGCTACCAGAGATTAAAAGTTTTTTAAGGGGACTGAATGTGAACTCCAATTGTGCAAGCAGAACCCTGCTCATTTACGGTATATATTGGAAAATCAACCCGAGTATTTTACTTGTTACTATTTTGTATATATAATGTTTTCCACTAAAAGATTGTTGCATTTCTTAGCGATGACACACAAGACTTATATAGAGAATTAAAGTGATTTTCAGGCTTCTTGGCACTTTATTTCTTTATCAATTATAAGCAACTGACTATTGTTATTTCTTTTATTTACTTTATAAGCCATCCTTTCATCTAAAATATCACAAGGTGCTATATCTCGATTTGGTGCATCATATTATATATTATGAACTGAAATGTTCCAACAGGTATAAAAGACAAGCAACACACTGGCGACAACTTTGGTTTCCTCAGCACCCAACCCAATGGAGCCTTGAACTTTCTCCCATAACAACTCCCCGGCTCCTTATACCATGCACTGAGCCCACACTTACAAGTGCCTTCCTTGTCAGACGCTATGTGAGAGGAGAGAAATTGGCGCAGGGAGGAGACAAAAAGAACGGGCTATTTTGGCAGTGGTTGTCTCAGTACTGGAACGCCTGCCCAATAGGGCCCATTGTATGTGTAGCCAACTCTCTGTATTATCATAGATGAAGCTGAGGGCAGCATTCCCTCCATGGAACGTCCTTGGGCACCACATTTCAGCAGCAGTTTCAGTCAGAGCTGGCAATGGAAGCCAGATGGGCATTGAGCAATATCTTTCTCTTTACCACCCTGTCTCTCTTTCCCCTCTTCGACATCCATTCAACCTCAAACATACACAGAGCAATGTGTCCACTTCATCCAGCATCCACTCATTTTGCAAACACACACACATGCATGCGCTGTCTGTCGTCGAGAGAGTAGAACAGAAACAATCTCTCCTATGACCCCAGGAACAGTCAGAGGCTAACACTGAAAGGAAAACTGGTTTTGCCCCAGGCAGGCAAGAAAATATGTCATCCCAATTTCTTGAAGCGGATCAAGAACTCAGGAGGAATTGGCAAGAGTTCCCAACAGACTTCAGTCTTTCATTTCCCCTGGATCCATTTACAGGGAGCAGTTTTTTGCTTCCTTCCCACCTCCCCTGAGTACAAGAATGAGTGTCAGGATGGCAGCACTGACCAAACTATGATGCCAGGCAGCATAAAGTGAGGCCAAGGGCTGCTATTTTGCATGCTGCACACATGCACTTGAGAAATAACTGTGTCAGGGTGAAAGAGAAAAGCTTTATTGTGCAGGGGAAAGCCAGCTTTGAGTTGAAAGCAGCACCATTAACAAAAACAAAAACAGACATAAAGTAGGAGGAAAAGAATGCTTTGTTGCCTCAGTGATGAGCCCAATCTCTGTTCTAAGGTCTAAATGATGGACCTTTATGTTGCTCACCTGTGATGGAAGAGAAGCATGGGATTCTGCTATGAGATCTGCAAAAAGAGTAGGATTTGACAAAATGACACCTCTATTTCTTTGTGATTTCCCGTTGTTGCATAATAGAGGTAACTGTTCTCTTCTCTTTATTCTTATACAGGCAATGGAACCAGATGAAAAATATGTTTTCAAATACAAAGGATTTTATTTCCAGCCAGATTTGGTTTCAGTGGAGTACTTGGATACCCTGGAGGATTTTGAAATAAGAGACAGTGATGTATTTTTAGTCACTTATCCAAAGTCAGGTAAGAGTGCATTTTCATAGGACGAACTATGATTGCTATTCAACCATGATGGATACCCACATATATGTAAATAGTATCCATATTATACTAAGGCGAGTTTAAAACCAAATGCAAAATTGAAGTGAATATGGGTAGTGTAGAACTTACCTGGTTACATAAAGAAGAACCGGGTCATGTTTGTTTGTTTTTTAAAAATAGGAAATAATTGTTTTCCACCGGTGTCAACCTGTTTGAGGTTTTGAAAACAACATAAATACACATCAAAAACATTCAAATTTGCTTGCTAAGGGTTTATTGTATTTACTGACTTTCAGGATTTTGTATGTGGTTGTAAAATAGTGTTTGTAAAATTCTATTCTTAAAAAGCTTTCATCCCATGACTCTTTATTTCAGCATTTATCTGAAATATCTGCCACAACTTTGCCAGTATCAGGGGGGCCGTATCCAATGCAGTTGTGCCCCACATGCAATAACTTCCAGTTCCCCACCAGAACTTCCTTCACTCTTCTTTGGAGTATTTTGGAGAACCAGACAACCTTTTTTTTATTATTCCCTGGACTTTGACAATCATTTGTATAATGTGCTGCGAAGAATCTGGAATAGAGCTTTTGGTAGCTTTCTGAAAATTAAGGGAACTTATTTGCCAGTTTTGTTCTATCTTCCCAAATCCTCAAATTCTATGAAGCCTTTAGCTGAACTTCGCCTTTCTCATCCAAAATGGAAAGGAAGCCTTGGTCACTCTTCCTCAATCACCCATTGCTGCCCTTATTGCAGTGGTGGTCTGTGTGACACCAAACTTTAGTGCCCCCCCACCTCCCACTTTCTATTTTATATCATAGTGGTGGCAACCTGTGCAGCCAGATCCCTGAATCTGCCTCTGCTTGCTGTGTTTCCCATGACTTCCTTCCTCTCCCTCATTTCTTTTCTTTAACAGTGTTGCAATTCAACAGTAAGGTCCTCGATGCTGAGACATGTTGTTCTCAGTTATTTCACTCTGCAAAGTACTAAGTACATTCATGAAAATGAAAGAATGAAATAGGCTTATTCTCGTTTATAGGCACAATATGGACCCAAAATATTTTGAGCTTGATTTATCATGAAGGTCACCGAGATGGAACCGAAAAAGTCGACTTACTAGACAGGGCTCCGTGGCTGGAGTACAATATACGCAATGTGGATTACGACAGTCGCCCATCACCTCGCCTCTTTGCTTCCCATCTTCCCTACTATTTAGTACCCAAAGGATTAAGGAACAGAAGAGCAAAAGTAGGAAACAGCACATTTATTATTTGATAAAATTAAACGTTTGTCTTGCTTATTTAAATGATCACCTCAGTTTCCGTTAACATTTCTCCATTTTTGAAGGCAGTTCATCAAGCTGCAATTCCTTTCTCCATATGAATGAATAATGCTCTGTGCACCCTGAGCTTGGAATAATTCCCATGACTCCTAAACAGCAAAGATTTTATGCTCCATCTTAGTAAATGTCTTGGAGGATGCCATCCAACACACATAATAAGAATAAGTTCATTCAACACCATAGGATTGCTCTGTGCGTGTGACATGCATGTTCCAAAAGAGTAGGAGGCTGCCAGGGATATAAAGCAACTGGGAAGCACCAAGAATCCACAAGAAGAGATATCTGAGATCCATCCATTTATTATTTTAGGCATATATATCCCTCTTCAACAACTTGGGTCCAGACACATTTCACAACCACAGAAATAACTACAGAAGCAAAACAAAAGAGACAGTAGAAACAATATGATCAGCAATAGAATGGAATTGGTTGTTATTCCTGCAGGTTGTTTATGTGGCCAGAAACCCAAAGGATGTCATGGTTTCCTTTTACCATTTTTCCAAAATGGCAGTCAAATTTGAAGAGGTAGAAGATTTTGGAATTTTCATGGAGAGGTTTTTGGCTGGAAAAGGTAAGGAAGATTTGCTATTCTAAAATGAATCACTCTTGTCCCTTCATCTTTATCCTCCTTTGACAACAGATTAAAGAAATTCTCTTTGTGATAAGGAACGTTTTCACAATGCCATGTCTGATGCTATAGGTTACTCTGAGGAAATTCCACATCCATGCATCACAAAGAGTCTCCAACTGAGACTCCAACTACACCATTTTATGCCACTGATGACTAGTGTCCATTGATGCAAAAGGTAGGGAATAGATCTAGCCAACGCCCAAAGGAAATCAGGTGGATTTATATTCTCTTTGCATCAGGATGCAGCAGCTACAAATCATTACAAGGTGCAGCCCCTAATCCTTAATCAAGTGTAGAGATTTGTGTCAGGTAATAACTAAGAAACCCTGACACGGTCTCTTAAATGTTGCAAGTATTAACTGCCACACCATATAAGGAAACTGGCAGTGTGGGAAGGAAGGGGGCTGGAGGAAGGCTAGACTGATCTCAGCCCACCCATCACTCTTCCATCACACTGGGATGGGAAGCACAGCAGGGAGCCTTAAAATGCAGAACTCTTCTGCAAATTCTTTCTCTGAGAAAGTGTTTGGTGAGGTTGGGTGGTATTAATTCAACTTCTGTTTAATGGTTTGTACCACTGCTGGTTCTTAATAGGATTCCTTTAAATTGTGTTGATGGTGTTTATACGTTTGTACTGCTTCTCTCTGAATGTTTTTCAAAAAAAATAATCACCTGATCTACATTTTATGCCAACTCAACTTCTTTCTCATCAGTACTTGCAAGTTTATGGCTGGACCATGTGGAAGGCTGGTACACTCACAAGGATGACTTCAATATTCTGTTTCTTACCTATGAGGAAATGAAGAAGGTAAGTTATCAAAATGCTATGCAGTCTGATATTAAGCATCCATCAAAACTCTCCTTTACAAAATGGAGGAAGGAAGCAATATGATCGTTCAAGTGCCCCCTTGCTAGTTTCATTTCCTTTCTAAAGTTTTTTTTAAAAAGATTAGTGGGCCATGGAATCAGGAGCACCTTTTCAGACCCTAGACGGTGAATATTGTTCTGTAACTATTTCCCCACGCTATAAATAAAGTGTCATGATCCCAAGCAAGATATGTCATTTCACAGGCCCTCTGATGCTGAGGAGGGATGTCACAGAACCCCCATTGTGTCTGCAACAGGAACATTTATTTATTTACTTGTGGACTCAGAGCTGCCCCAGAATATAATACATTCCGCATGGCTCATGGAATAAAAGCAACAATGAAAGTATAATATAATGCAATGCCAATTATTCCAAACTAGGCAAAGAAAGATCCAGGCTGCTTGTTTCCCCTGCTTCTAATCCTGCCTACTCCATGAGTTTTAGTCGCTAGGCTGTCAGGTTTCTCTATTGTAAATGGACTGACATTAAAACCACGTTCCATTTCAGGATCTGAGAAGCTGTGTATTGAAATTATGCAACTTCCTGGGAAAGAGACTGACTGAAAAGGAGGTGGATGCTGTTGTGGATCAGGCTACATTTAATAAAATGAAAGCAGATCCCAGGGCAAACTATGAGTTCATGCCACTGGATATCCTGGACCACAGCAAAGGACCTTTTCTTCGCAAAGGTAACTCAGTGGCAGTCGAACTGAATTGGCGGTGCTTGCAAAATCTCAAACCTTTGATAGGCACCAAGAGATGGTGATTTCATTTTCCCAGTCTTCATGAAACTCTCAGTTTCTGGTGTTTCCTAATTTTAGAGTTGTTCTATTATGTACTTCCCATGTTGTTTTTTCCTTGTTCTAAATATGTATATTTAAGGGTGGCATATTTGTCTTTCCAATCTAGAGTGTGGAATTTTTTTCACACTGAGGGACATATACCCAGCTAGGGATGGAATATATCTGGAGTTATGGATATTTATTTGACCACCACAATGCACGTTCTTTCTGTCTGCTTCCTGGGCCAGGCACTGTTGGAGACTGGAAGAACATGATGACAGTCGCACAAAGTGAAAGATTTGACAGTGTTTTTAAGAAGAGAATGGAAAAGCTGCCCTTCAAGTTCTGCTGGGACATCAATGAGGAATCATGAGTCTACCTTTAGCTTGGAAGGATGAAATAAAGTGCACTGTATGCATTTAATCCAGCCGTCTTTGTAAGAGTTAGTAAAAAAAACACACCAAAAACTTTCATATGGATGGGTTAATAGCTTCCTAATGTACGAATATGAGCAATAATCTTTTTAAAAAAAACACAATAAAATTACATTTGTACTGTCCACTTTTTCTCTTTCTACATTCCAACATGTCCTAATTTCTGACCCCATGTGCAAAAGTTAAGGAATACCAAGATATCTATTGGGATTAGTAATTGTGTTTTAATTTGGCAATGTTATAATGAGGCTACCATTGGATTTTTGTAATTTAAATTTAATAAAAAATATTGCTAAAATAAGCAAACTAACCAACTATTGGTGTCCCAGATGCACTGGTGCAGGAAGCGGGGTGCAGACCACCCCGGGTGTCATCCCCAAGGGGGGGTCACATTACTGTGTGCCACCCCGGATGCTCACCGCTCGCCCAGGGAGAAGGCCAGTAGTCTAGAGAACAAGCCTGCTGTGGAACAACCTTGATGCCTCTTTGTAATGGTTTCTAAGGGGTTGCTCGTGCGTAAGCAGGCAACTATCTCCCTGGCTGGGTGCAAACACCTGGCTGGGCTGCCAAAGTAAACTTTATCTGTCCGGACGCCACTCACCCGTGGCTGACTCAGTCGCTGGCAGAATCCGTGAGTGGGCATTTCTTAAACTTCTTCCAGCAAAGAAGCTCTTTGACGCCTAGTCTCCGCCTACCCTCTCTGCGCGAAAGCCATCTGCGCAAGGAGGGCGTGGGCAACGGAGGACCCCTACTCTCCCCGCTGGTCCCAGGCAAGGAGTCCTGGGACCGCCTCGCCAATTCCCCCATCTGCCCCCCTTCTCCACTGGTGCTACGCTGATTCTCTTCCCCAGAAGATGGGCGGCTTCTCCCGATCCCTGGATGCTCTCTGGAATCCCTCTGGCTTTTGCTCTCTTCCTCTGGCACTGATGGCAGTTCCCTGACACTCTTCCAGTCAGCAAGGAGCCTTCTCCTTCAGGAGAGAGGACTAGAGTAAATTGGTTGCTGAGCCATTGCCAATGCTGCCTCCATCTCCAAGGACACACAGATGCTAACACATGCAAAAATCCTTGCAGACCCAACCCACTTGAAGGGATGCTTGTTTGCTTGCTTGTCTCCTTAGAGAGCTTAGGGCCCAGGTATTCTTGGAACAGGGCCCAGGCATTGGACATATGAAGGGAAAAGGCTGCACTTTGCCACGTCCTGAAGGTCTAGGAAAACTTAGACCTGAGAGCAGCAATCAAACACATCAGGCCCTGGGCTCAGGAGCTCAGAGGGGCACATCACTAATCCCAGCCTGACCCCCTGCCCATCTCTGGGCTGGAGCTGACAGCAAAGCAGTGAAGAAGCCCTCTGCATCCTACCCCCACAATCTATGTCAAGAAAGACCACTTATGCCATCTTGCTGCATGCCACCCCAATTTTGAGCAGTGCAAGATTCCCTGCGTTCCAAGTGCTCTTTCTCTCAAAAAGGGTATGTGGCAATCCCAATTCGGGAGACATCACACTAAAAGAAGGTGCATGTTGATCTTGAAACCTCCCAATAAAGGTGCCGGATTCTGCTGCAGCAACTACGGATGGCATTTTGTGACAACCTGGCGTTACAACTATCTATTTGACCACCACAGTGCCAGGCACTCTTGGAGACTGGGAAAACATGATGGCCATTGCAAAAATTTGAAAGCTTTGAGAGTGTTTCTCAGGAGCAGATGGAAAGGCTCCTCTACAGGTTCTGCTGGAACATCAATGGTGAACTGAGTCTGCTTCCAGCTTGAGAATATTTATACAAACTTTTTCTCGGTCTTGCATGTGTGTACCAATTGTCCAAATTTCAAGAGATTTGCTGCAGTCCATCTAAAGCTGTGTTGGAACCAAGCAAGCAGTATTCTTAATGGAGTTGCTTGCTCAGGTCCTTCTCTAGAACAGGATGTGCATATGTTGTAGTATCTGTCAATCCATGTGTTGCAAATAATTGGTTGAGAGTTGTGATTGTTGGAACAGATGTTTGTGATTATTTGAAGGCATTCTGAGTGGAAGTACTGCAGGCAAGAAGTAATTTCCTTGTAATGGTCCTACAAAATCAATATGAATTCGTGATCAGGCAAGAAGTAATTTCCCTGCAGTAGGCGTGGGAGGATCCATCTCCGCTTTCAAATATAAAAACTGCCTCTGCCTCTTCTATGTTTAAGAGTGTGGATGGGTGAATCTTATCTGTTTGGGTTTCCGCTTAGTTTCTCACATTTCCACTGTTCTTTTTGGTTCACCATATTTCTGCACCAGTTTGTGCAGAAGAAGAGAAAAAAATCATGAAAAATTGTCTGCATTTTAGTGTACATTTCTGTTGATATACAAATAATGCTTAATACAAAGATTAATATATACACACAATATTTTTGTTAATATACTAAATTTTGCATGATATTTTCAGTAAAATATACATTCTATTATCGGCATAATATCATAAACACTTTACCGTAAAATACACACATTATTTGGTTGGAAAGGTGTATCACGTAATCTGAAGATGTGTGAATTTTGAAGGATGAACTGCAGCTGTGTTTCTGTTCACATACCGTTTCAGGAAATTGAAATTAGGTGGACTTGCATTAAAGCATTAATCAGATTACTCCCCATGCCTGCTCTGGAGTATTATTACAGTCTGCCTGGCAACTAAAGCTGATGGATAAAGGACATCAGGAAACCAATATCTATTGGCCAGGAATGTTTGTATGGGCTTTGAAACATCTATCACTCCAACATATGAAGTCAGTATCATTTATCAGGAAACACAGCTGAGATTTGCCATCATTTCAAATAAAAAACCCTGCAACCATAAAATAAACTGCGCTTTCACAATCTCTCTTTTTAAATTTTTTTTTTATTAAGTTTTCCATTTTAACAATCCAATCAAATCACATTAAATATTCCAAATTATACAAATATGTATCATAAAGTCCAAATATTTTGCCAAATTATAATTTTTTTGTTGGGGGTTCCCATGCTTCAAGTTCAGTAGGGTCCAATCATCTCATATTTCTACTTCTTTGAGTGTCCACTAGTCCCTTCTTTAAATCTTCTTGTTATTATCCTTCTTCTTTCATAGCCTCTGAGTTGTTTCCACAGGCGAGCTGAAATGATCAATATTATACTTCTGTGTGAACTTTGTATGACTCTCTTTTTTTTGCAGCTGGTAAGTCTTTTATTTGCAGTATGTCCTCACGCGCTAGTATTTATGCCGAATCCATCCAAAAGTCCTTCTCGGGTGGCAGACGCCATCTTATCTCAGTTCTGATGAAATAGAATCTAGGCGTTTGCTCATTAATTTTCTCAGACAGGTTGCAGCAAACATTAGTCTTTCCAGGGAAGATTTGCCAAATTGAACTTGAGACGCAGATATAATAACAAAGTAAGAGCTCGCCTCCCCCTATGACTATTAATCTCTGCAGCGCAGTCTGTCTCGTAATGGCGGATCCCGATTAAGTTGTGCGTCACAAGAAAGTCTTTTATCTTCTTCCAAATATTTCAAAAAACAAAGGCTTTACTTAATATTATTATTTCCACACAGTTTATGTTTTCCAATCTCACTTGCTATAAGTAGTAAAAGACGGTTCTTCTGGGGGGGGGAGGGTTTGTTAGGTAGTATCGTAGTAAGAAAACAAAAAGTTTTATCCCCCCTCCTTTCCTTTCCGTTTCAACATACCGGCTTAGCTGTTGTTCTTTGATGTTATCTTTCTTCCAATCCGTCACTCTTAGCATCTCAGTGGCTGGCTTAATTAGCAGATAAAATACCCTTTCTTCGCTCGAAGCATGTCCATAAATCTTATCCAATCTTTTATCTTAAGAAATGGAACTTTGAGCGCTCATGGAGACAGTGTCCAGGAGATCCGAGCTCACTCGAGGGCTTTCCATCCAGTGCCCCCACCCCCTCCTTCTTTTTGAACTCGGGGGTGGTTTGTTGGCAGCTGCGGATGAGACTGCATCTTCCCTTCCACCGGGAAGAAACTTGGGAGGCTGATGACTCCCATCTCAGCCCCTTAATTACCTCGTGTGATCTGGAGAGATGGTATTGTCGGCCATCTTCCATGGCGCCCCTAGCAGAGCCCGGTGCTTTCAGAACCTCAGGGGTGTTGTATAAAAAAACCACCCTGTGAGTTTGTGGGGGGAAAGCTAAGGTATGGGAGGTAGACAAAATTGCCCAAGCCCAAGACACTGAAAGCGGTTTGCAGGATAAATTTGGACAGCTTAGCAAGGAGAACATAGGAAGCCATCAAGTGCATTTTCTATACAAAGGTATTCCTGAAAACATTAGCTTTAGATGATAAACAAAAACAAAAAGAAGCCATTTCTGCATGTGGCATTGTTTACTGGGACATAGCTTTCATGGAATTCTGACTAGAATGACTGGGAGCTGTCCATCTTGATGTGGACTCTGAAAATCCTTCAAAATCTTTGAAGGGTGGGAATTATTGCTGCCAATATATTGGATTTGAAAGTTTATTCTTGGGCTTGAGTCATATTTGATCTCAGATATGCTGTGTGCAAATGAAAAAGGTTGCTACTTTTCTTGGACAGATTTCTAAAACAACCAGTGCTAATTATTTAGTAAGTTTTATAGTAATAATAATAATCATCATCATCATCATTTATTTATATCCTGCCCATCTGGCTGGGTTTCCCCAGCCACTCTGGGCGGCTTCCAATCGAATATTAAAAATAATACAGCATCAGACACTAAAAACTTCCCTAAAAAGGGCCGCATTCAGTTGACTTTTAAAAGTGAAATAGTTGTTTATTGCCTTGACATCTGCTGGGAGGGCATTCCAGAGGGCAGGAACCACTACCAAGAAGGCCCTCTGCCTGTTCCCTGTAACCTCTCTTCTCGCAGTGAGAAGAGTTAAAGTGGGCGTTATAGGGGTGTAAGTGAGTGCAGGCATGTGTGTGAAACAAGTTCTTCCCCTGTTGTTCTTTAGATTATGTGCCTCAATGATCCTGTGTTACGGTTCTTTTCTTGCATAACTTGCCAGGAATTATTTACTAAGGAGGAGCCATCAATTTAATCAAACTCTTATTAGTTAAGAGAATTCTATGAAACAGTTTCCTGGAGAGCTCTGAACGTGAGCCTTGAAAAGCTGAAATACTCCAAGCTAGAGAAGAGATCGGTCTCTCCCTCTCTCTTGCACACTTTTTGACTCTAAAAACAAAAGGTAGGTAAGTTTTCTTGTAAATTAAACTTTCCAAGGAAAAGCAGGACTACTGAATGACAAACAAATAATCTACTCTTTCTTGGAAGAGTTCTTAGGGGCAACAAGGTATTTCATCAGATGCATGAAAACTCTTGTCACAGTTCATATTCTTTTCTGGTGTCAGAGTGCAACATTTGTGCTACCAGAGATTAATAGTTATTTTGAGGGGACTGAATGTGAACTCTCATTAGGCAAGTGGAACCCTGCTCATTCGGCATGGGATACAACCCTTAATTTATATATTGGAAAATCAAACGGAGTATTTTTCTTGTTACTATTTTGGACATACAGTGGTGCCTCGCAAGACGAAATTAATCCGTTCCTCGAGAGTCTTCGTCTAGCGGTTTTTTCGTCTTGCGAAGCAACCCTATTAGCGGCTTAACGGATTAGCGCTATTAGCGGTTTAGCGGCTATTAAAGGCTTAAAGGCTTAGCGGATTAGCTGCTAAAAGGCTATTAAAGGCTATTAAAGGCTTAGCAGATTAGATAAAGGGGGGGGGGGGGAAGCGAAAAAAAAATCTCTAGACTCGCAAGACATTTTCGTCTTGTGAAGCAAGCCCATAGGGAAATTCGTCCTGCGAAGCAACTCAAAAACGGAAAACCCTTTCGTCTAGCGGGTTTTCCGTCTTGCGAGGCATTCGTCTTGCGGGGCACCACTGTACAATGTTTTCCACTAAATGATTGTTGTATTTCTTAGCGATGAAACACAAGACGTATATAGAGAATTAAAGTGATTTTCAGGCTTCATGGCACTTTATTTCTTTATCATTTTTAAGCAATGGATTTTATTTTTATTTAAATGTTTATAAAGCACCCATTCATCTATAATATCACCAGGTGGTATATATTGATGTCATGCATCATATTCTATATTATGGCCTGAAATGTCCCAACAGGTATAAAAGACCTGGCGACAACTGGCGACAACTTTGGTTTCCTCAGCACCCAATGGAGCCTTGAACTTTCTCCCATAATAATTCCCCGCCTCCTTATACCATGCACTGAGCCCACCCTTGCAAGTGCCTTCCTTGTCAGACGCTACGTGGGAGGAGAGAAATTGGAGCAGGGAGGAGACAAAAAAAGAAAGGGCTATTTTGGCAGTGGTGTCTCAGTATGGGAACACCTGCCCCAACAGGGCCCATTGTATGTCTAGCCAGCTCTCTGTATTATCATAGATGAAGCTGAGGGCAGCACTCCCTCCATGGAACGTCCTTGGGCACCACATTTCAGCAGCAGTTTCAGCCAGAGCTGGCAATGGAAGCCAGATGGGCGATGAAGAATACCTTTCTCTTTGCCACCCTGTGGTCCCCAGGCACATCTATCGTTTGGTCCCAGGAAGGCCAGAAAATACATCACCCCAATTTCTTGAAGCTGATCAAGAACCCAGGAGGAATTGGCAAGAGTTCCCAACAGAGTCTGTCTTTCATTTTCCCTGGATCCATTTACAGGGAGCAGTTTTTGCTTCCTTCCCACCTCCCCTGAGTACAAGAATGAGTGTCAGGATAGCAGCACTGACCAAACTATGATGCCAGGCAGCATAAAGTGAGGCCAAGGGCTGCTATTTTGCATGGTGCACACATGCACTTGAGAAATAACTATGTGAGGGTGAGAGAGAAAAGCCTTATTGTGTAGGGCAAAGCCAGCTTTGAGTTGAAAGCAGCACCATTTTAAGAAACACTTAAAGCAAGTGGGAAATAGTGCTTTGTTGCCTCAATGATGGCTCAAGTCTCTGTACTTTAAATGATGGACCTTTATGTTGTTCACCTGTGATGGAAGAGAAGCATGCAATTCTGCTATGGGGTCTGCAAAAAGAGTAGGATTTGACAAAATGACACCTCTATTCCTTTGTGATTTCCCATTGTCATATAATAGAGGGAACTATTGAGGAGAATCAGAACTTACAGGGTTAAACAGTTCTGTGTGACATCTCACATTCTGAGGCGTGGTTATGTTCACATACGGGAATCTTTCTTTGTGTTTGAGTTACTTTTGGTTTTGGCTGAGAGACAAAAGAATGCCTGCTCTCTCGCCGGGACTGATTTATGATGTTTTTCTTCTCATTAAAGGCTGTTAGCGATTAGCAAGAAGTCTGCGTTCAGTCTGATTTATTATCCACACACAAGGCAACATTTTCTGCCACTGCAGATCTCTGCTAAGAGCTGCAAAGAGAGCTCAAGTTTTTTCTATCGGCACAGGCGTCCATCGGCACAGGGGAAGTGTGCCGGGCGCCATCTTATCTCAACAACTATTCCCTTCTCTTTATTCTTAGGCAGACAATGCAACCAGCCGAGAAATACCTTTTCACCTACAGAGGATTTTATTTCCAGTCAGCATTTACTTCAGTGGAGTACTTAGATTCCCTGGAGAATTTTGAAATAAGAGACAGTGATGTATTTATAGTCACTTATCCAAAATCAGGTAAGAGTACATTTTCGTAGGTTGAACCATCATTTCAATTCAACCCTGTTGGATACCCACATATATCTACATAGTATCTATATTATCCTAAGGCAAGTTTAAAACCACATGCAAGGTGAGGTGAATACTGGTAGTATTGAACTTACCTGGTTACATAAAGATGAACTGGGCAATAATTATTTTTAAGATGGAGTAATATGTTTTCCACCAGTGTCAACCTGTTTGAGGTTTTGAAAACAACATAAATACACATCAAAAACATTCAAATGTGCTTGCTAAGGGTTTATTATATTCACTGACTTTCAGGATTTTGTATGTGGTGGTAAAATGGTGGTTGTAAAATTCTATTCTTAAGAAATTTCATACTGTGTCTCTTTATTTCAGCATTTATCTGCCACAGTTTTGCCAATAATAACAGGGGTCCGTATCCAATACAGTTGTGCCCTCCATTCAATAACTTCCACTTCCACACCAGAACTTCCTTCACTCTTCTCTCCCCTTGTGTCCCCAGTGTTCCCCAAATCTGCCTTGGAGGGTTGGTGGGGAAGACCCAATAACTGGGAGTGGGAGAGGAGAGAGAGGGGAGATTCTGCATTGTACAGGCATTTAGGACTTGGGTGACATGAAGAAAAGCTTCTGCAACTGCCTTTTGCCTATTATGTTTGTCCCACTGGCCATTTGTCAATATTCCTGTTCCTAGAATGCATTGATTGCATTGGCAGCCCATGCAGCCCGGTCCCTAAATCTGCCTCTGCTTGCTGTGTTGATTCCCTTCCTCTCTCTCATTTCTGGCACAGATCTCCCATTAGGTCCAGTCGTGGATGCCTCTGGGTTTTTGCGCTCATCTCGCTCTATAGGCCGAGGGAGCCGGCGTTTGTCCGCAGACAGCTTCTGGGTCATGTGGCCAGCCTGACTACCATAGATTCCGGCATATTAGGCGACTGGGCATATAAGACGACCCCCCAAATTGGCAGCTGCAATTTGAGGGTTCGTCTTATAAGTCCAGTTGCTTAATACGCTGGGCAGCTCTGCGCCACGAGAAAGCCACCCGGCGCTGAGCAGAGCCCGCCGCCAGCTGCTGCTGCTTCCGAAGCAGTGGGGGGGGGGCAGGCTCCATGCCAGGCAGTCCTCTCCCACTGTGAAGCCCGCCGTACGCCGCCAATACCCGGCGTATAATACGACCCACGACGTTTTAACCTCTTTTCCAGGGTTAAAAAGTCTTCTTATACGCGGGAATCTACGGCAAGTCGCTTCTGGAGAACAAGAGCGGCTCACAGAAATGCCGTTTACCTTCCCGCCAGAGCGGTACCTATTTATCCACTTGCAGTTTTATGTGTTTTCGAACTGCTAGGTGGGCACGAGCTGGGAACGAGCAATGAGAGCTCACCCCGTCGTGGGGATTCGAACCGTGACCTTCTGATCGGCAAGCCCTAGGCTCTGTGGTTTAGACCACGGCACCACCCATGTCCCCATATGAATGAAATTAAGTATGCTTATTCTCGTTTATAGGCACAATATGGACTCAAAATATTTTGAGCTTGATTTATCATGAAGGTCACCGAGATGGAACTGAAAAAGTCGACTTAGTAGACAGGGCTCCGTGGCTGGAGTACAATGTCCGCAATGTGGATTACGTCAGTCGTCCATCACCTCGCCTCTTTGCTTCCCATCTACCCTACTATTTAGTACCCAAAGGATTAAGGAACAGAAGAGCAAAAGTAGGAAACAGCACATTTATTATTTGATCATATTCAATGTTTGTCTTGCCTTATTTGAATGAACATCTCAGTTTCCGATAACATTTCTCTGATTTTGAGGGAACTTCATCCAGCTGCAATTCCTTTGTCCATATGAATGAAAAATGCTCTGTGCACCCTGAGCACAGACTCCTAAACTCCTAATTCCCATGACTCTTAAACAGCACAGAGTTTATGCTCCACCATAGTAAAAGTCCTGGAGGGTGTTAAGAATAAAACAGGTTCTTTTATCTGAGATTCAGTGCACTTCAGGCAGAACACAAGTAAGCAGTCAAACAACCAATATATTGGAATTTATACATAACATTGCTTTGTTGAATAACAAGCAGAACACATAACAAGATAAGGGAACATGCACTCATTCTCTCACACAATCACACATACACTCACCACTCTTCTTCTGGATCGGGTGGGCAGACAGCGGGATCCTGGCTGCATCCGACACACCAACTCTCCTGAAAAGCCTGATCTTATATAGTCTTTTTTGGTGCACATCTGAATATTGCCATTTCTCATTGCCTTTGACATGTTCTTGGCAGTCCTCCACCCTTAGCATGTTCTTGGCATATCACAACTCTCATGGTTTGCGCCTGGTCTTCTGTAAGTTTTGGCACGGTATGATACTCATTGTTTGTAACTAGCATTGCACAGCCAGTCTTTCCACTTCCTTGCAGGTACAGTACTTTTGCCAGAACATGCACATTCTATTTGCTCTTTGATCAGCACAATTTATTAATAGTTCATCAACAGCATCCATTTTATGTGGTGGTCTTCAGCCCATTCAAAACATGGCATTTGTTGTGCAAGTACTTGGAGCTCGCAAAGCTGACAGTTGCAATACGAGATAAACCTAAAATTATGATGAAAGAAGAATGGGAATGTATAAATAATTATCTAGGGGATAAGGGTTCAACAAGAAAGACCTGGTTATGTTTAGAATGATACCTCATAGAGAAATGTTCCCTGATACCAAATTGAGGGATTCCTTGGAATGCAGATAGAGAGAATTGATAAGAATAATGATCTGTTGTGACCTTGATGGAAGCGTACAATAGATGAGCCTTCCTGTGTTTTGGCCCTTCTTCTTCTTCTTCTTCTTCTTCTTCTTCTTCTTCTTCTTCTTCTTCCTTTTCCCTTTTCCCTTTTCCCTTTCCCTTTTCCCTTTCCCTTTTCCTTTTTTTCTCATCCTTCTTCTTATGTTTTATGCCATGTACTTTGATTTTTTTAGCTTTTTCATTATTATCATTATTAAGTAATTTTCTTTTGTAATTTTGGTTGTCTATATTTATATGTATTTGTTTAAAGCAAAATAAACATATTTTAAAAAAACAAAAAAATGGCATTCGTTACAAGGGTGCCATCCAACAGACTTAATAAGAATAAGCTCATTCGACACCATAGGATTGCACTGTGCATGTGACATTCATGCTGCAAAAGAGGGTGAGGCTGCCAGGGCTGTAAAGCAACTTGGAAGCACTAAGAATCCACAAGAAGAGATATCTGAGATCCATCCATTTATTATTTTAGAAATCGAAAGAATTTGTTGTTATTCCTGCAGGTTGTTTATGTGGCCAGAAACCCAAAGGATGTCTTGGTTTCCTTTTACCATTTTTCCAAAATTGTAGTTGTCAAGGCTGCCTCAAGTCTTAGCTCACAAAAGACCAACGCCTCTGTCTTCTTATATACAAAAGTGTTTATTGCAGTTCATGGTTTGCTTGACATCCTAGGCGCGCAGCCTTACGTCTCTTACGCTAGACCGCCGAAGTCCCCTCTGAGTCAGTTCCTCCCCTGCACCAATTTAAGAGACTTGCGCTGCTCCACCTCTTTCTCTCCTTCCTTTTCCGCAGGGTCCTTCTGCCCACTGGGGTTTCGCCCTCCTGGATTCCTCTGACGCGGAATCCCCAGACTGCTCTTCCCCCTCCTGCGGGCTTTGGGACCTGGCCCCTCCTCCGGGCTCCCTGCAATTCCGCGCGCCTCTACTTTTGAACTTTTATCGCGCTCCAAACCTCTAACTTTCCTTTTGACAGTTACACTACTCCCTTCACTGCTCCCTCCTTCCGGGAGGGCGGCTTGCTCTGACCCCCTCCTTTCTCTGCTGCTGGAGCTGCTTCCTCTGACACACTGGAAACTCCACCCCTTCGCTGCACTCTGGTGGGGAGGATGGTCCTGACGCCCAGCTGCCACTTTGGGATCTTCCGCTGGCACCCTGCTCCTGACACTTCCCCTGGGGCTCCCTGGCCTTGACCACCGGCGCCCCCTTCTGGGAATCCTCTGATTCGCTGGAAAGACTCATGGAATCTCTTGAGTCATTGTCATCCTCTTCCTCGCTGGCTTGGAATTCCTCCCCATCGCTCTCCATTTGCTGCCTACCCTGTGCCTCTCTCCCTGAACCCCTGACAGTAGTCAAATTAGAAGAAGTAGAAGATTTTGGAATTTTCATGGAGAGGTTTTTGGCTGGGAAGGGTAAGGATGAATTGCTACTCTAAAATGAATCACTCTTGTCCCTTCATCTTTATCCTTTGACAACAGATTAAAGAATTTCTCTCTGTGTTAAGGAACCTTTTCACAATGCCATGTCTGATGCCATAGGTTACTCTGAGGGAATTCCACATCCATGCATCACAAAGCGTCTCCAACTGAGACTCCAACTACACCATTTTATGCCACTGATGACTGGTGTCCATTGATGCCGAAGGGAGGGTATAGATCTGGCCAACTCCCAAAGGAAATCAGGTGGATTTGTATGCTGTCTGCATCAGGATGCAGCAGCTACAAATCATTACAAGCTGGAACACCCAATGCTTAATCAAGTGTAGAGATTTGTGTCAAGTTAAGTCAGAAACCCAGACAGTGTCTCTAAATGTTGCAAGTATTCACTTCCACACCATATAAGGAAACTGCCAGAGTGGGAAGGAAGGGGGCTGGAGGAAGGCTAGACTGACCTCAGCCCACCCATCACTCTCTCATCACACAGGGATGGGAAGCACAGCAGGGAGCCTTAAAATGCAGAACTCTTCTGCAAATTCCTTCTCGGAGAAAGTGTTTGATGAAGGTGGATGGTATTAATTCAGCTTCTGTTTAATGGTTTGTACCACTGCTGGTTCTTAAAATGATCCCTTAAAATTGTTTTAATGGACTTTATATGTTCATACTGCTTCCCTCTGATTTTTTTTTTTTTTTAATCTGATCTACATTTTATGCCAACTCAACTTCTTTCTCATCAGTACTTGCAAGTTTATGGCTGGACCATGTGGAAGGCTGGTACACTCACAAGGATGACTTCAATATTCTGTTTCTTACCTATGAGGAAATGAAGAAGGTAAGTTATCAAAATGCTATCCAGTCCGATATTAAGCATCCAGCAAACTCACCTTTACAAAATGGAGGAAGGAAGCAATTTGATTATTCCAGTGCCCTCAGCTGCTCTTTTCCCAGCTGCTCTCGCTTCCTTTCCAAAAGATTTTTCAAAGCCGAGCAGGCCATGGATTCGGGTGCAGCTTTTCAGACCCTAGACTGCGAAAAGTGCACTGTAACCATTTCCCCTGAGGGATTATGGGGCTATAAATAAAGTGTCATGATCCCAAGCAAGATATGTCATTTCACAGGCCCTCTGATGCTGAGGAGAGATGTCACAGAACCTCCCTTGTGTCTGCAACAGGGACATTTATTTATTTACTTGTGGACTCAGAGCTGCCCCAGAATATAATGCATTCTGCATGGCACATGGAATTAAAGCAACAATGAAAGTATAATGCAATGGCAATTATTACAAAGTAGGCAAAGAAAGATGCAGGCTGCTTGTTTCCCCTGCTTGTAATCCTGCCTTTTCCATGAGTTTTAGTCTCTAGGCTTTCAGGTTTCTCTATTGTGGGTGGCCTGACATTAAAACCACGTTCCATTTCAGGACCTGAGAAGCTGTGTATTGAAATTATGCAACTTCCTGGGAAAGAGACTGACGGAAAAGGAGGTGGATGTTGTTGTGGATCAGGCTACATTTAATAAAATGAAAGCAGATCCCAGGGCAAACTATGAGTTCCCTTCACCAGATCGCATGGACCACAACAAAGGACATTTTCTTCGCAAAGGTAAGTTAATGGTAGAAAAAACTGATTTGGTGCTTCTTGTAGAATCCCCTACAGATTCACCTGATATTTACACTGATATGTGATAGCTACCAAGTAATGGTGATTTCATTTTTCCAGTCTTCATGAAACTCTCAGTTTCTGTTACTCCCTAATTTTAGAGTTGTTCTATTATGTACTTCCCCTGTTGTTTTTTCCTTGTTCTAAATAGGAGGTTTTCTTCACAATTGTAATTTATGGTAGATCAAACTGACATATTCACCTGACAATGGCATCTAGGGATGGAATATATCTGGAGTTATGGATATTTATTTGACCACCACAATGCACTTTCTTTCTGTCTGCTTCCTGGGCCAGGCACTGTTGGGGACTGGAAGAACATGATGACAGTCGCACAAAGTGAAAGGTTTGACAGTGTTTTTAAGGAGAGAATGGAAAAGCTGCCCATCAAGTTCTGCTGGGACATCCATGAGGAATCATGAGTCTGCCTTCAGCCTGGAAGGATGAAATAGAGTGCACTGTGTGCATTTAATCCAGCCCTATTTATAAGATTCAGCAGAATATTCTCATGTGGCTTAATAGCTTCCTAACATTCAAATATGTGCATTAATGTTTTTAAAACACCACAATAAAATTACATTTGTACTCTCCGCTTCTTGTCTTTCTACATTCCAACATGTCCTAATTTCTGAGCCCATGTGCAAATGTTAAGGAATCCCAGGATATCTATTGGGATTAGTAATTGTGTTTTAATTTGGCAGTGTTACAATGAGGCTACCATTGGATTATTGTAATTGAAATTTAATAAAAAATATTCTTAAAATAAGCAAACTAACCAACTATTGGTGTCCCAGATGCACTGGCGGAGGAAGCGGGGTGTGGGCCACCCCTGGTGTCATCCCTGAGGGGGGGTCACATTGCTGTGCTGCCCCCCCCCAAAAGATGCTCACCGCTTGCCATGGGCGGCGCCCCCCTGATATGCTCACCCCGCGCCCGGGTGCCAGAGCAACTACCTCTGCTTCTGCCCAGACGGCAATGTAAATCATCCCACTCACTCATGTCATCTATTTATTTGTTGGTGGTGGAATTCAACTTCACGCTCTTCCAATCATTCCATCAGGACAAACATTCCAGCCTGCTGGTTGGCACAACCCCTCCTCACCTTCATTCCTTCTGCACTGTTCTTGGGGTTCTCCTGACCCCCCTCAGAGTCAATTTTGAGGGTGTGTGGGGAATATGTGGGGAGAAGTGGGGGAAATGGACAGTGTATGTTTGATCCCCATAGCAATCTCCTTCATGGGTCAGATTGAAAAGGAGGAATTTCCATTGGGATCATGGAGCAGAGAGAAAGGGTTAAAGCAAATTTTGGATGCCATAGAACCTGGATCAGAAGTTCCAACTGCTACTTTTAAATCTTAAGAAATGATGTCATGAGTTCCATCACAGAGGGAAACATCACAGAGGGAATGGTTGGATCCTGAAAATCAATGGGACGAGCTCAGGAAGGTGGGGCTGAATAACCCTTGGGAAGGTCTTAGCCAGATGCAAGAGGTGAAATGAGGATCCCAAGAAGCGTCTGAGCCCAGGGAGAAGGCCAGTAGTCTAGAGAACAGAGAGGCACCAAGCGGGTTGGCAGAAAAATGTTCTGCCCCTGTAACGTTGGACATTCCAAACCAGAGACCGCCTGCTGTGGAACAACCTTGGTGCCTCTTCCAGTCAGCAAGAAGCCTTCTCCTTCAGAGGAGAGAACTAGAGTAAATTGGATGCTGATCCATTGCCAATGATGCCTGCATCTCCAAGGACACACAGATGCTAACACATGCAAAAATCCTTGCAGACCCAACCCACCTGTAGGGATCCTTGTTTGCTTGCTTGTCTCCTTAGAGAGCTTAGGTCCCAGGTATTCTTGCAACAGGGCCCAAGCACGGGACATGTGAAGGGAGAAGGCTGCAATTTGCCACATCCTGAAGGTCTAGGAAAATTTAGCCCAGGGTCCAACCTAGGCCTGAGAGCAGCAGTCAAACACATCAGGCCCTGGGCAAGGTCTCAGGAGCTCAGAGGGGCACATCACTAGTCCCAGCCTGACCCCACTGCCCATCTCTGAGAGATTGGGCTGGAGCTGACAGCAAAGCAGTGAAGAAGCCCTCTGCATCCTACCCCCACAATCTATGTCAAGAAAGACTTCTTATGCCATCCTGTTGCATGCCACCCCAATTTTGAGCAGTGCAAGATCCCAGGGGTTCCAAGTGCTCTGAGGTACGGGAGGTAGACAAAGTTGTGGAGCTGCCCAAGCCCAAGACATTGAAAGTGTTTTGCAGGATAAATTTGGACAGTTTAGCAAGGAGAACACAGGAGGCTATCAAGTGTATTTTTTATGCAAAGTTATTCCTGAAAACATTAGCTTTAGATGATAAACAAAAACAAAAAGAAGCCATTTCTGCATGTGGCATTGTTTACTGGGAAATAGCTTTCATGGAATTCTGACTAAAATGACTGGGAGCTGTCCATCTTGATGTGGACTCTGAAAATCCTTCAAAATCTTTGAAGGGTGGGAATTATTGCTCCAATATATTGGATTTGAAAGTTTATTCTTGGGCTTGAGTCATATTTGATCTCAGATATGCTGTGTGCAAATGAAAAAGGTTGCTACTTTTCTTGGACAGATTTCTAAAACAACCAGTGCTAATTATTTAATAAGTTTTATATTAATAATAATAATAATAATAATAATAATAATAATTTATTTATTTATTTATATCCTGCCCATCTGGCTGGGTTTTCCCAGCCACTCTGGGTGGCTTCCAACCGAATATTATAAATAATACAGCACCAGACATTAAAAACTTCCCTAAAAAGGGCTGCCTTCAGTTGACTTTTAAAAGTAAAATAGTTGTTTATTGCCTTGACCTCTGCTGGAAGGGCATTCCACAAGGCAGGAACCACTACCGAGAAGGCCCTCTGTCTGGTTCCCTGTAACCTCACTTCTCACAGCGAGGGAACTGCCAGAAGGCCCTCGGTGCTGGACCTCAGTGTCCGGGCAGAACGATGGGGGTGGAAACGCTCCTTCAAGTATACAGGACTGAGGCCATTTAGGGCTTTAAAGGTCAGCATCAACACTTTGAATTGTGCTCGGAAACGGACTGGGAGCCAATTAAGATCATTCAGGACCGGTGGTCTCGGCGGCTACTCCCAGTCACCAGTCTAGCTGCCTCATTGTGGATTAAAACAAAAAGGGATAATTTTGGAGTTAAAGTTGGTGTTATTGGGGTGTAAGTCAGTGCAGGCATATGTGTACAAATAGACATCCATTGGTGAATCTCAGGTCTCTCGTACCATTTGAGCCCATTTTCTACTAGCGGACCAGATGTAATACTGCATTTATTTGTTAAACGGACAAAGTCCACTGTTGATATTGGCTGTTGCTTGTGTAAAGAAACAAATTCTTCCCCTGTTGTTCTTTACATTTTGTGCCTAGATGATCCTGTTTTATCGTTCTTTTCTTGCATAACTTGCCAGGAATGATTTACTAAGGAGGAGCCATCGATTTAATCAAACTCTTATTAGTTAACAGAATTCTATAAAGCAGTTTCCTTTGAGAGCTCTGAACGTGAGCCTTGAAAAGCTGAAATACTCCAAGCTACAGAAGAAATCAGTCTCTCCCTCTCTCTTGCACACTTTTTGACTCTAAAAACAAAAGGTAGGTAAGTTTTCTTGTTAATTAAACTTTCCAGGGAAAAGCAGGACTACTGAATGACAAACAACTAATCTACTCTTTCTTGCAAGAGTTCCTAGGGGCAACAAGGTATTTCATCAGATGCATGGAAACTCTTTTCACAGTTCATATTATTTTATGGTGTCACACAGAATGCAACATTTGTGCTACCAGAGATTAATAGTTATTTTGAGGGGACTGAATGTGAACTCCCATTGTGCAAGTGGAACCCTGCTCATTCGGCATGGGATACAACCCTTAATTTATATATTGGAAAATCAAACGGAGTATTATTCTTGTTACTATTTTGGACATACAATGTTTTCCACTAAATGATTGTTGTATTTCTTAGCGATGAAACACAAGACTTATATAGAGAATTAAAGTGATTTTTCTGTCTTCATGGCACTTTATTTCTTTATCACTTTTAAGCCATGGATTCTATTTTTATTTAAATGTTTATAAAGCACCCATTCATCTATAATATCACCAGGTGGTATATCTCGATGTCATGCATCATATTCTATATTATGGCCTGAAATGTCGTAACAGGTACAGTGGTGCCTCGCAAGACGAAATTAATTCGTTCCGCGAGTTTTTTCGTCTAGCGAATTTTTCATCTTGCGAAGCACGAAATCCCATAGGAATGCATTGAAATCCAATTAATGCGTTCCTATGGTCAAAAAAAGTCCAAACAAAGCCAAATTTGGTACAACAAGAGTTTATTAAGTGCTCTTTAAAGTCACACATACTGTAAAGAGCATTTCAAAAATTGAAGGAACAATAAATTAAGTTTCTAAACATGACAGGAAAAACATTTAAAAATCAACAAAGTGTACATTACATTTTCTAAGACTCTGGGGGACCACTCGAAGAAGGTTCCTCTTCCACTCTTTGCTTCTTGCTTAAGAACCTGTCCATGGTCTGCTGCTTCATCCGCCTTTTCAGCACCTCCCTGAAAGGCGACATGACCGTCGTATCAAAAGTGTTCGCAAGGTCATGTGCCACGTGCTTGTTAGGGTGGTTCCGCTCTGCAAAGCCTGCACATCCTTCCACTTCATGCAAATGTCCCTCAGTTCTTTGGAGGACAGCCGTTCCTCAGTTGCTTCCTCCTCTTCCAGCGAGGCCTGCTCCTGCGCAGCTTCTGCCTGCAGTTCGACCAGCTCCTGGGGGGTCAGCTCGTGGTCGTGCTCCTCCACCAGCTCGCAGACGTCCTCCTCTGTGACCTCCAGGCCCATGGTCCTCCCCAAGGCAACAATGTCCTGTACCACTGTTGACTCTGGTGCATCAGAGTCACTTGGTGCCACACAGTCCGGCCACAGGCTGCGCCAAGCGCAATTCAAATTTCTCTGGCTGATCCCTTTCCAGGCCGTGGTGATCATCTTCAAGCAGGTGACGATGTCGAAGTGGTCCTTCCAGAATTCCCACAGGGTGATGGTGGTGCAATCAGTCACCTCAAGCATCGCCTGAAAAGCTCCTTGGTGTAGAGTTTTTGAAATTGGCGATGACCTGCTGATCCATCGGCTGGAGCAGTGGCGTGGTGTTAGGTGGCAGGAACATGATGTTGATGAAGCTGAACTCCTCCAACAAGTCCTCCTCAAGGCCTTTAGGATGAGCAGGAGCATTGTCCATCAGAAGCAAAGCCTTCAGCGGCAGGTCATTGTCCAGCAGGTACTGTTTGTCAGCAGGGCCAAAAGCAAGATTAACCCAGTCCACAAACAGCACACGTGTGACCCAAGCCTTACTGTTGGATCGCCACATGACACTCAGCTGCTCCTTGTCGACCTTGTGTTTCTTGAAGGCCTGTGGGTTCTCCGAGTGGTACACCAGCAGGGGCTTGATCTTCAGGTCGCCGCTTGCGTTGGCACAGAAGAGCAGGGTCAGACGGTCCTTCATGGGCTTGTGGCCAGGCAACTTGGCCTCCTCCTGAGTGATGAAAGTCCTTTTCCAAAACAGCCCGGTCTCGTTGCAGTTGAAGACCTGCTGTGGAACGTAGCCCTCCGTCTTCACAGCCTCCAGGAACTCCAATGCAAAGTCTTCAGCCGCAGGAACATCAGAACTGGCAGCCTCTCCATGCCTGACCACGCTGTGGATTCCAGATCTTGTCTTGAACCAGTCAAACCAGCCTCTGCTTGCCTTGAAGACTTCTGGCTCGCCTGAGGTTCCTGGCTGTTCCCGGACGAGGTCTGCGTGCAAGGCCTTGGCCTTCTCACAAATCACGGCCTCAGTCACTGTGTCCCCTGCACGCTGCTTCTCTTCTAACCAGATGAGCAGCAACTTCTCGACCTCCTCCAGAACAGCTGGGCGGTTCTTCACGATCCTGGTGACTCCCTTGGCTGCATCAGTCGCAAAGATCTTCTCCCTCATCTTCAGGATGGTGCCTATGGTCGATGGGTTCCTGCCGTACTCCCTGGCAAGGTCTGTCACACGCATTCCACCGTCGTGCTTCCGGATGATCTCCTTCTTCATTTCCAGCATCACCTTCTCCTTCTTCCTCTCACCGGCCTCTGCAGCAGCAGTCTTCTTGGGTCCCATGGCAGCACAGCTCCTAGCTTCGTAAACTCAGAAAAAGAAAAAAAAATCAGTGCTTCACACCCAAAAAATTCAAAAGCACCCAGCCACCCACCACACAGGAATTCAAACCCAGAACCAAGTCCTTGAATTCCAAACACCCAACCCAAAATCCAAAAACCCCCCAAAAAGTTTTAAAAGTTTAATTTACGAAATGGCTGCAAATCACCAAAGTCTTCAAAATCCTCAAATGGCTGCAAAAGAAGTTTTGGAAAAGCTTTAAAAATCACCAAAGTCTTCAAAAACCTCAACTGTTCCCCCAGCCACCCACCCACCACACAGAAATTGCAAACCCCTCCCCAACTGTTGCAAACCCCTCCCCAACTGTTGCAAACACCTCCCCAACTGTTCCCCCAGCCACCCACCATACAGAAATTCAAACTCAGAATTTTTTTTTGGAAAAAAAAACATGGCCCAATGGTCACAGAAAGTCATAAAAATGCAGAAAAAACCACACAAGCTCCCAGATTCTTGCAAACCCCTCCCCAGCTGTTCCCCCAGCCACCCACCACACAGAAATTTAAACTCAGAATTTTTTTTGAAAAAAAAAACATGGCCCAATGGTCACAGAAAATCATAAAAATGCAGAAAAAAACCACACAAGCTCCCAGATTCTTGCAAACCCCTCCCCAACTGTTCCCCCAGCCACCCACCACACAGAAATTCAAATACAGAATTTTTTTTTGGAAAAAAAGCAACATGGCCCAATGGTCACAGAAAATCATAAAAATGCAGGAAAAAAACACACAAGCTTCCAGATTCTTGCAAACCCCTCCTCAACTGTTCCCCCAGCCACCCACCACACAGAAATTCAAACCCAGAATTTTTTTTTTAAAAAACAGCAGAGTGCCCCAGTGGTCACAGAAAATCATAAAAATGCAGGAAAAACCCACACAAGCTCCCAGATTCTTGCAAACCTCTCCCCAAACCAAGTCCTTGAATTCCAAACACCCCAACCCAAAATCAACCCCCCCCAAAAAAGTTTTAAAAGTTTAACTTACCAAACGGCTGCAAAAGAAGTTCTGGAAAAGCTTCAAAAATCAGCAAAGTCCTCAAAAACCTCAAAAAAGGCTACCACACCACGTGCAATGTGTTGCTCCTCGAAGTCAAGTCACAACTGCACCTCTTCAAGCAATGCACCCTGGGTATTAACGGTTTTACGAAAAAGGAAACAAACTTACAAGATGTTTTCGTCTTGCGAAGCAAGCCCATAGGGAAATTCGTCTTGTGAAGCAGCTCAAAAAACGGAAAACCCTTTCGTCTAGCGAGTTTTCCGTCTTGCGAGGCATTCGTCTTGCGGGGTACCACTGTATAAAAGGCCTGGCGACAACTGGCGACAACTTTGGTTTCCTCAGCACCCAATGGAGCCTTGAACTTTCTCCCATAACAATTCCCCGCCTCCTTATACCATGCACAGTGCCCACCCTTGCAAGTGCCTTCCTTGTCAGATGCTACATGGGAGGAGAGAAATTGGCGCAGGGAGGAGGCAAAAAAAGAAGAAGAAAGATCTATTTTGGCAGTGGTGTCTCAGTATGGGAACACCTGCCCAACAGGGCCCATTGTATGTCTAGCCAACTCTCTGTATTATCATAGATGAAGCTGAGGGCAGCACTCCCTCCATGGAACGTCCTTGGGCACCACATTTCAGCAGCAGTTTCAGCCAGAGCTGGCAATGGAAGCCAGATGGGCGGTGAAGAATACCTTTCTCTTTGTCACCCTGTGGTCCCCAGGCACATCTATGGTTTGGTCCCAGGAGGCCCGGAAAATACGTCATCCCAATTTCTTGAAGCTGATCAAGAACCCAGGAGGAATTGGCAAGAGTTCCCAACAGAGTCTGTCTTTCATTTTCCCTGGATCCATTTACAGGGAGCAGTTTTTGCTTCCTTCCCACCTCCCCTGAGTACAAGAATGAGTGTCAGGATAGTAGCACTGACCAAACTATGATGCCAGGCAGCATAAAGTGAGGCCAAGGGCTGCTATTTTGCCTGCTGCACACATGCACTTCAGAAATAACTATTTCAGGGTGAAAGAGAAAAGCCTTATTGTGTAGGGCAAAGCCAGCTTTGAGTTGAAAGCAGCACAATTTTAATAAACACTTAAAGCAAGGGGGAAATAATGCTTTGTTGCCTCAATGATGGGTCAAGTCTCTGTTCTTTAAATGATGGACCTTTATGTTGCTCACCTGTGATGGAAGAGAAGTATGGGATTCTGCTACGGGGTCTGCAAAAAGAGTAGGATTTGACAAAATGACAACTCTATTTCTTTGTGATTTCCCATTGTCGCATAATAGAGGGAACTATTCTCTTCTCTTTATTCTTAGGCAGGGAATGCAACCAGACGAGAAATACCTTTTCACATACAAAGGATTTTATTTCCAGTCAGTATTTACTTCAGTGGAGTACTTAGATTCGCTGGAAGATTTTGAAATAAGAGACAGTGATGTATTTATAGTCACTTATCCAAAATCAGGTAAGAGTACAATTTCGTAGGTTGAACCATCATTTCAATTCAACCCTGATGGATACCCACATATATCTACATATTATCTGTATTATCCTAACGCAAGTTTAAAACCAAATGCAAAATTGAGGTCAATGTGGGTAGTATGGAACTTACCTGGTTACATAAAGGTGAACTACACCATGTTTTGTTTTGCTTCAAAAAAAAGATATGAAATAATGAGTTTTCCACCAGTGTCAACCTGTATGAGGTTTGGAAAACAACATAAATACACATCAAAAACATTCAAATGTGCTTGCTAAGGGTTTATTGTATTCACTGACTTTCAGGATTTTGTATGTAGTGGTAAAATGATGATTGTAAAATTCTATTCGTAAGAACTTTCATCCTGTGACTTTTTATTTCAGCATTTATCTGCCACAATTTTGCCAATAATAACAGGGGTCCGTATCCAATGCAGTTGTGCCCTCCATTCAATAACTTCCACTTCCACACCAGAACTTCCTTCACTCTTCTCTCCCCTTGTGTCCCCAGTGTTCCCCAAATCTGCCTTGGAGGATTGGTGGGGTGGGGAAGACACAATAACCGGGAGTGGGAGAGGAGAGAGAGGGAAAGTTCTGCATTGTATAGGCATTTAAGACTTGGGCGACATGAAGAAAGGATTCTGCAACTGCCTTTTGCCTATTATGTTTGTCTCACTGGCCATTTGTCAACATTCCTGTTTCTGGAATACATTGATAAAAAAATCATAGTTTGAATGTGCTGAATCAAAGTACTTTGGAGAATCAGACAACCTTTTTTTTATTCCCTGGACTTTGTCTATCATTTGTATAATGTGCTGTGAAGAATCTGGAATAGAGTTTTTGGTAGCTTTCTGAACAATAAAGGACCTTATTAGCAAATATTTTTTCTGTCTTCCCAAATCCTCAAATTCTGTGAAACCTTTAGGTCAGGGGTCGGCAACCCGCGGCTCCGGAGCCGCATGTGGCTCTTTTACACCTTTGCCGCGGCTCCGGGGCGGATACTAGAGCTACCCATGTACCCCCAGCAGCCAAAACAAAATGCCACAAAATGAGTGAATGATTTCCCCCCCAAAAAATTTACACAACAAACATAAAAAGAATAAATTGATCTTACATTACATATACATTACATTCTCGCTGCAAGACGCCACATTACAGGGAAACAAGCAGGGGCAGAGGCGAGGGAGCGTCCCTCAATTTCCTGCTGGCGTGAGAAGCGTAGAAAGTACCCGGCCATCCCGTGAAGTCTTTTGCGGCGGTTGCCAGAAAATGCCTGTGAAAACGCAGCCTGCCGGGACTCGGTCCCTGAGCGCCATGTCGGCCAGACAGGGCTTTTTGCGCCCGCTTACAAAGCTGCCACATGTCGGACGCTCCCTCGCCCGCTTTGACAGGCGCCTTCGGCCAGCTCGAACCCGCCCCCCAGACCCGCCTCCTCCAATCGGCCCCTCGGGAGGCTCGCGCGCCGGGCGATTGGCCGAGCGGGAACCGGCCGTGGGCGGCTTGCAGCCCCGCGGCAATTATTACTATTAATACTATTATTACTATTGCCACCATCATTAACAGCATCATTGTCATTTTTCTTAATTAAATATAATCTCAGGGGACCTCAGCCCTTGCCACTTAATGCTCGGTTTAACCTTCACTCGCTTCTTAGGTTAAAACCTTATTTAATTTTTTTAATGGTAGCACCTTATCCCTTTTGGTTTCTCCATTGCATTTTCTTCCCCTGACAGACAAAATCCTCTCCCTCAGAGGCATCCGCGTACCCCCCTCACACCCCCACACCCCAGCTCCATTACTACTACTACCTCTGTGGATTTCTTTAAGACCGTCCAACTTGTCGCCTGTGTGAGGGAGTTCCATGGTTCAATTGTGCGCTGGGTGAAAAAGTCCTCTCTTTCCTCTGCCCTGAATCTTTGAACATTCGGCTTCTTGGGATGTCCACAAGTTCCGGTGGTCCACAAGAGAGGGGGAAAAGCTTTTCTCTACCCTCTTTCTCCATTCCATTTGCCAACTTCCTATCATGTCGCCTCTTCTCTAAACTAAGATTACCAGTTTGTTTTTTCAATGAATCCGGGGACACTTTTCAACATCCTATTAAATAGATTTTGCCAGGGGACTGATTTGTAAATCTGGGGACTGTCGCCGGGAAACGGGGACGTCTGGTAACCTTCCTCAAAACTAAAAAGTCCCAAATGCTGCAACCTTTCTTCGCAGGGGGGTGCCCGGGATTCCAGTGCTATTTTTCTAGAGAAAGTGGTGCCAAAACTCGCCCTGAATGCCTCCCTTGTTCTCTTAGACTGGCAATGGCACCCACCTGAGAGGGTGGGGAGGAAAACCCTGCTTGGATCATTTCAGTTGCTCTTTTCTGAAGTCCAGTTTGTTTTCTACTGTTTTGTAAGTTTTGCGGCTCCCAGTTTTTTTTCCCTTCGGAAATGGGTCCAAGTGGCTCTTTTTGTCTTAAAGGTTGCAGACCCCTGCTTTAGGTGAACTTCGCATTTCTCATCTACAATGGAAAGGAATCCTTGGTCAATGTTCCTCATTCACCCTTTGCTGCCCCTATTTCAGTGGTGGTCTGTGTGACACCAAAATTTGGTGCTCCCCACCTCTCACCTTCTATTTGACATCATAGTGTTGGCAACCCGTGCAGCCAGGTCCCTAAATCTGCCTCTGCTTGCTGTGTTGATTCCCTTCCTCTCTCTCATTTCTTTTCAGTGTTGCAATTCAGATAGTAAGCTCCATGATGCAGAGTCATGTTGTTTTCATTTATTTCACTCTTTAAAGCACTAAGTACATTCATGACAATGAATGAAATTAAAGTAAAGGGTAAAGGTACCCCCGACCGTTAGGTCCAGTCGCGGATGACTCTGGGGTTTTGCGCTCATCTCGCTCTATAGGCCGAGGGAGCCGGCGTTTGTCAGCTGGCTTCGCAATGGAGTCTATCAGAGCTTGCAGGGCAGCAGTTGAAGAAAGAGCAAAAAGGGTTTTCTTGTGTGTGTGTTTCTTTGTGGCTGATTAGCTGCTCTCCCTGTGCAAAGGTCAGAGGGGGCAGGGTTTCTGTTGAGGCAGGTGATTAGCTGTGGGAGGAGCTTATCAGAGCTTGCAGGGCAGGAGTTGAAGAAGGAGCAAAAAGGGTTTTCTTGTGTGTGTGTGTTTCTTTGTGGCTGATTAGCTGCTCTTCCTGTGCAAAGGTCAGAGGGGGCAGGGTTTCTGTTGAGGCAGGTGATTAGCTGTGGGAGGAGCTTATCAGAGCTTGCAGGGCAGCAGTTGAAGAAGGAGCAAAAAGGGTTTTCTTGTGTGTGTGTTTCTTTGTGGCTGATTAGCTGCTCTCCCTGTGCAAAGGTCAGAGGGGGCAGGGTTTCTGTTGAGGCAGGTGATTAGCTGTGGGAGGAGCTTATCAGAGCTTGCAGGGCAGCGCGCGTGCAGTTTGATCCACCTTTTAGATTCAGGGGAGCTAGTCCCAAACGTTTGTTGGGGGAGATCTAGGTTTTTTGTGGGGGGAGTTATTTGTCCTGTCTTCACACTTTTTATGATGGAGGACCGCTGTAGCCACCCCCAACGACACGTTCTCAAGATGAAGGGGGAGGGAACAGCTGCAGTCGCCTGCGGTTCCTGTGCAATGTTTGCCATCTTGCAAAAGTTTGCAGGCAGCTTTACCTGCAGCAATTGCATGTTGATTGCCCTCTTAAAAGACAAAGTCCAGCAACTGGAGGGACGTGTAGCTACGCTCCAAAGAATTAGAGAGCTGGAGCTCTTCTTGGAAGCAACAGAGCACACCGTCTCCACCAAAGAGGAGACAGGGGACTCCCCTGAGAAGGAGGCTAGTTCACCAACACAGGAGCCAGATATATGGAGAAACATGACTCATAGAAGTAGGAGGCCCAGGGTTCGCTCTGATTGTTTAGAAATACACAATCGCTTTGAGGTCCTCTCCCCTAGCATGGAAGACGAAGAGCAGACTCCGTTTCAGGATCTCTCCCACATTACAGTTGATCAGGTATATGAAGACAAGCAGCAAAGTCAGTCCTCAGGGAATGTGCAGGTGACCTTGGAACGGACAGCTCACGGAAGAACCCCGACCAAACCTAAGAGGAGGCGTGTAGTGGTGATAGGGGATTCCCTACTGAGGGGAACAGAAGCAGTGATCTGTGGGCCTGACAAGATGTCTCGGGAAGTGTGTTGTCTCCCCGGGGCTAAGATCCAAGATGTAACTGAACGACTGCAAGGAATCATAAAACCCACTGACAAATGCCCCTTCCTCTTGGTTCATGTGGGAACCAATGACACTGCAAGCAATAGCCTCCAGAAGATCAAAAGAGACTACGAGGCTCTGGGCAGGAAATTGAAGCAATTAAATGCACAAATTGTCATCTCATCTGTCCTCCCAGTTGAACGACGTGGCCCAGGGAGAGAGGGAAAAATAGTGGAAGTGAACAGCTGGCTTCGCAAATGGTGTAAACAGGAACGGTTTGGATTCTTAGATCACGGACTGCAGTTTCTTGAAGATGGACTTCTGGCAAGCGATGGGCTGCACCTCACAACGGTTGGGAGAAATGTTTTTGCCAAAAATCTCAGAAACCTCATCAGGAGGGCTTTAAACTGACTAATGTGGGGAGGGAGACAGTGCTCCTGAAGGTAGGAGTCTATCAATTGATGAAGATGATCATCCAAATGTCATAGACCAAATGGAGCAAACAGCACACAGACCTAGTGGTGGGAGGAAAAAATCCTTAAATAAGAGACACGGGGGAATGATTAATGGATTTCAATGTCTGTACACTAATGCGCAAAGCATGGGAAATAAACAAGATGAGCTTGAGCTCTTGGTACAGCAAACTAAATATGACATAATAGGCATCACTGAAACCTGGTGGGATAAGTCCCACGATTGGAATGTAATAATGGGGGGATACAATCTATTTCAGAGAAACAGACCAGACAAGAAAGGAGGAGGAGTGGTGTTATATGTCAGGGATGTGTATACCTGTGAAGAGATCCAAGATTTAGAACCTCAAAGCCAAAGTGAGAGCATTTGGGTCAAAATTAAGGGAGAGAAGAATAGTGACCTCATTGTGGGAGTTTACTATAGATCCCCAAGCCAAATGGAGGACATAGATGATGCCTTCCTGGAACAGATGGCCAAGCATGCAAAAGGAAGGGAGATAGTAGTAATGGGGGACTTCAATTACCCGGATATTTGTTGGATGTCAAACTCAGCCAAGAGCATAAGGTCAAACAGATTCCTCACTGGCCTTGCAGACAACTTCATTGTCCAGAAAGTGGGAGAAGCAACAAGAGGAACAGCCATTTTAGATCTGGTCCTAACCAATGTTGATGACCTGGTTAGTGGGGTAGAAGTGGAAGGATCATTAGGTGCGAGTGATCATGCTCCTCTGAAGTTTACTATACAGCGGAAAGGAGCAGCCAAGCATACTAGGACTCAATTTCTTGACTTTAAGAAAGCCGACTTCATAAAACTTAGGGAAGTGCTGGGTGAGATCCCATGGACAGTAATACTAAAAGGAAAGGGAGTTCATGATGGCTGGGAGTTTGTTAAGAGGGAGATAGTAAAAGCACAACGTCAGGCAATACCAATGAGACGGAAACATGGAAGGTGCCTAAAGAAGCCAGGGTGGCTATCTAAAGAACTTTTAACTGAGTTAAGATTAAAAAAGGATGTGTACAAAAAATAGAAAAGGGGGGAAACCACCAAAGAGGAATTCAAACAAATAGTCAGCACGTGTAGACACAAAGTCAGAAAAGCTAAAGCACAGAATGAACTCAGGCTTGCTAGAGAGGTTAAAAGCAACAAAAGGCTTTTATGGGTATGTTCGTAGCAAAAGGAAGAACAAAGAAACAGTGGGGTCACTCAGAGGAGAAGATGGTGAAATGCAAACAGGGGACACAGAAAGGGCTGAACTCCTCAATGCCTTCTTTGCCTCAGTCTTCTCCGATAAAGAAAACAATGCCCGACCTGAAGAATTTGGAGCAAATGATTCAGCAGAGGAAACACAGCCCAGAACAACTAAGGAGATAGTACAAGAATACTTGCCTAGTTTAGATGTATTCAAGTCTCCAGGGCCAGATGAACTGCATCCAAGAGTATTAAAAGAACTGGCAGATGTGATCTCAGAACCACTGGCAGTCATCTTTGAGAATTCCTGGAGAACAGGCGAAGTCCCGGCAGACTGGAGGAGGGCAAATGTTGTCCCTATTTTCAAAAAGGGGAAAAGAGAGGACCCAAATAATTACCGCCCAGTCAGTCTGACATCAATACCAGGGAAGATTCTGGAGCAGATCATTAAGCAAGCAGTCTGTGAGCACCTAGAAAGGAATGCTGTGATCACCAATAGTCAGCATGGATTTCTGAAAAATAAGTCATGTCAGACTAACCTGATCTCGTTTTTTGACAGAATTACAAGCCTGGTAGATGAAGGGAACGCAGTGGATGTAGCCTACCTTGATTTCAGCAAGGCATTTGACAAGGTGCCCCATGATATTCTTGTAAAGAAGCTGGTAAAATGCGGTCTTGACTATGCTACCACTCAGTGGATTTGTAACTGGCTGACTGACCGAACCCAAAGGGTGCTCATCAATGGTTCCTCTTCATCCTGGAGAAGAGTGACTAGTGGGGTGCCACAGGGTTCTGTCTTGGGCCCGGTCTTATTCAACATCTTTATCAACGACTTGGATGATGGACTCAAGGGCATCCTGATCAAATTTGCAGATGACACCAAACTGGGAGGGGTGGCTAACACACCAGAGGACAGGATCACACTTCAAAACGACCTTGACAGACTAGAGAACTGGGCCAAAACAAACAAGATGAATTTTAACAGGGAGAAATGTAAAGTATTGCACTTGGGCAAAAAAAGAGAGAGGCATAAATACAAGATGGGTGACACCTGGCTTGAGAGCAGTACATGTGAAAAGGATCTAGGAGTCTTGGTTGACCACAAACTTGACATGAGCCAACAGTGTGACGCTGCAGCTAAAAAAGCGAATGCAATTCTGGGCTGCATCAATAGGAGTATAGCATCTAGATCAAGGGAAGTAATAGTGCCACTGTATTCTGCTCTGGTCAGACCTCACCTGGAGTACTGTGTCCAGTTCTGGGCACCACAGTTCAAGAAGGACACTGACAAACTGGAACGTGTCCAGAGGAGGGCAACCAAAATGGTCAAAGGCCTGGAAACGATGCCTTATGAGGAACGGCTAAGGGAGCTGGGCATGTTTAGCCTGGAGAAGAGGAGGTTAAGGGGTGATATGATAGCCATGTTCAAATATATAAAAGGACGTCACATAGAGGAGGGAGAAATGTTGTTTTCTGCTGCTCCAGAGAAGCGGACACGGAGCAATGGATCCAAACTACAAGAAAGAAGATTCCACCTAAACATTAGGAAGAACTTCCTGACAGTAAGAGCTGTTCGACAGTGGAATTTGCTGCCAAGGAGTGTGGTGGAGTCTCCTTCTTTGGAGGTCTTTAAGCAGAGGCTTGACAACCATATGTCAGGAGTGCTCTGATGGTGTTTCCTGCTTGGCAGGGGGTTGGACTCGATGGCCCTTGTGGTCTCTTCCAACTCTATGATTCTATGATTTGTCCGCAGACAGCTTCCGGGTCATGTGTCCAGCAAGACGAAGCCACTTCTGGCAAACCAGAGCGGCTCAAATAAATGCCGGTTACTTTCCTTTCGGAGCGGTACCTATTTATCTACTTGCACTTTGATGGGCTATTGAACTGCTAGGTGGGCACAAGCTGGGACCCGTCGCGGGGATTTGAACCACGACCTTCTGATCAGCAAGCCCTAGGCTCTGTGATTTAGACCGCAGTGCCACCCACATCCCCATATGAATGAAATTAAGTAAACTTATTCTCGTTTATAGGCACAATATGGACCCAAAATATTTTGAGCTTGATTTATCATGAAGGTCACCGAGATGGAACCGAAAAAGTCGACTTACTAGACAGAGCTCCGTGGCTGGAGTACAATATCCGCAATGTGGATTATGTCAATCGTCCATCACCTCGCCTCTTTGCTTCCCATCTACCCTACTATTTAGTACCCAAGGGATTAAGGAACAGAAGAGCAAAAGCAGGAAACAGCACATTTATTATTTGATCATATTCAATGTTTGTCATGCCTTCTTTAAATGAACATCTCAGTTTCCGTTAACATTTCTCCGTTTTTGAGGGCAGTTCATCCAGCTGCAATTCCATTGTCCATATGAATGAATAATGCTCTGTGCACCCTGAGCTTGGAATAATTCCCATGACTCCTAAACAGCACCGAGTTTATGCTCCACCATAATAAAAGTCCTGGAGGGTGTTAAGAATAAAACAGGTTCTTTTATCTGAGATTCAGTGCACTTCAGGCAGAACACAAGTAAGCAGTCTGACAACCAATATATTGGAATTTATACATAACATTGCTTTATTGATTAACAAGCAGAACACATAACAAGACAAGGGAACATGCACTCATTCTCTCACACAATCACACATACACTCACCACTCTTCTTCTGGATCGGGTGGGGAGACAGCGGGATCCTGGCTGCATCCGACACACCAACTCTCCTGAAAAGCCTGATCTTATATAGTCCTTTTTGATGCACATCTGAATATTGGCATTTCTCATTGCCTTTGACATGTTCTTGGCAGTCCTCCACCCTTAGCATGTTCTTGGCATATCACAACTCTCATGCTCTGCGCCTGGTCTTCTGTAACTTTTGGCACAGTATGATACTCATTGTTTGTAACTAGCATTGCACAGCCAGTCTTTCCACTTCCTTGCAGGTACAGTACTTTTGCCAGAACATGCACATTCCATTAGCTCTTTGATCAGCACAATTTATTAATAGTTAATCAACAGCATCCATTTTATATGGTGGTCTTCAGCCATCTTGCAGCCCATTCAAAACATGGCATTCATTGTGCGAGTACTTGGAGCTCGCAAAGCTGACAGATGCAATACGAGATAAACCTAAAAAGATGATGAAAGAAGAATGGGAATGTTTAAATAATTATCTAGGGGATAAGGGTTCAACAAGAAAGACCTGGTTATGTTTAGAATGATACCTCATAGAGAAATGTTCCCTGTTACCAAGATGAGGGATTCCTTGGAATGCAGATTGAGAGAATTGATAAGAATAATGATCTGTTGTGACCTTGATGGAAGCGTACAGTAGATGAGCCTTTCTGTGTTCTGGCTCTTCTTCTTCTTCTTCTTCTTCTTCTTCTTCTTCTTCTTCTTCTTCTTCTTCCCTTTCCCTTTTCCCTTTCCCTTTCCTTTTTTTCTCATCCTTCTTCTTATATTTTATGCCATGTACTTTGATATTTTTTGTTGTTTTTTAGCTTTTTTCATTATCATCATTATTAAGTAATTTTCTTTTGTAATTTTGATTGTCTATATTTATATGTATTTGTTTAAAGCAAAATAAAAGTATTTTTAAAAAAGAAAAAAATGGCATTCGTTACAAGGGTGCCATCCAACAGACTTAATAAGAATAAGCTCATTCGACACCATAGGATTGCACTGTGCATGTGACATTCATGCTGCAAAAGAGGGTGAGGCTGCCAGGGCTGTAAAGCAACTTGGAAGCACCAAGAATCCACAAGAAGAGATATCTGAGATCCAACCATTTATTATTATAGGAATCGAAAGAATTTGTTGTTATTCCTGCAGGTTGTTTATGTGGCCAGAAACCCAAAGGATGTCTTGGTTTCCTTTTACCATTTTTCCAAAACTATAGTCAAATTAGAAGAAGTAGAAGATTTTGGAATTTTCATGGAGAGGTTTTTGGCTGGGAAGGGTAAGGACGAATTGCTACTCTAAAATGAATCACTCTTGTCCCTTCATCTTTATCCTTTGACAACAGATTAAAGAATTTCTCTCTGTGTTAAGGAACCTTTTCAGAATGCCATGTCTGATGCCATAGGTTACTCTGAGGAAATTCCACATCCATGCATCACAAAGCGTCTCCAACTGAGACTCCAACTACACCATTTTATGCCACTGATGACTGGTGTCCATTGATGCCGAAGGGAGGGTATAGATCTGGCCAACTCCCAAAGGAAATCAGGTGGATTTGTATGCTGTCTGCACCAGGATGCAGCAGCTACAAATCATTACAAGGTGGAGCCCCTAATCCTTAATCAAGTGTAGAGATTTGTGTCAAGTTAAGTCAGAAACCCAGACAGTGTCTCTAAATGTTGCAAGTATTAACTTCCACACCATATAAGGAAACTGCCAGCGTGGGAAGGAAGGGGGCTGGAGGAAGGCTAGACTGACCTCAGCCCACCCATCACTCTCTCATCACACAGGGATGGGAAGCACAGCAGGGAGCCTTAAAATGCAGAACTCTTCTGCAAATTCCTTCTCGGAGAAAGTGTTTGATGAAGGTGGATGGTATTAATTCAGCTTCTGTTTAATGGTTTGTACCACTGCTGGTTCTTAAAATGATCCCTTAAAATTGTTGTAATGGACTTTAAACGTTCCTACTGCTTCCCTCTGAATGTTGTTTTTTTTTTTAAAAAAAAAAAGTCTGATCTACATTTTATGCCAAATCAACTTCTCTCACAACAGTACTTGCAAGTTTATGGCTGGACCATGTGGAAGGCTGGTACACTCACAAGGATGACTTCAATATTCTGTTTCTTACCTATGAGGAAATGAAGAAGGTAAGTTATCAAAATGCTATCCAGTCTGATATTAAGCATCCAGCAAACTCACCTTTACAAAATGGAGGAAGGAAGCAATTTGATTATTCAAGTGCCCTCAGCTGCTGCTTCCCCAGCTGGTCTCGCTTCCTTTCCAAAAGATTTTTCAAAGCCGAGCAGGCCATGGATTCGGGTGCAGCTTTTCAGACCCTAGACTGCGAAAAGTGCACTGTAACCATTTCCCCTGAGGGATTATGGGGCTATAAATAAAGTGTCATGATCCCAAGCAAGATATGTCATTTCACAGGCCCTCTGATGCTGAGGAGAGATGTCACAGAACCCCCCTTGTGTCTGCAACAGGGACATTTATTTATTTACTTGTGGACTCAGAGCTGCCCCAGAATATAAAGCATTCTGCATGGCTCATGGAATAAAAGCAACAATGAAAGTATAATGCAATGGCAATTATTACAAAGTAGGCAAAGAAAGATGCAGGCTGCTTGTTTCCCCTGCTTGTAATCCTGCCTTTTCCATGAGTTTTAGTCTCTAGGCTGTCAGGTTTCTCTATTGTGGGTGGCCTGACATTAAAACCACGTTCCATTTCAGGATCTGAGAAGCTGTGTATTGAAATTATGCAACTTCCTGGGAAAGAGACTGACGGAAAAGGAGTTGGATGTTGTTGTGGATCAGGCTACATTTAATAAAATGAAAGCAGATCCCAGGGCAAACTATGAGTTCTCTCCACCAGATCTCATGGACCACAGCAAAGGACATTTTCTTCACAAAGGTAAGTTAATGGTAGAAAAACTGATTTGGTGCTGCTTGTAGAATCCCCTACAGATTCACCCGATATTTACACTGATATGTGATAGCTACCAAGTAATGGTGATTTCATTTTTCCAGTCTTCATGAAACTCTCACTTTCTGTAATTTCCTAATTTTAGAGTTGTTCTATTATGTACTTTCCCTGTTATTTTTTCCTTGTTTAAATAGGAGGTTTTCTTCACAAAGGTAAGTTAATAGTAGATCAAACTGATTTGTGCTGGTGGCAGAATCCCTGACAATTTCACCTGACAATTGCATCTAGGGATGGAATATATCTGGAGTTGTGGATATTTATTTGACCACCACAATGCACTTTCTTTCTGTCTGCTTCCTGGGCCAGGCACTGTTGGAGACTGGAAGAACATGATGACAGTCGCACAAAGTGAAAAGTTTGACAGTGTTTTTAAGGAGAGAATGGAAAAGCTGCCCTTCAAGTTCTGCTGGGACATCCATGAGGAATCATGAGTCTGTCTTCAGCCTGGAAGGATGAAGTAAAGTGCACTGTATGCATTTAATCCAGCCCTATTTATAAGATTCAGCAGAATACTCTCATGAGGCTTAACAGTTTCCTAATGTTCAAATATGTGCATTAATTTTTTAAAAACACCACAATAAAATTACATTTGTACTGTCTGCTTCTTCTCTTTCTACATTCCAACATGTCCTAATTTCTGACCCCATGTGCAAATGTTAAGGAATCCGAGGATATCTATTGGGATTAGTAATTGTGTTTTAATTTGGCAGTGTTACAATGAGGTTACCATTGGATTATTATTCAAGTTCTGCTGGGGCATCCATGAGGAATCATGAGTCTGCCTTCAGCTTGGAAGGATGAAATAAAGTGCACTGTATGTATTTAATCCAGCCCTATTTGTAAGTTAGTAAAAAAAACAAAACAAAAAAACCCTCTCATATGGCTTAACAGCTTCCTAATGTTCGAATATGCACAATAATTTTTTTAAAACACCACAATAAAATTACATATGTACTGTCCGCTTCTTCTCTTTCTACATTCCAACATTCTACATTCCAACATGTCCTAATTTCTTACCCCATGTGCAAAAATTAAGGAATCCCAAACTAACTATTGGGATTATTAATTATTAATTCAGAAGTGAACAGAGCGATCTGAACAGGGGCAGAACTAGGCTTTCTTTCAAGGACTAGGTCAGCAGCACCCGACCAGACCTGGGCAAGCATGCACAAACACCCCCTCAACACATTTGTGTGTTTTCTTGGGGGGGGGGGAGAAAAACAGCTGCCCTAGTCAGGGAGCCCTGTAGGGACAGAGGACGCCACCTGCTGCCAAGGGGCGCAGAGGCACGTGAGGGAAGGAGAGGTTGGTGTTATAGCCTGACCCAGCTGTCCTGGGCACCCCACAGGCATGGAGGGGGCTCTTCCCTTTGGAACAGGCAAGGTGGGAGATAGTGAAAATGTTGGAAATGGTGGAAAACATTGCTGCCAATCTGTTGGATTTGAAAGATCATTCTTGGGCTTGAGAAAATTTCGATCTTAGATAAGCTGTGTGCAAATGAAAAAAGTCACTACCTTTCCTGGACAGATTTCTAAATCAACCAACGCTGATTTATTTAGAACATTTTATTAAAATGGGGCTTCTTTTGGAGTTTAAAGTTGTTGAGATTGGAATGCAAGTCATGTGTGTACAAAGAGATACATACAATACCCCAAATTTTCCTGACGCAGCACATGTAGAAGGTGTTGAGGCATCGGTCCTGCCTCCTGGCATTGCCCACACACCTCACTTGCATAAAGCAGAGGGCTCAGTTTGCAAGCCTGGTACTTCATCTTGGTATTGGACCTTAGTAAAACATTCTCCCACATCCTTTTGGATGGCGGTGTCTCAGTTCTGGAAAACCCGCCCCAACAGGGATCCCCTGGGTATTCACCCAGCACCCTCATTATGAAAACACACATGGATCCACTGTATGTGGGATGGGGGGAGCAGAACAGAAATAAATACCTCCGACTCCCTCAGGAATAGATAGACGCTAACATCAAGAGAGAAAGTGATTTGGCCCCAGGCAGACAAGAAAATGTGCTCTACCAAATCCTCGAAGCTTTTCTTCCCACGCACAGAAGATTTCCCTGTCTCTTGCCTCATTCCTTTGGGATTTCTTTATGATGACAGTGGGGAAGCCTTGGGAGCTCAGCCTCGGAGGGAAGGGCTTCGTCGTCCGTTGCTGTGCCTCGAAAGGACCGGAGTGGAGCCACTGACAAGAAGCCTTGTGGGGCAGAACGAGAGCTGAGAAGGCTTTTGCGAGAGTGCTCAACTAAATAGAGGGAAACAATGGAGGCGGGTTGCGGGATCTGGCAAAAGGTGCCTCGCTGGGCTGGGCCGAACAAGCGCAGTTGCAAGCTGGGTTAGAGACCAGCCTTGCCTCAAGAAGGAAGTTCTCCTCAGCAGGGGCCGATTTAGGGCAGCGCGGTGCCAGAGCCCGGCAAGCGCTTACCGGGCTTTGGGAAGGAGAAGACGGTCTCTAGGGCCCTGCTGGAGCCAAGCCCGGGAATGAGGAAGCAGCGAAAGGACTCTGGCCAGGACGCCCAGTCTCTACGCGGAAACGTGGGAGGCTGCGGTGAGTTGGAAGCAGCACCGTTTCAGAAAATAAAATAAAAGGAATGCTGAGCCACGTTTCTGTTCCTCAAGGAACAGGGGATACCTTGGAGCTCTATGTCGCTCACCTCCGATGTAGGGGAAGCCTGGGATTGTGCTTTGAGCTCTGCAAAAGCACAGTAGGATTTCACCGAATGACAACTCTCTTTCTTTGTGATTTCCTCTTGCAGCGCCATAGCGGGAACTGTTCTCTGCTTCTCCGCTCTTTATTCTTATACAGGCAATGCAACCAGCCGAGAAATACGCTGTCAAATACAAAGGATTTTATTTCCAGCCAGATTGTTGTTCACCGGAGCACATAGATTCCCTGGAGGATTTTGAAATCAGGGACAGTGATGTGTTTCTAGCTACTTATCCAAAGTCAGGTAAGATTAAAAACGTGTGTGCCTTTTGCATGTGGTTGTAAAATGGTATTGGTAAACTTCCATTGTTAAAAGACTCTCATACCTGTATCTCTTTATTTCATTAGGTTTTTGCCACAGCTGTTCAGTAACAGGGGACTGTGTCCAATGCAGTTGTGCCCTCCACACAAGAACTTCCACTTGCACACCAGAACTTTTCCTGACTTTCCCTTCCCATAGGCGCCCCCTCCTGTGTATCCCCAGATCTGCTTTGAAGGGGATCCAGTAACTGGGAATGGGAGAGGAGAGGAAGCTCCAAGTCTTTGTGCAAATGGGACATATTCAATGGGTAGAACGTACGGGTTTAGACAGTAATTTGACAGGTCTGCATTATATAGGCACTGAGGAATTGAGTGACAAGAAGGCAAAATACAATGAGCATTTCTCAAAATTCCTGGGAAGAATAATAATGATTGGAATAAGCTGAATCAAAGTACTTTGAAGGACTGACAACTCTTTTTATTCCCTGGACTTTGACTGGTCATTTGCATTTCCATCTATAGGGAGAATCTAAAACAGAGTTTGTGGTGGTTTTCTGAAAAAGAAAGGAACATCTTAGCAAATATTTTTCTGTCCTCCCAAATCCTCAGATTCCATGAAGGCTTCCTATTTCTCATCCACAATGGAAAGAAAGCCTTGGTGAATCTTCACATTCTCTTATTCAACCATCCCTGCCCTTGCTGTGTTTCCTTTGACTCCCTTCTTCCTCATCCTTCCTTGTCTCTAACAGTTTGCAATTTAAATAGTAAGCTCCATGATTGAGAGGCATGTTGTTTTTAATTATTTTGCTCTGTAAACTAGTATGTACATTTATGGCACTGAATGAATTAAATAACTTATCCTCATTCATAGGAACAGTATGGACTCAAAATATTTTGAGCTTGATTTTGCACAAAGGTCATCGAGATGGAACTGAACACATAGACTTACTAGATAGAGCTCCATGGCTGGAGGCCAATGTCCGCAATATGGACTACGTCAATCGACCGTCACCTCGACTCTTTACTACCCATCTACCCTACTATTTAGTACCAAAGGGATTAAGGAATGGAAGAGGAAAAGTAGGTCTTGCTGTATTTATTATTTTATCAAATCAAATGTTTGTCTCACTTTGTTTTAAGCCCAGAAAGAATGCATCCCATTTATCACATGAAACAGAACAATTGTGAAGTATGCTTTTTCAGATCATTAATATTCTTTAAAAAGTGGAAAATCCAGTGTTTACACATCTTACTCATATCTTCATGTAAAATAATTAGCATACCAGGATAGTATTAGCATACCAAACCTTTCCTCCCGGGTGGGCCGGCTCGCCAAGGATCAGCATATTTCCCCTGAATTTCCTGCCTCAATCTTGTGGTACAGTTTGGTCAGCACAAAAAAGAGCCATGTCATTTCTCTAACCTACATCATTCCTAAAGCTTATGTCACTGGATCAGAATGAAAAAAGAGCACAGAAGAATGGCTGTTCTGCTGTTCTGGGAGTGTCAGCTTTGTCAGTGGGTGAGATGGTGGGAATTCAGAAGAATTCAGCATAGGATATGTTGCTGCAATGAGATTTCTAGGAGATTTGAAGGGAGAATGAGACAATGAAGACCAACGTCATAGGGTCTGTCAAAAATGCATCTCAAGGGGGACTTCCGGCTGAGAAAATTGTGTGCTAAGCAATCTTTATTGTTGTAGTTTAGTCGTTTAGTCGTGTCCGACTCTTCGTGACCCCATGGACCAGAGCACGCCAGGCACTCCTATCTTCCACTGCCTCCCGCAGTTTGGTCAGACTCATGTTGGTAGCTTCAAGAACACTATCCAACCATCTCGTCTTCTGTTGTCCCCTTCTCCTTGTGCCCTCAATCTTTCCCAACATCAGGGTCTTTTCCAGTGAGTCTTCTCTTCTCATGAGGTGGACAAAGTATTGGAGCCTCAGCTTCACGATCTGTCCTTCAATCTTTATTAGCGGCTAGTTAATAGGGAGACTTATAAATGATGAAAGATGATCAGATATAATTCTGATTACCCAAACAACTCACCTTTGAATCAAGCGGAGGTGGGGTCAAAGGGCAAGCCTCCCAGCTCTGAAGAAATATTTCATCATTGTTCCAGCGGGATATAAAAACCTCCAGGGAGGCGAGGAAAAATCCAAGAGCGAGAGGCAGGTACACTGAGCTTGAACACTGTATAAAGGCTCTAATGTTAGAGCATCAAGTACACATTCTCTTCTCTCTTAGTTACTATTACCAGTACTGGAAAGAAGGAAATTGAAATTGGACTCTGACAATTAAAAACCACACAGAAAAAATAAAGCTGCAGACGGTTAACAATTTTATTATTTGATACAAGCAGAGAATATTATGGGAAAAGCCAGGTTTGGGAGAACAGTTTCATTGCTAGCAATATCTATCTCATCCTTGGAAGAGTCAAGCCAAAAAGAATTTGTTGTTATTCCTGCAGGTTGTTTATGTGGCCAGAAACCCAAAGGATGTTCTGGTTTCCTATTATCATTTTACCAAAGCTGCACGCACACTAGAAAAAGTAGATGACTTTGGGATTTTCATGGAGAGGTTTTTGTCTGGGAAAGGTAAGGATGATTTGCCGCTCTAAAACAAGTCACTTTTGTCCCTTCATTCCCTATCCTCCTTTGAAAACAAATAAAAGAAATTCAGTGTGCGGTAAGGAATTATTCCAGAGTGCCACATCTGATGCTGTTGGTTGCTCTGAGGAAGTCTAAACTTATTTTCCATGTGCATCCATAATAGTTTTTCCAACTAAATAAATTATAGCACACAGGTTTATGCCATGGATAGCTGCTGACCATTGAGGCAGAAGGTAGGGTATAAATTTGACCAACTCCCAAAGCAAATCAGGCATGGGCTGAAGCAGCTACAAATCATTACAGGGTGGATCACCTAACCCTGAATGAAGTGTAGAGATTGGTGTCAAGTTATAAGTCAGAAACCCAGAAAGGGTCTCCTAAATGTTGTAGGTATCAACTGCCACACTATATAAGGAAACTGCCAGAGTGGGAAGGAAGGGGGCTGAAGGAAGGCTAGACTGATCTCAGCCCACCCATCAATCTCCCATCACACTGGGATGGGAAGCACTGCAGGGAGCCTTAAAATACAGAACTCCTCTGCAAATTCTTTCTCTGAGAAAGTGTTTGGTGAGGTTGGGTGCTATTCATTCAGCCTGTGTTTGTTTTCTTTCCTTTCCAATCCATCTCATTCCGATTTCAAGCTGCTTTGTTTCATTGAAAGGTTGGGCTGAATTTTATTATGATCTAATGGTTTACACCATTGCTGGTTCATATTTGGTTCCTTTAAAATGTTTTAATTCATTTTATCTGAGTGTTATGCTGCTCTCCAATAAATAAATAAATAAATAAATATCTCCTCTACATTTACACCAAATCAACTTCTCTCCTATCAGTAATTGCAAGTTTATGGTTGGACCATGTGGAAGGCTGGTACACTCACAGAGATGACTTCAATATTCTATTTCTTACCTATGAAGAAATGAAAAAGGTAAGGTGTCAAAATGTTACCAAGTCTGATATGAAACAAGCTTCAAAACTCACCTTTACAAAATAGAGGAAGGAAGCAATATGATGATTCAAGTGCCCTGACTGAAGGAGATTCTGCATCTGCCTCATCATCAATTTAACACAGTCTATGGTCTCAATTTGAGTGAGCTTATCATGTTGCATTGAAACCATTGTGAATTTATATAAGCAATTTCAACCCCCCCCCCCCCCCAGGAATCAAAATGTTGCCCTTTTATTACTAACTGATTTCGAAGCAGTCGTGGTTGAAGCATATTCCCACATCAACTATCAATCAATCAATCAATCAATCAATCAATCAATCAATTACAGCATGGGGGTGTGCCTCTTTGCAATCATCTTCTAGCCAGGCAGCATTTTAAAAAGCACACAATATCTGAATATGCAATAATGCAATGATTTTTACCAACATAGTTAATGGAAACAATGAATTCTGACACTATCTTCAGAAGAGACAAGCACTCCAACTGCCTGCTTGGAAACCGCGAAAGGTTTACTGAGTGTTCAATACAAACAGTTCAAAACCCCAATTCAGCTGCTGCTTTCCTTGATAGTCTTCCCTCCTTTCTGAAAGATAAACAAGCCCAGGAGGCCGTGGACCTAGGACCAGCTTTTTAGGCCCTAAACTCCAAAGAGTGCACTGTAACCATTTACCCTGAGAGATGATGGGGCTGAAAATAAAGTGTTCCAAGCAAGATACATCATTTTACAGGCCGAGGAGAGATGTCACAGAACGCCCCCTCCTGTCTCGAGTGGTGGCATTTTGTTTATTTATTTACTTGTGGATTCAATTTAAATAGCTGTCCCATGGGTGGCTCACAGAACAAAAGCAACAGTTACGAGTACAATATAATGCAATGGCAATTATTCCAAACTAGGCAAAGAGAAATGCTGGCTGCTTGTTCCCCCTGCTTGTTATCCTGCTTGTTCCATGAATTTTAGTCACGAGGCTGTTGTGTCTCTCAATTGTGGATGGCTTGACATCAAAACTATTTCCCATTTCAGGATCTAAGAAGCTGTGTCTTGAAAATATGCGACTTCCTGGGAAAGAGACTGACGGAAAAGGAGGTGGATGCTGTTGTGGATCAGGCTACATTTAATAAAATGAAAGCAGATCCCAGGGCAAACTATGACTTCTTGCCACCGGAGTTCATGGACTACAGCAAAGGACATTATCTTCGCAAAGGTAAGTCAGTGGCAGATCAAACTGACTTGGTGCTGCTTGCAGAATCCCTGACAGATTCACCTGACAATTGGTCTGACACGTGATGGGCACCAAGGCGATTTCATTTTCCCAGTCTTTCATAAAACTCTTCAGTTTCCATTGTTGCCTAATTTTAGAGTTGTTCTAATATGTACTTTCCCTGCTGTCGTTTCCTTCAAAATATATGTATTTAAGGGTGGCATATTTGTTTTTCCAATCTGGAGTATGGAGACTCAGCCAGATGGGTGGGGTATAAATTATCATCATCATCATCAGCATCATATTCCCAACTAGGGATGGAATATATCTGGTGTTATAGAGATCTATTTGACCACCACAATGCACGTTCTTTCTGTCTGCTTCCTGGGCTAGGCACTGTTGGAGACTGGAAGAACACGATGACAGTCGCACAAAATGAAAGGTTTGACAGCGTTTTTAAGGAGAGAATGGAAAAGCTGCCCATCAAGTTCTGCTGGGACATCCATGAGGAATCATGAGTCTGCCTTCAGCTTGGAAGGATGAAATAAAGTGCATTGTATGCATTTAATCCAGGCCTATTTGTAAGAGTTAGTGAGAAAAACTCTCATGTGGCTTAATAGCCTCCTAATATAATACTGTAATATGTGCAAGATTTTTAAAAAACACAATAAAATTACATTCGTATTGTGCTTACTGTTTCTACACCCCTGAGCATGTCCTAATTTCTGACTCTTTGTTGCTCCTGTTTTGTTCTATTAAATTTCTTCTTTGCAATAAGGAGAAATAGTTTCTTGTAGGTTGAAAATGTTTTCTTTATGTATTACTTTTGTATAAATAAATACTATTGAGTTAAAAAAAAAAGACCTTTAAATGCCCTATAAAAAGAAATAAATTTAGCAGATTACTAAAACAAACGGGGGGAATGGTACTATTAATGCTACAAGTAATTCATAGGAGGAAAAAAGAGTATGTTATTGGAAGTTCGAAACTGGTAGAAGTCATTTTTACCTGATCAGAGGAAGTGAATAAAAAAGAAAGGGGTTGCTATTTTTCTTGCTAAAACATCATCACTCCACATCCCCCCTTGAATAGATTACAGACCTAGATAAGAGATTTATTTTTGGAATGTGCTGTGAAAGAATATTTACTAGGCTGCATTTATGCACTCAACAATAAAATAATTATTTTCAGAAAAGAAATGAAATTATTAATGTCAGCACAGATGAGATTCTTCTCAATGGAGAATTTAATGGGGTATCAAACCCCAAAACAGATCATACAATTTCTAAAGATAACAAAGGTGTTTTACCTAAAACGTTGAAATGGTAATGTTATGGAGAAACTTTCACACAACCAATTATACCTTTCACTCTATTCCACATATTTATTATTTGGAATTGCATTTTTTTCCCTAGCATCTCCTCCTCTGATTAGATCTTAACATGGAAATTGGAAGTCCAAGTATATATGTGGACCAGGCGCCATTTGTTAACAGATCACAAGGAAGTAAATGTCGTTGAATGGTCAATCTTATATCACATGGGAGGGGGGGACCTTTACAGCAGGGGTGACTAACCTGTAGCTCTCCAACTGTTGAATTATAGCCCCCATCATCCCCGCCTGTGCTTCTGCCCACATTGCCCTGGTGTCGTGGCTGCCTCACCCCCAAATTATTCTGATAAGCTGTGATGCCAGACACACTGCCAGCCACTCCAGGGAATTTGTGTTTAACATTTGGAGGGCCACAGGTTCCCGACCCCTGATTTAGAGCCAAACACCGAATACACTTCCTAAAGCAAATCTGTACATCTCGCCCTTTCTCTCTTTATCATTATTAAAATGAACACCTCCACTGTACTTCCATAATCTTTGGATGCTGTGAAAGGGAGAGTTCTAAAGAGCAACTTCTTTTCAGAACAACTGGTCCTAAGAAGGTTTGGGACTGAAGATAATATTAGAATGCTTCTCGTTCTGTGTTTTGCTTTGTGCACAACGCATTCGTTTCAAACCCAAGGCCTTCGCAATACAGTAAGATTAGCGTTTCAAGTGCATTTTAAACTTCAACACACGGTACAGATTCTTCTATAACGCAAGAGATTCAAGAACGCGAATGTCAAACACCTGAAGTCAATTTATTATCTGTGATGAAAGATGTCAGAGAAGGTGGCCTCTTGGAATTAAAATACTTTTGTCTTAAGTAAAAGGGGAACCAAAACATATGTGGGTGTCTCTCTGTACAAATGTTCACACAGGTTGATCAGTAAAGTCGGTACAACAATTTCCATCTAGTCGCTCTCTAGATGGGCAGGGTTATAGTCAGGATCGTCTTCTTCATCCTCCAACTCCAAATCATCCATTTCCTGGAACAAGGATTCATCTACTTCCACACTGTTTCCAGCTTTGGGGAGAGAAGAGAGATAAAACTGTTATTCTAGAGTCATTCTAGAGTTCAAAAGCCCAATACCAGATGGACTGCCTGCTATGCTTGCTAAGAATCTTTAGCAAAATGCTATGAAGAGTCAATGCCATCTACTGCTCTACATAGTTATATTAAACAGATTATCTAAGCAAGCCAGATGGAGAGGTCTGGTGGGCTGCATTGTGTCTGAGGTTTGTGAACTAAAAGGCAGTTTAGATCTCCACTGCATGCCATCAGTTGCTGTTGAACAACATGCATTTTGGGTTTGTTATATGGAGTATCCCAATTCTTCCTCTGCCTTTTAAACATTTTTAAACCCAACACAGCCTAAGCAGTGTTTGAGTGCAACAAATTATGGGGAAGGGGCCCTCAAAACAATAATCTTGAAGTTTTCCCAGTTGCCTATATTATAGGGACTTTATGTCTCCTCTGGTCAAAAATCAGCTTTGGGAAAGGGTTTTACACTGAGGGAAGGATTAAGCCTCTGCTCTCCTCACTCTCGCTTGTTTCATTCTGAGCTTCCACAAGCTGCTTTGGATTTAAAACAAAAGAAATATAGAGAAGAATAACTGGATTCTATGTAACCTGCAGTTTGTGTCTATGATTAATTAAACCGGAGCATTCAAGTGCTTTCCATTCCAAAAAGGCAAAATGGAACAACAGTGACATCTTCTGGACAGTAAAGTGGCTTTTATTTTCCACATGTTCTTTGTTACCTTGGTCCCTTTATATTGAGGCTACAATCTCATGCAGTAAACCCCATGACCATCTCCTTCCATATGAACCTTCCCGGACCCCTTCTGAGGCTCTTCTTCGTGTGCCTCCTCCTTGAGAGGTCCGGAGGATGGCAACGCGAAAACAGGCCGCCTTTGCAGTGGCTCCCCATCTGTGGAATGCTCTCCCCAGGGAAGTTTGCCTGGCGCCTTCATTATACACCTTCAGGCACCAGGCAAAGACTTTCCTTTTGACTGTTTCCTTATGTTTAACATTCCTTTTTTTAACCAGGCCTTTGGTTGATTTGACTGACATCCTATGCCCTTTGAAAATGTGGCTTTTGCGTGGGGGGGCGGATTAATGGGTTGTTGTTATTCTTATAATATATTTTGTTTTTGTTTCGTGAACCGCCCAGAGACCTCTGGGTGTAAGGCGGTATATAAACTCAATAAAAAGTAATAATAGTAATTTGCCTACATTATTAAGGCTGCATTATATCTATGCTTCTCTGGGGAATAAGGTGCATTCTTTTTACTTTTAATCATTACCTTTCTGTTTTGTCTTTACGCCAAGCAGCCAAGGTGATGAACCTGAGCCTCTCAGACACCCAAACTAGGTACTACCCAGGGTGAGACATGATAAGCTTCTGCCTGTCTTTGACATACCCCCTCCCCTCACAGGTGAAGAGCTTTGCCACCCTCCAGCTTCCATCAGCGCATTGGCCACATTTGGGGGGTGAATGAGGATGACGAGCCAGGCAGCCATCCCTTTTTGCAGGGACACATCCTGCGCTTCACACCAGGTGCTTATAGCACAGAACTGGCAAGCAAAACATTAAAACTTTTAACCCCTTCCAAAAGTGCTAGAGGCAGCATTTAGGCCTCTACCAGGGGCAGATTTTGTTCTCGGTATGAATAATTACAATTTGTAGCAATGGAAATAGGAATCGCCAGTTACCTTCTTCCAAGAACTGAATATCAGATGTGTCAAGATTATGATCTGTTTCGAACAGCTGTTTCCCTGTAAGAAATAAGAACATAATAAATTAAGAACAGGCCTGCAGGATCAGGCCCATCTAGCCCAGCATCCTCTTTCCCACAGTGGCCACCTAGATGGCTTTCAGAAGTCCATTTTGGGGCCTACCACCCGCTCTGGCCTACAAATCCCATCAGCACCAGCCAGCACAGCTGTTAGGGAAGGGCTGACCTAAGGCAACTGATACCTCTTACCTGTTAGTTTATTTTTGCCAGACTGTTCTTCCTCTTTCACCTTCTTTCTTTTAAATTCTAGCATCTCTAAATCAAATTTTGCTTTCCAGCTTAGAAAATTTTCAATGGTGACCGGGGTGCCATGGAAACATTGCTACACAGAAAGGCCAAAACAAACAAACAATATTAATATACAATTCAGAAAACAAAACAATCAAGAACACACAAGTCTGCTCTAGCTGTCTGGTACTCTTGGACTGAGGGACAAATGAGAAACACTCTGTCCCTATTCATCCTCTAAAGGACTAAATGCTGCAGTACACATGTGGGGGGGGGGTTGGGGTAGTGTGCTTGAGAGCTAACTTATTATTTTATTAATTTATAAATCACACTTCACATTGAACTTCAAGGCAATTTTTCAAACATACCCTAAAACCAACTAGAAACAGTTTAAAACCCTGCCCTCCTTGACTGTTTTAAAAACAATACAAAAAAAAAAACCACCTAGGGAAGAAACCTTTTCACTCAGCAGGAAAGCTTATCGGAACAAAAAATGTCTTCAGTTGTTTCCTGAAACTGTCATATCTCTGCAGAGATTTTGTAGCAGAAAACTGGGGCAGCTACAATGAAATCCCAGCTCCGAGTTATTGTGGAGTGGGTTTCTGACATCATTTTAAGGACTTCAAGGAGAAACGCTTCTGCAAAATGCAGTGACTTGCTGGCTCAGCCTCTCAAGCAGGGCTTTTTTTCAGTTGGAGCTCACCGGAACTCAGTTCTGGCCCCTCTCAGGGAGGCGCTTATGGTGAGTTCTAGAAAAATAGCACTGCTCTCAAGTAACCTGGTCTTGAGCCGTGATAAGCTTATACATATTGGTACCAAAACCTTGAATTTGGTCCCATAGCTTTGGGAATCATTCAGTTGAAAAGGTGGGTTACAGATCTTTAATAACAACAACAAGAACAAGACTTAGAAGAGGTTGCTGGACTAGGCAAAGTGAGTTTAACAGCCCTCCTTATTTACCACAAAGTGTATCAAAGTAAAGCTACACTTAGCCAGGCCGGGGAGTCCACTAAGATTTCTTGTATTCAGCAGATAAGAAAAACAATTTCAACTAAACTTTCACCTTTTCTGCTTCCTCTGCCTCTTTCTCCTTCTGTTTAGTTTCCTCTTCCCTCCTTGTTTTTATCTGATCTACTATTTCATTTAATTTCTCTTGCACAGCCGATACTAGTGTGAAGATCATTACCATGCCCAGGTTCTCGTCTGCCTGAAATACAGAAAAGTGTTTAGCAGGAAATGAATTCACCACATGGCACAGCAAATACAAAACCTGTGGGAGGAACGTTGCCAAGCAGGCAGAAAATGGGGGGGAAATATAGATATACTGAATGCAAAATCCACATGGAGCAACAGCTTCAAGATAAATCACTCCTATTTATTATTTGTATTTAGCAAGACTCATATTGTCTCAGACCTGCAATTCCCAACTAGTACAAAAACAACACAAAGGCCATCTTTGCACTTTCCAATGCGTTGTGGGATAGAATATCCTATAACAGGTTACTGTTACGTTGGCCAATCTAGTTCTGATGCCACAGTTAAAAAAGCAGACAAAAGTAACATCAAAACCTGCAGATATGCCTTTGTAAAATTCATAAATCATTTCATAAAGGGGAAAAATAGATGGTCTACTATAATGAGCAATAACTAATAAAATGCTACCCTGAAAGGTTTCCAAAGCCACCTGCAGACCCTGGAATTCATGTGATCATACACAATATAACTTAACGCAGGCTAAAGCGCAATCCTACTTTGATTAAGTCCCACAGAGCTCAATGGGAATTGCTTCCTGCTAAGTTCATATAAAGACTGCAGCCTTAAATTATCCTTAACACTCTGCCATATTGCCAATGGTGCTGCATAACAGATTCCTTACCACCACTTCAATGCAAACTTGCTTTTTTAAGGCATTGTGGTACAAAGTCAGGAGTTTAGTAATAATAATACAATTCAGAATAGTGATAAACTAAAGTGTGTTATTACTGGTACTGTGCAAGATATTTTCAAGTGCTCTGTCAGCTAATGGAGAGGGACCAACATTAGCTGAATTGTTTGTTTTTGAAGTAGATTTATATTTATCCATTAAGTATTTTATCGACTTTACCTATCTGCAGAACCCATTATCCTTGAGCTTGAAAAAACAACCACACCCTTTATTCTCCTCTTTGTAAAGCATTTGTATTGCTAAGCATGGGGTAATAGCTGAACTTGCTGCACCTTGATGTTATTAAACATTATTAAAGAGCATGCTGTTTACCTGTTCCCGTAATAATTTCAGTATGTCTGCGATGTCACTGTCCTCAAGATTCTCTTGAGAGAGTAGTTCATAGAGGGGGATTTCATCAGGATAGCGCTCTGCATATGTGAATTTGAGGGTTGCCTGGACAGCTGCAGTGCAACAGAAAACATTAGAAATTGTTGCTTCATGCTGCCAACAGCACCTACTGACATTCATTATATTAGAAGCAATTTACACAACCTAGTTATGACGAAGGCCCAACACACAAACACACCAGTGTGAAACCTGCAGCCAAAGTGATGGTTGCTGTTTTAAATGCAACAAGGAGGTGTCTGATTCTCGTGCTAAGCTCTCTAATGGGAGTGCAGCTCAGTTTTCCCTACTGCAGTACAGTGGTACCTTGGTCTGCAACAGTTTTGGATTACAACCACGTCAAACCCGGAAGTGCGTGTCCCTTTTTTTTGGATTACAACCCATTTTCTTTTGGAGGCCCCATTGGCAAATGCGCGCCTTGGGTTACAACCTGCTTTGGTTTACAACCGGACCTCCGGAACAGATTATGGTTGTAAACCAAGGTACCACTGTACACTCATCCTTTCCCATGGTGAAAATATAAAAATGCTTCAATGACAACATTCAGCTGCAACAAAAGAAGCTACTACTACGCTTGTTGTAGTAACAACAATCTAATTGGCCTAACAATCTAAATTTTTGTTTGTTTTACTACATTTAAATCCTTCACCTTATTCTGTCATGGAACCCAATGCAACAGAGATGCGGTTTCCAGGCTGTCTCCAAACTAGACCCTGACCAGACCTAGACTTGGTCTGTTTCAGCTAAGTGCTCGCCCCTTCAGACCATACATGGCTTGGGACCAGTTTACTAGCAGTACTGCCTTACCCCATATGTGCCCACCTGACTGTGTCAATCTGCAGACCTGGCACTGTTACACTGTTATCAACAGACCACCTCCTATCAATTTAGAAACAATCAAGTCTTTTAAGCATTTTATGCCAAATGTCTTTTCTTCGTGGGAGATCTCTTTCCATATGAAAGTTCAACAGCAGTCAACTTACTTTCGTCATTTTCTCCTGCTTCAGATGTCACAGTGATAGTGAAACTTATTGGCTTTTCTGATAACACTGTTGAAGAAAAAAGTCATAAATGAAGACAATAAAGGTTTTCTCCCTCCGCCACCCAGAGACTGGTTGGTTTTGTCTTCATCAGTCATAACACAATAGCCTCTGCTCTTTTCTTTAAATTGTTTTATATAGGAAATTGGATTGAAATTCAAAGACCAATTAGATATCAGCTCACCAAGATCCCAGAATCAGCTAGACAGGAATAACCTCTATTAACTCAAGAGCCTTTCCCCTTTGAGGAAGGGACATAGCTTAGGGTCCCTTCCAACTCTACAATTCTGATTCAATGAAACCGTATTGCTCCCCTGGTGAGCAACCTGGTCACTGAATTCCGCACCAGTTGAAGTTTCCAAACCATCTTCAGATGCAGCCCCACATATAACACGTTGCCTCTTATCTGCAATAACAGGGATAATACTACTCATCTACAGCACAGGCTTGCCGCACAAAACTTCCTGGTTTATTTAGTGCTACACAGCCAGTTTCATTGAATGTATATGAAGGATGTGTCCCATACAAAGCTGTAGCAGTTTTCATTTGTATCAGTGTAAAGTCAAAACAGTGCTTGCTAACCGTTTTGGCAAGTGTGACACATAAAAATGTAGGGCAAAATCCAAGCTAAGTCATACCCTGAGTACACCCATTAAAATAAATGGGGTTAAGCAATTTATGTTTGTTCATTTCAGTGGGTCCACTCCAAGTATATCTAAGCTTTCTCATCCTTTACTTATAGTAGCACAGCATGAAACAAGCAGGTATGCAAGCCCGATTTTATGCCATGGCCCTTATGCTAGTTCAGAAGTACTACAAACACCTTTTGAAAGTTGCACATCTGTGATCCAAAGTGATCTGGTATTACAGACATACAGTGGTACCTCTGGTTACGTACTTAATTCGTTCCGGAGGTCTGTTCTTAACCTGAAACTGTTCTTAACCTGAAGCACCACTTTAGCTAATGGGGCCTCCTGCTGCTGCTGTGCCGCCGCTGCTGCACGATTTCTGTTCTCATCCTGAAGCAAAGTTCTTAACCCAAGATACTATTTCTGGGTTAGCGTAGTCTGTAACCTTAAGTGTATGTAACCCGAGGTACCACTGTAATAACTATCTGCCACAGAGGCTTCTTACAGCACAAAAGACCAAAAACCAAGCCTAAAACCCAAGGGATGTTTTGATCCAATCCCAGAATCATGTGAAGCAAAGTTTGGAAAATGAGAGCGCACATTTGGATCTCTGGAATAAAATCAAGATCTGCCCCCAACCATTTCATAATACGGCTCCAACTGCACTCCAGGACAGAATGTGGTTCCACACCATATTGTTATGTCTTTTCTTGTTTTAACATGGTCTGTAATTTATTTGCTAAACCATCTTGGGAGCTCTGTTATTAAGATCAAAAGGCAGGATATGATTTTTTTTCAAATTAATAAGTCTTTTACAGAGGTGGTATTAAGAGGTTTAGTGACTGGATGAGGGCCAGGTTTTCAGGAGACTACTTGCGTGATTTGCTCTGCCTTGCTCTTCATGGGCCACCAGCATGGCAGAGGGGGCACCTCATGAGAAGCTGTGAAGACCCTAAGAAAAGCCCTGTCTGGATCAGGCCAGGGGCCCATCTGGCTTATGGGGAGCTTGAGAGCCGAGGACACAGGCGCGAGAGCACCGTCGCCTCCACTATCCGGAGGGAGCTGTCCCTGCTGCAAAGCGGGGAGTGCAAATCCCCACCACCCAGGATCCCGAGGCAAAAGTTTGGCAACTTCTCCAGTTAGGATCGGGGGGACGGACGTGGACCTTGGAGGGAGGTTTCCCACTTCGAAAGCTGGAAGTTCGGAGCAGGCTGGCAGTGCGGGCGATCGCCGCGCCGGGAGGCAGAAGTGCGGAAAGAACAGCTGCAGCGCATGCCGGAAACTTGGCGCCGCCGCCCTGCCCGCGCCCACCTGGCTCCGCACGCGGAGGTTCCTGCAGGCTCCGCCGCTCACCTGTAAAGGAGTCCGGGTAAATGGACTCGAGCGCCTCGAGCTCGTTGCGCTGCTCCTCCGTGTAGTCCGTCATGGCCCCCCGCGGCCGGCCATGGAACCCTCCGGCCCGCAAGCGCCTCCGCCGGCAGAGCAGGGGCAGAAAGGAAGTCGGCGGGTGCAGGAGACAGCCGAGGGAGGCACAGCTCAGGCCGCCGGGACGCACGCGCAACGCGGCGCCGCCCACTCGGCCTCTCTACTCATCGGCCTGGCAAGGAAATCCGTGACTCTGGCCGACGATTGGTCGCGCCTGCCGCCGAGGCGCGCAGGCCCGGTTCTTTTCCCACGGCTGCCTCTTCGCCTTGAAAGCAAGCGCGTTGCTTCCCGAGACCCTGGCTAGCCGGCAACGAAGCGGGGGCTTCTCTTCCGCTTCGAAGCGCTTTCAGTATTTGTTTCTGTTGGTCATGCGGAGAAGGGAATCTGGGGTCTCCACGGGTTGCAACAGCTCCGTAAAGTCCTGCAGGGATAACGGGGAATGGAAGGGAAACACAGAATAGCAGCGCGGCGGCGCTTGCTCCCGAGAAAGTGCATGTAGGATTGCAGCCCGCACATTGCAATCCCACGGATCTCTGCCCAGAAATAAGTCCTTTGAGTTTAGCGAGACTTGCTTTCAGGTTAATGTGTGTTAGGACCGCAGCTTTAATTTCTATTCCCACCTCCAAAGCCCCATGTGGCACCAGTCCTAACGCTTTCCTGTTGTTATAAGACTGCATAGAAAGAGGGAGGAAGCGTTTTTAAAAGCCAGGAAAAGGGGGTAAATTAATTGAGGAGGGAAAGCAAAAATGAGGCAGCGATAGGAGTCTCTCAAAATGAGGTGAGCCCCTGGACCACAGGTTCCTCACCTGTGATACAGAACAGGGCAGGTTTTTAAGCTTGTGAATGCACGTCAGATGACTGGGAATGTTGAGAAATAGGAGTAAGGAGCAGGCAGTAGGTTTGTGCTGCCAGCTTAATATTGGAGGCATTCTTGACATGCATGCAAAAGAATAGCGGAAGATTGTAAATTCAGACTAGTAATTCATAACACTGTAAGGGCATATTTTCCTTTCCCATCCTCTAATGTTTTTATAATGGAGGAGGAAGTAAACAGCAGGTAGAAGTACTCCATAGTAGCCAGCTGGCACTACAAAGCAAAAAGAAAGAGATGATTCAGCTGTCAGGGGACATGGTTATCCTCGATTCAACTCATTGATTTTCTGTTATTGCGAGATCCCTTAAAAGCTTAGCATTTAACAACCTAAAAATACTTCTAAAGGAAAAAAACAGAGCCATTGCATTGTTTCTTTTAAATCTAGACATATTTTCTCAAGGATACAGTTGCTGGTGAATGTACACAAGAAATAAATACTGTATGTATATATATATAAATCCCGGACTGCATATCCTAAAACAGATATGCCAAATCCCACAATGAAGATCTGCACGCAGAAGATGATGGTTCAACTGGTAGCAACAGAGCGCAGTAACAAATAGTGAAAAGAAGTCAGCCTTTTCCAGGAAAAGCTATATTTTAAAACAACATGAAGAATTGAATTTCCCAGAATCTTTGGTAGTATTCTCTTGTTCATTTCCAGTTACATTGGCAGGAGAAGGGGTGATCTATCTGTAGCATCTAACAAAAACGTTTTAAGATTTACTATAAAATAAAGGGATTGTATTGAAAGGGTGAATAAACTGTTGTCTTCTTAAAATTTAATATCTTGCTTGAAACACTTTGTTTGAAACTGCATAGGTAACAAATAAAAAAGGTAAAGGACCCCTGGATGGTTAAGTCCAGTGAAAGGCAATTTGGGTTGTGGTACTCATCTCACTTTCAGGCCGAGGGAGCAGGCGTTTGTCCGCAGACAGCTTTCCAGGTCATGTGGCCAGCATGACTAAGCTGCTTCTGGTGCAACGGAACACCATGACGGAAGCCAGAGTGCATACAGAATAGCTGATCCCCCAAAACTTTGAACAACCATCACCCTTTGGAATTGACAGAGAACCAAATTTAAAATGAAGTTCTCATTATACAGCCATTAACATTTGGATTCAAACACTTGCCTCAGTCGACAGATTTCATATTACACCAAAGAGCAGCAAATAGTTGATCCATTTATTATGTTTTTGCTATGAGAACTATTCAGATTTTCTTCCTTAGGCACCCAAGTGCCTTGTCTTTTGCCAATTCTGAAAGCAGATGAGTTTTCCAAGATAATTTATTATACTCCACATTTCATTCAAAAAGCCTAAGGCTGTAATTCTATGAACATTTGCTCAGGATGGGATATTCCATTAAACTCAGAACGGCCAAATTGTAATTAGAGAGAGTTGTAAAGCATATGGAAAAAGTCTGATGGAGCTATAACAAAACATTTAACAAAGGCAGAAGGGACATGAGATGCATTTGTGAAATCTCCAGCTGTGCGTAACTAATTGACTCAACTACAATTATCTTTCTTCATCCTATCATTCTTTTTGTGGTGTTCACACCCAGCCAAGATACTTTATAAATATACATTCATTTGAAGCATTTCTGTACTATCCTTCAGCAGATTCTGTGGAATAGCTTATGAAACACATAATAAAGCACACACGCAACTGGGAATATAAAAACTGCAAAAAAAAATTGATAAACCTGGTGCCAGGCAGGCCTCTTTGAGGAAGGCATTCCACAGAGGGAGCATTCTCCATTCGGTCACCACTAGCCTTGTCTCAGGTAACTGGGGACCTGTAGGAGATATTCCAAAGATTAAGTTAAAGCTCATCACTTTGAATTGTTCTTAGAAATGGGGCAGGTGCCAGCACAGCTGAGTTGTGTTCCCACTGACCAGCCCCAGTCAATGGTCTGGCGACTGTATCTTGAACTAGCTATGTGAGGCTACCCTTCGACTTGGTACAGAAAGCTCTAGCTGGTGCAGAATGAAGCAGCTAGACTGTTGATGGGGACAGGTGGCCAAAAGCATTTGACACCTCTACTGAAACATCTGCTGGCTTCCCATATGCTGTTTCAGAGTTCTTGTATTGATATACAAAGCTCTGGACAACTTGGGTCCAGGATACCTTGAAGACCTCCAGAGCCCTTATGTCCCAGCTGGTAATCAGTATCTTCTGGAGGAGCCCTGTTTGTTTCCCCTCATGTTACAGAATCCCTATTTGGGCATTTGGAATTTCTGGTTCCATGCTGTGGAATATTCCACGTACTTCCATAATAAGAGATTTGGCAGGAAGAGGAAGATTTTGGAGAAGATTTGCCCTCGGTAGAACTTGTTTCTGAGATTTTAGCGTCTCTATCCCATCGTACCACCACATGCATTATTTAATTGTTTTTCTTTAAGCCTCAGTCATATTATGCTCCTCCATTGATTTTGTCTGAAGCAAGGATTGTTTGTTTTTTCTCCTTAAGTGAGCTTTGGAATGAGCAAAGCCTTTCCATGCTTTAATTTTTAACTTAGAAAACGCATTAGTGAAGAAATGGAGATCAAGATGACAGTGGAACATCAATACAGTTGAGATATAGGAAATTTGGACAGCCAATAATGAAAGTCTGTGTGACAGTGGTGGTGCACTGCCAGCTTGCTAAGACCATGTGATCATCAATAAGCAGATAAATTGCATCCAGCATCAAAGAGGCCATGTATGGGGGGAGGGCAGATAGAGCAGTAATGTTTTCACTTCCTCATGTGTTCATGTTATTTAAGAAGTAGATCTTGCTTGGTTTCATGTTTGTTTGCTCCCAAGAAAGTATGCATAGGATTGCAGCCTTTTGTCCTTTCAGATGTAGCAACCCCTTCCCTTCTGTATTATAAACCTGCTGCTCGATCCTATTTGTATTAACTCAGAGGTAAGTTTCACTTTGTTTGAAGGATTTTGTTCCTAGGAAACACATAGGATCATAGTCTAAAACCCATTGAACTCAGTGGGAATTGATCACTGATTCAGCATACGCATTGGAAATCAATCATCTTGCATTTACTTACCAATCATTTATCTGCATGCATAAAAATTGTAATTTTGGATAGAAACTGAGACATAATTATTTTTAAAAATCAAGTGCACATGCTAGCCTGTGTTGCAAAAACAGGTACAAAATATGCTGTGCGATTTTATGACTGTTTACCCAGAAACATTCTACTTGGCAAATGAGCTTAGGATGACTGCGGACTACTTGTGATGCCGTAGAAGCTGTTGGCAGCTGAATGGATATAAATGAGGACCAAGGAAAAGGCCCTATTAACCAGCAAATCTTTTCTGTGAACCGCCCTGAGACCTCTGGGTATAGGGCGGTATATAAATTCAATAAATTATAATAAAATAATAAAATGCAGGGGGTCATGCCATTCAGCATTGCCCCAGTTTCTTCCACTTGGAGGAGGTGAACTGCTGAATAATACAGGTAGGTGGTCATCTGGCAGCAAGATGCTATGGAGTGATAATAAGGCAAGCTCACTTGCTGAGTGGGATTGTGGCTTGAAAACTGATAACACATCGTTGCTGATGTCTTTGGTTGAAAGCTGACCTAGGTCTAGTGGTGGACCTAAGAAAATCTGGTAGATGATGTTAGGTAGAAGCTGGTGGAGTCTGTACTCAGAAGCCGGAGAACACAGCAAGGCTAAAGCAGGCTGATGCTTATGGTTGGAGTTCATTTTCGGAAGCCAGACAACAGAAGCCAGTGGATATTTGTGGACTGAAGCCAGGACATGGATGTGAATGAATGGAGTGTGTGTGATGAATGGATGTGTCCACTGGTGTTCTTCACAGATGTCAGCTGGCATACGTTTGTATGAGTGAATTCCCATTTGAATGCTTTTGAGATGAAATGAGTGAGTGTAGATGTGTGATTATGATGTGTGAGAGGTGGATATTCATGAACAGACTATGGCTATGCCAAATAACCAGCTTTATATATTTCTGGCATATTTAGACTTCTGAATGTTCTGGTCTTGCTTGTCATGCAGTGAGATCAGCTATTATGCATGTGATTTGCAATCTCTCTGCTTTAATGGATCAGTTCCTGATCTGAGTCAGGTTGTTCTCTGAAGCAGGCTTGATTTCTTGCCAGATTTCTCTTGGAAGATTTGAATCACATAAGAGGAGGAGCAGAAGAAGAAATGTGGCACCCAGAGCTCTTTTACTTTCAGAGAGTAGTAAAGTGTTGTTGTTTTAATAGCCAGGATAAAGAAAGGAATCCAGTAATGGAAAAGGAAAATGCTTTTTGAAGAAGAAAGGATATAAACAGGGAATCGCATACTCTCTACTACTGCCCAGGAAAAATGTCACGGCCAGCAAACAGAAGACCAGAGAACCCCAAAATAGTAAGTCTTATTTGGACAGGTAAATGCTACCAAATATAAAACTTTCCTCTTTAAATTAATGTGCTGCTCTGTTTAATAAGAACATGTTTTGCAAGCTAGGACATATAGCTAAGAATTTCAACATGTTTAGGGATATAGATTGCATTTTCATCTTTTGTTTTGAAATGAGAACCCAGGAGGGAGCATTTTAGTTGTAAAGATTCAGAAAAGGGCAGCCAGAACCATCAAAGAACTGGAACAGCTCCCCTGGGAGGAGAGGTTACACTGTTCAACCCTTGCTAGTTTGCTTTAGGGAAAAAGCGAGTAAAGGCTTTTTCTCCCTCATTCATGATACTAGAATCCAGATTATTCAATGAAGGTAAATGGTGGGATATTCAGGACAAATGGAAATACTTATTTGCACAGTGTATAGAGATTTGCTGTCACAAGATTGGTGTTAGCCTCTTTTAATGTCAAGTCATGGAGTTCTTATCATTGTGTAAGTTGTTGGTGGTATATCTGTGACTGAACAGTTTAACATTCTCGTGGTTGAATTATTTAAGTTTTTCTGTTCATAAGATGATTATATTTATTATTTCTTCTAAAACAAAGATGCTTTAAAAAGAAGGAACTACTTCACTCCATTCATGGCTGTCGGTGATGGGCACCAATTTGGATGGCTTTAAAAGAGAATTAGATAAATTTGTGGAGAGTAGGTCTATCTGTGGCTACTGGAAATGTTTCTTTCCTTTTTTTGTGGGCTTCCTATAGGCATCGGATTGGCCGCTATAGGAAACAGAATGATGTTTGGCCTGACCCATGTTCTTATTTGGGGCCCGAGAGCAATTTTCAGTGCTTGTTGTAGTTATTGTGATGATTTCCAACAAGATCACATTTTTTGGAAGACCCGTGAAACTTTTGGCACCTTCTGCACTATGCATTTGAAACAGTATCTTGCCACTTTAAGCAGCCATAGCCTTCCCCCAAAGAATCCTGAGCATTGTAGTTTGTTAAGGGTGCTGAGAGTTCTTAGGAGACCCCCTTATTCACTGAGCTACAATTCTCAGAACAGTTTCAACAGTCAATCCCTCTTCCCAGATAACTCTGGGAAATCTAACTTTTTCCATAAGGTGTTGTCTGGTGCTGCTGGTACACCACATCTTTAGGAAATGGAGGAAGGGATGTTACCTTTCACTCCACATATCAGCAGTATCACATAAGCACCCCACCGTTCCTCTAAAGTAGTGGTTTTCAGGCCTTTTGGGTTGAGAAACCCTGTAATATATCATCCTACAGAACTCTTAATCCCTCTCCTTGAGCAACCTACACACCTACAAAGCCAGGGGAGGGGGAAATCGGTGCAACAACATGCAATAATTTATTTAGCCATTACAAAGGTGTAAGAGAGGAAAGTGAAGTCCCTGAGGGTGGGACAGAATTGTACAGAATTTTACAGCAGGGCTGGCCCACCCATGAGGAAGGTGAGGATACTGCCTCAGGGGACAGGACTCACAGGGGCAGCAGATCCTAATGTAGAACTTTATCTCTCCCCCCCCCCCCCGCCCTTGTTCCTAACTTAGATCTTCACTCATCTCTTCTTCCCTGGTGGGGGGCAGGGTGCAATTGTGTGGTTTGCCTCAGGCGCTAAAATGTATTGGGCCAGTCCTGCTCCTGGGGAATATATTTGGAAATTAAGGATTCAACTTCAGTTGATTAATTCATGGCTAATTAGGAATTTGAACTCAAACCTTACAGACACAATCCGTTCTCTCTCTCTCTCTCTCTCTCTCTCTCTCTGTGTGTGTGTGTGTGTGTGTGTCATTAGAGTGTTGCAGCCAGACAGAAATAGAAAATCAAGTTAAACATTCTGCCTTTCTACTTTTTTCCCCATGCTGGCACCTGTTTGTAAGCTCCTGAAAAGTTTATAATTCACTGAACTAATGGTCAGGGGTCCCTTTACCTTTACCTTTAAGATAAATTGATTTCTTAAAGGAAATGAGTTGGTTTTGTAAGATATTCTATGCTTCTCAAAGTGACATCAAAAAGACTAGACTTCGAACCTGTTCTGTGTCTATATATGAATGAGTCAGGAATATTTTTTCTTCAAATGATACTGCAATTTTTGTCCATTCACCACCACCACATACAAGCACCCTTCCTTTCTCGCTCTCCTAATTCTGATCATCTATTAAAGATTTCCCTTTTTGGCCACTAGATGGCACAACAGTTAATAGCAGTGCCACCAGTTTTATTGTTCCAGAAATGAATTTCTGATCACTTGAATCAATTTCTTTCCCCAAACACTGAATACTCTTACTGGATTATAGTCCCCCAGAGGCTAATATGCAATTAACATACAGTTGAGCAAGTCTTACTTGACACCAAGGAATAGAAAGAATTGATTCCAAACATTTGACTTGTATACAATTCCAAGCTGCTTTTATTCCTTAAAAAAAGAAAGAAGTTCATATGCAGTTGCATTGTGGAGTCTAGGAGTGTAAGGCATTATATAGAAGTTTGCCAGACATAATTTCCCCCTGTGCTTGTTTGAGTCACCTCTGTGTAAATTTCAGAATATCCACGGGCTCTGTCTAGGCCGCTTAACTTGGAATAATAATAATAATAGTAATAATCCTATAATAATTTATTATGTATACCCCGCCCATCTGGCTGGGTTTCCCCAGATACTCTCGGCAGCTTCCAACAAAATATTAAAACATGAAGACCCTCAAACATTAAAAACTTCTCTGTACAGGGCTGGCTTTGGATGTCTTCTAAAAGTCAAATAGATGTTTATTCAATTGACATCTGATGGGAGGGCATTCCACAGGGTGGGCACCACTATCGAGAAGGCCCTATGCCTTGTTTCCTGTAACCTCACTTCTCGCAGGGAGGGAACTGCCAGAAGGCCCTCGGCACTGGACCTCATGAATTTCTTTCTTTTTTTAACTGAACAATGGGGGTGGAGATGCTCCTTCAGGTATACAGGACCAAGACTCGATGGGACTTGCTTGTGAGTAGATGTGCATAGGATTGTGCTGTACAGTGATAGTTTCAGTGGCTATTTGTGTTTGCCAGGAGCCTGCCAGGAGCATTTGGGTGTAACTACAGGTGACACTTGGGACGTGGGTGGCACTGTGGGTTAAACCACAGAGCCTAGGACTTGCCAATCAGAAGGTTGGCGGTTTGAATCCCCGCGACGGGGTGAGCTCCTGTTGTTCGGTCCCTGCTCCTGCCAACCTAGCAGTTCGAAAGCATGTCAAAGTGCAAGTAGATAAATAGGTACCACTCTGGTGGGAAGGTAAACGGCATTTCTGTGTGCTGCTCTGGTTCGCCACATGACCCGGAAGCTGTACGCCGGCTCCCTAGGCCAATAAAGCGAGATGAGCGCCGCAACCGCAGAGTCGGTCACGACTGGACCTAATGGTCAGGGGTCCCTTTACCTTTATCTTACAGGTGACACTTAACTGTGTCCCTTGTAATATGCCATATTTTCTTTACCTTTTCCTTTACTTAATTGCAGGTATGTGACAAGGCAAGGGGCTATTTTATTTTATTAGCACTGCAACCCTGGGGAGGCCATTCTACTGCGATTGCAATGAAAATCAGGACTCAGTTCTTTGCACATCACTTGCAAGGCACTGTGTTGGGATTTGTCCTCAGTTCCTGCAGAGTCGATGCGAAGCCCAGTGGGCCTCCCAAGAGTCTCATGAAAATAAAGGATATGAGATGGCTTAGCCTCCTCTACACGATGGTGGGGCTCCCTTGACAGACACATCAAGGTCGAAAGGGGTCCTTCAAGGTAGAAAGGCTGAATGCTGCGGCTATAGGCAGGGATGAGGAATCTCCAGCCTGCAAGCATAGTCTGACCCACCAGTCCTCCTAATTTGACTCACCAGTGAGGAGTGGGGCAGGTAAAGAACTGCCTTGGCTGAAATGGGCTTACAGGCACCCCGATTAGCTTTTTGTTGGAGCTTGAGATGCTATCTGCACAAAGAGCTTCTCCGTGAGGTCTTGCAACATAGTAAAGGATAGGAGGGTCCACTGAGTATTCAAGCTGTGCAACTCCCTTGCATTTCAAGGGCACAAGTGTAGGAGCCCTTTGTGAGTGCTTGGCTAGTTTTCACTAAGGCTACCATCTTAGGCACACAGACTTGGATGGAGGCCCCACTGAACTTGCTTTGGAACAAACATGCAAGTCACTGGCAGAAATTTCCAATGCTGTGCTGTGTGAGTTTTTGTGGTCCTGAAGTGTACTTTAAGGCTGTGATGTGCCCTCTATAGACTTTGTGAGCACACAGCGATTCCTGCTCTCTTCTGGTTTCACCACAACATGGTGGAGTTTTGAAATGCAGTTGCTTGTTCATTGGGAGAGTGGAAAGGTGTGCTTCTGGAGACATTGCAAAAGAAACCATTTGTGCGCTTGTTATTACTCACCTGATTCAGTGTGAATTATTTCCTTTCTAGTTCTAAACAGCATTTGCATTTCATTCAATCACATTTCCCCCCTCCTCACTTTCTATCTTTCAAACAAAGCAATTTACAGGAATGTGTGACTTTATTGTTCTCCTCCCCCCTCTCTTTTATATGCTTCTCTTTGTGTTCTAGGACTGGCATTTACCCACCGTTTCATCCTCTGCATCAGCACATCATATGGTATGCTGAAAGACTTCTGCATCTACCCTATAATATATCTCCCTGGGAAACTGGGATTTTTTGAGAGTTCGTATTGGGTATGGTCAGGGCCAGCCCAAGGCATTTTGGCACCTGAGGTCAGAAGAAGGGGTCAGAGAAGATCTACATCAGGAACAAAGGGGGAAGAAGGATAGACATTGGGATCTACTGCCCCAGTGGATCCAGCTGCCTGAGGCAGTTGCCTCACCTTGCCTTGTGGATGGGCTGACCCTGGGCATGGTCAATATGGCACTGTGTTACTAGTTTTTGGACGGTGCAGGCAATTATGTAATTATGCAGCACATGCTGAGTTCATTGCCTTTTTGTTAGACAGGATATTTACAGAAAAGCTTAGGGGTAGGGTAGGATAATTTGTTTCCTCCTAATTCAGTATGTTTAATAAGCCATGACCATTGCTTTGTATCTCCCTTAATTGGCAGAGCAGAGAGCTTTTTGTACTCACTTACGGCGCTTTGGTGGCTCAGCTGTGTAAGGATTACGAAAAGGATGAAGATGTGAACAAATATTTGGACAGCATGTAAGTAGCCAGGACAGGTTCAAACACGGTTGCATATCAGCTTAGCAGGCAATGATATCCATTTAACATTGCTTTCCTCATATCGGGATCTGTCGGGGGGGGGGGGGGAATTAAATCCAGGAGATTGGTGGAACTTCTGGAGGGGCTGTTTATCCACACAAGATTTGGTTTGTTATTCCATCCCTTTCTAGGACAATTATCAAATCGCTTTTCTAGCCCCTTGAGGTCTGGCAAGATAAGTGATGGGAAATGGCACTGTAATGTTTGGGATAGATGCCATTGGCTGGCATAGTCCTATAAACTTCCATGGGAAGGTTGGGTCTCAAGATTAATCCAGTATTTTCTCAGGGAGCTTTCAACTGATGGGGATGATGATCCCCTCGATGGCCTTTTTGACAGCAGGTTAAGGTTACCAGATTTTTTTCAGTGAATCCGGGGACACTTTTCAACTTCAATAGTGTTATGTACTGAGTTGAATAGGAGCCAAACTGCAGCAGTCCTAGAACAATAGGATCCAAATTGCAGCAGTCTGATTGGTCCTAGAACAATAGGATTCAGAATGCAGCAGTCTGATTGGTCCAAGAACAATGCAGCAGTATGATTGGTTGGCAGGAACCACCCAATCATGCTCCAGATATAAGTGAATCCACAACCTGATTGGCTTACAGTAGAATTCCAGAATTAACCAATCATGTGCAGCCCATTGTGTAAATAATGTATATAAAGCAGATACTTTGAGGGGGCATTCATTCATTCCTCCTCCCCACTATGAGCTGAATAAAGAGCATGAAATCACTTTGCGACTCTGAGTATATTTCACTGGCGACGAAGGTGGGATCCCGCTGAGCTGACTGCCACACACAGCACTGCAGCACCGCCACCTGCCGCACCGCTGCCTCGCACCGTGCATCCAGGCTTCAGCTCCGGGACACAAGGAACTCAGAATGGCAGCCAACAGCAGCTTCTCGCCATTCAACCCAGCATCTGGAGACTGGGAAGCGTACGCCTCCCGTTTCACCTTCCTCCTAGAAGCCAAAGGGGTCACCGACGAAGAAGACGCCAAGAAGAGGGCGATATTCTTCAGCGTCTGCGGAGAGCAGACATTTGAAATCGCCCGGGCTCTCCTTGCGCCTGAAGACGTCGCTACTGTTCCATACAAAACAATAATGGAACAGCTGAAGGGGCACTTTTCGCCACAGCCCTCAGTGGTGGCTCGTCGAAATGCCTTCTACGCAAAGCGGCAAGCCCCTGGGGAAACCATTACTGGGTTTGTGACCTCTCTCCGCCAAGCCGCCCGGTTCTGCAACTTCTCAGAGCTAGAGAACATGCTTCGGGACCGCCTCGTCGGTGGCCTGAAGGATGAGAAGCTGCAACGACGCCTCTACGCTAAGAAGGACCTAACGTTCCAGGTCGCTCTGGAGGAGGCCCTGGCAACGGAAGCTGCCGAGAGGTCGACGCAAGAGGCACGGCCGAGCCTGCCATCCCAACTGAGGGTCCACCACGAAGACCTCACAGACGACTCAGGATCCGACAGGGAGGAGGTGCACCGAGTACAGCAGCGCACTCAAGCAGCGCACAGACCACAGCTGCCTCGACGAGAAGGAGGGAACTGCGCAAGCTGCGGGGAGAGTCACGAGAGGAGGACCTGCCGTTTCCGCAACGCAGAGTGCAGGCAGTGCAGAAAATTGGGACACATCGCCCGGGTGTGTCGGGCTCGGCCCACCCGACACCAGGCATCAGATGACCAATCCAAGAGCCCCAGGTCCTGGGGCCCAACGCACCAAGGCAACTCGACGGAGCTCACGGACTGCCAGGTATACCAGTTGCCCCACCCCAACGTAGAGAAAATTTATGTAGAGGTACAGATAGAGGGGCCCCATGCCGCATGGAGCTTGACACGGGTTCAACTCTATCCATAATCTCGGCAAGGACCTTAAGGAAACTGTGTCCTACTGGGGGTCCCAAACTCAGGCCGGCCCCATTCACCCTACGGGACTTCCAGAAACGTAAGGTCCCCACAATGGGGGTGGGGACCTTCAGGGTGCAATACCGAGGGCGGACGCAGCAACTGGACTTGCTTGTGGTCAAGGGCCCCTACATTAGCTTACTGGGATTGGCATGGTTTGGACCACTGGGGCTAGCGGTCACCGGGGTGAACCACACTAGCTTACAAGTGGACGTGGACGCCATATGCAAGGAATTTCCAGGGGTTTTCGATGGGAAATTGGGACAGTATACGGGCCCCCCCATTGCGCTACAGCTTGACCCCGCAGTACGACCGGTCAGGCTCAAGGCCCGCCGGGTCCCGTTCGCCTTGAAACCCCGTATAGATGAGGAATTGGACCGACTCGTGGAGCAAGGAGTGCTGGAGCCGGTGCCTAATGCCCCCTGGGAAACCCCAATCGTCACACCCGTCAAGCCTAATGGTTCAGTCCGCATCTGCGCAGACTACAAATGTACCATAAACAAGGCCCTCACGGCCCACGCATACCCAGTGCCAGTGGTCAGCCATGTCCTTGCCACCCTGGCTGGGTCGAAAATTTTGGCAAGCTGGACTTGGCCCAAGCATATCAACAGCTGCCAGTAGATGAGGCCACAGCAGAGGCACAGACGATTGTGACGCACAGAGGAGCGTTCAGGGTAAAGCGGCTGCAATTCGGTGTCAGCGTGGCACCAGGCATATTCCAGAATCTAATGGACTCCCTCCTTAAAGGGATTCCTGGCGTCACCCCATCTTCGATGATGTGTTGATTGCCGGGCCCACACCAGAGGAGTTTGAGGACCGCCTCCGCACCGTTCTGCACCGTTTCCAGACGGCGGGTCTCAAGGTGAAGCGGGAAAAATGTCTACTAGGAGTGCCTCAGGTGGACTTTCTGGGATTTATGGTGGACGCAGAAGGGGTCCACCCAACTGGGGACAAGGTACGGGCCATTTGTGATGCCCCAGCGCCCAAGAGCAAGACTGAACTTCAGGCCTTCTTGGGACTATTGAACTTTACCTTTCCTTCCTTCCCCACAAGGCGGCGGTAGCAGAGCCCCTACACAGACTCCTGGACAAGCGGGCCCCTTGGGTGTGGGGCCAGCGCCAGGAGGCTGCATTCCAGGCAGTCAAGGACTTGCTTGTCTCAAACTCGGTCTTGGCACACTTCGACGAGAGGCTGCCGGTGGTTTTAGCATGTGACGCCTCGCCCTATGGCATTGGCGCTGTCCTGGGACACCAACTCCCGGATGGAAGAGAGGTACCGGTGGCATACTTTTCCCAGACACTCAACGCAACCGAGCGGAACTACTCGCAAATAGACAAGGAGGGTCTGGCAATCGTGAAGGGAGTAAAAAAATTCCATGATTTCTTGTACGGGCGGCCCTTCACCGTGGTGACTGACCACAAGCCGTTGCTTGGCTTGTTTGCCCCGAAAGCAGACCCCCCAAGTGCTGTCTCCTCGCGTCCTCAGGTGGTCAATTTTCCTTGCCAGCTACCAGTATGCACTGATTCACCGCCCGGGGAAGGCGATGGGCCATGCAGACGCCCTCAGCAGGCTACCACTACCGGAAACAGGCCCCGACCCAGCACCTGCACAAGAGGTTATGAGCCTGGAGCTGCTTCCCGACCGCCCCATTCAGGCACAAGAAGTTGCACACCATTCCAAGAAAGATAGGGTCATCTCCCGGGTCCTGGACTGGGTGTGGAGGGATGGCCCAGCAGCAGCCCTGGGCCAGAATTCGCTGGCTACACAACCCGCAAACATGAACTGTCGGCCCACAAGGGGTGCCTGTTATGGGGAAGCAGGGTCGTTGTTCCCCAGCCCCTCCGCAAAAGGGTCCTCACAGCCCTACACGAGACACACCCAGGGGTAGTAAGAATGAAGGCCCTTGCCAGGAGTTATGTGTGGTGGCCAGGGATCGACGGAGAGATAGAGGCCTGGGTCAAACACTGCCAGGCCTGCCAAGAATCCCGCCCAGATCCCCCAAGGGCCCCAGTCCAGTCCTGGGAGTCCGCCCGAGCACCATGGTCACGCCTGCATGTGGACTTCGCTGGCCCCTTTCAGGGGAAAACATTCTTCATAGTGGTGGACTCCTACACCAAATGGCTGGAAGTCGCACTGGTACCGTCCACTTCTACATCCGCAGCCATCCGGGTATTACGCAGGCTGTTTGCAACCCACGGGCTCCCTGACACTCTCGTCTCAGACAACGGGACTGCATTTACGTCAGGAGAATTCCAAACCTTCACAGCGCAGAACGCCATCCGCCACATCCGTTCGGCGCCATTCCACCCTGCCACCAATGGCCAAGCAGAACGCATGGTGCGGACCACCAAGGACACGCTTCGCCGCATGACGCAAGGGGATTGGGAGTACCGCCTTGCCACATTCCTCCTAGCACAGCACAGCACCCCCAGCTCAACGACTGGCCGGAGCCCCGCTGAACTACTAATGGGTCGGCGCCTTGCAATCAGATTGGACCGCCTTCACCCCGATAGAGCTCAGGATGAGGTAGTGGTGGGGGAAGGCAGGAACCCCGGACCTTCGAGGCCCAGGACCCAGTGTACGCAAAGAATTTTGGGGCAGGCCCAGCATGGGTACCCGCCACAGTCACCAGGGTCACTGGCCCCGTGTCGTACGAGGTGCTAACGGATGGGGGCAATGCTGGCGCCGCCACTGCGACCAGATACGGCGACGATTCCCAGGAGAAAACCAGGAGGAGGAAAGGTCTGAGGAGTCCCAAGGGAACAGAGGGGCAGTGAGGCCCATAGAGCAGGAGGGGCCAGCAGGAGAGGCAGAATCAGTAAATACAGAGAGGACCCGCGAGGCCGAAAGGACACCAGAACCAGAACCACGACTGAGCGAGCTGGTTGCGCCAGACCAAACAGGCCCATCACAGCCAGCATCCTTGGAACACGAGCCAGAACCTGAACCCCGGACCAGGGAACACCACAGGCCGCAATGCACACGTAGGCCGCCGGCGTACCTCGAGGACTATGAATGCGACCTCCCGGGCAGGACTGGAACTTAGAGGGGAGGGGTGTTATGTACTGAGTTGAATAGGATCCAAACTGCAGCAGTCCTAGAACAATAGGATCCAAATTGCAGCAGTCTGATTGGTCCTAGAACAATAGGATTCAGAATGCAGCAGTCTGATTGGTCCAAGAACAATGCAGCAGTATGATTGGTTGGCAGGAACCACCCAATCATGCTCCAGATATAAGTGAATCCACAACCTGATTGGCTTACAGTAGAATTCCAGAATTAACCAATCATGTGCAGCCCATTGTGTAAATAATGTATATAAAGCAGATACTTTGAGGGGACATTCATTCATTCCTCCTCCCCACTATGAGCTGAATAAAGAGCATGAAATCACTTTGCGACTCTGAGTATATTTCAAATAGGAATGATAGGATTTTGTCAGGGGATTGATTTGTAAATCCAGGGACTGTCCCCGGGAAACGGGGATGTCTGGTAACCTAACAGCAGGTTCTGCAGCTACAAGTGGGACTTTGCTGATCCAGACATGTCTTCTTTGAGTATATTCCATTTCATCCATCTCCCAGTTCCCACCCAGTTTTTGGCTTCCCCAGCCCCCCAGCAGTCAGTCAGCATGCAGTGACCACTGAGCTCATCAGCCTTCATCAGTCTCATTGTGGCAGTGGGAGAAGGCTGTATTGCAATGCTGAAATGGGCATTTAGCATCCCTGGAAATAAACAAATATTGCATGACTTTGAACTTCCGCCTACAAGAAATGTTTGTGTTATATCAATTTACTTGGCTATTATAGTCTGTTTTGGCTTTGTGTCATATGCTCTCATCCTATATTACTTAAATGCTTTCCCATTAACTGCAGTTGGTTTTCCGGTAAAGCTGATTGTGAATTGTGACTAAGATTAAGAGAGAGAGAGTTTAATGGAACTTTTCCCCGAATTCATTTAAACTTCAAATGGATCTGTTAAAAAGTTCCATTAAATACTATCTCTTCCATTTTAAATTTTAAAGCCTTTCAGGCTGGCAAAAGCAATATGTTGATTCATTCAAGATCCTTATACTTGGGAATTCCTTGGCAGCAGCAGCTGGTAACAGTTTTATTTGGTAGGGCTGCATTTTTTAACCTTTCTGTTTTCGCCACAGTAAGACTTACACAGCACTTATTCAGGGAAGTGTGCCTTTACACGTGTGCAGAGTGCCATTGTCTCCTCTCTAAAAAAGCAACCCACCAATTATTCTCTGTACTTCTATGGACTTGATTGACTTTGTCCCACCCAGCAGCTGCTGCAGCTTTTTCTGAGTGAACACAGGAAAATGGTTAATACCAAGCTTACTGCAAAATATACACAAGCCACACACTATTTCTCTTCCCAATTTCCTATTTTTTATAAAAAATTAGTGCAAAATGATTAAGTAAAAACATATATTTATTATAGAAAAATATTCATTGTTGCTTGCTTGCTTGCTTGCTCTTTCTCTCTATGAAGGTCACAAAACAAATGTTAAACCAGGCTTCCTCAAACTCAGCCCCCCAGATGTTTTGAGACTACAGTTCCCATCATCCCTGACCACTGATCCTGCTAGCTAGGGATCATGGGAGTTGTAGGCCAAAAACATCTGGAGGGCCGAGTTTGAGGAAGCCTGTGTTAAACTAACAAACAAAAATGGATTCAAAGTAGAAAACACTCCCTGTTGTTTCTCTGGCCTTCAGGGAAACAGCTCCAGCTGTGCTCAGAACCAGTGTATGATTATGGTGGCTAATGTTGTTCTTGAAGCAGTCCTAACGCCACTCATTTTTTCTGTAGTGGCTGTACTGGATAGGCCTAAATAACAACAGAAGTAACAAGAGCTTTCTTACTAGGGCCGCCTTTCCAGCAACCCAATCAGTCACATGGTTTTTCTGCTTAGAGACACATGGGAGGGACCTTGTCAGCAGGGCTATACCTTTGGGTTGGGAGCATCTGAGTGATTCAGAGAGTTGGTTGGCTAGAGATCAGGAAATTGACCAAAAATGCCTCTGTAAGTTCAAAGAAGTATCAAATGTGCACGACTGACTTTTTGTTCTCTCTTTCTTCAGGGGCTATAACATTGGCATCAGGTTAGTTGAAGACTTCTTGGCTCGCTCCTCTGTGAAGAAGTGCCGGAGTTATTCTGAAACGACAGACATAATTGCACAGGTATGCACAGGTGCTGCCTCAGCAAGGCAAGGCTATGTCCAAGTGTCCCTTTCTTAGCGAGGATGATCACAAGAATGATCTCAATTTTGGGGGGAGGGATCGTTTCCAGGCATTGGCTGGCTGGGCAGGACAGAAGCACACATCCACCCAATCCATCACACACACACACACACACACACACACACACACAAACCCGTAACCCGGTGCAAAAGAGGGTTTGATTTGCAGTATTAGTGCCTTATGTAAATGGAGGCACCATGCTGGTTTTTTTTTTTACTATAATAATGCCTACTAATAAAATCCTATTAGCTGTCATGGGTTTTGAGAAAAGAAAATAGCTCATGTTTCCCTTGTAAAATTCCAACACGGAGTTAAATGGAAACATTTAATGAAACTGGATGGTATTTTGAAGAAGATAGCGCAGCAGAGAAAGGAGCAGCAAAGGTCTAATGAAGGGCTCTTTGCTTAAATTTCTGAAAATGGCATTGCAGTAGTGGCACAATCAGAATCAATTTGTTGCTTCAAAGGGGCAAGCAAGGGAACTAATAAAAAGCAAATAACGTTACATAGATATGGATAGAAAAGTGCACAAAGCCAACTTGTTCCCGCAGTGCTTTAATGCTTTCATTTACTTATTTTAATAAAGTATAAGTAAACTGTTTCTTGGGTTTTTTTATTCAGTGGTGGAAATTTCACAAGTACGCCACTCCCGTAGTAACATGCTATCCATATTTATAGTTTTAGTTAAAGGTCTAAAGCCTGTTTCTGGTTTTTGTTGAAGTGGGGGAGGGGGGTGCCAGGCTCAGCAGCTTTATTTCTAGTAGTCCCATTTTGCAATCAAACTGAAAGGTACCCAATCACCAGTGTGTTGGTTTGGTTTAGTTAAAAAGATAAATAGATACGGTTTAATAATAAAAAAAGAATTCCCTGGATGCCTAGATTCAGGTTTGGGGCAAGTTCTATTTGGTGAGAGAGCCCCAGCAAAGATTTAAAACATACAGCCAAAGTAAAGCATGGAAATATAGGCTGTTAGACCTTTAAAATATCCCCTTCTAAGTTGCTTCCAAAATTCTCCACTTCCCTTAGCATAGAAAGAGACTACGCATTTGGTAAGTTAAAAATGGTTTGCTTACAAACTCTTCAAAGGTCAGATTTGTGTGATTATCCATACAGCAGCAAGAAAAGACAGGCAGTATAACCTTGGTTCCAAAATGGTGTCTGTTCCTAAATTATTTGTATAGAAACACAATGATAACTTGGTTCAGCCATGCAGTCCAAACTTGAGCATCCAGCTTAAACCTCCTTACTGGTAGGTAGTGCTATTTTTCTAGAAAAAGAGGTGCTGAAACTCAACATGAATACCTCCCTCGTTCTTAAAGAATGACAGTGGCGCTCTATATTCATTTAGTACCCCTACTGCAGATTGGAATGCAATCCAGGCCTACAATGGGCACAATCTTTCCCATCTTATTATGGTTATGAAAATGAGGTGATAAGCCCGTATAAAGTCATAAGATGCCCAGTGTGAAACTGAGCACGCTGTAAGCAAAAAACAAATAAACCATTTTTACATACCTGTTAACTGATATAAAACTGATGTAGGTTTGGAGGAGAAGGAAAGGGGCCATGTAATCAAGTGACTGCAAAAAGGGAAATCAATTGTAGTGATCATATATCCATCAAATGCAGGAGATCAATTTTTGCATTTGAAATTTGTGAAAACTCTTCTACAGTTAAGTAGATTTCAAACCTGATTTCTTGCTGACTACAAACAAATGTTCATCTGGGCTTGTCTTAAGCCAGGAAACGAAACCTATCATTTCTGGCTAATAGTCAGGGATGATGGGAATTGTAGTCAAGCAGCATGTGGAAGGCCACAGGTCCCCCATCCCTGTCTTAAGCTAACAAACTTTCCTTTGGTAACCATTTCCATCTGAAAACTTGGAGACAGTGTTGATGGGATGCATGTTCTCCTCTCCATTTCCAGGTTGCTTTTAAGATGTATCTGGGTGTTGTGCCAACTGTGACTTGCAGTAATTCCACACGGTTCTCCCTCATTCTGGACAAGAACCCCTTGGTGGACTTTTTGGAAGAGCTGCCGGCGGGGAGATCTTCACTTTGCTATTGCAGTCTCTTGTGTGGGGCCATAAGAGGTGCTCTAGAAATGGTAAGCAGCCGACAGCTGCTTTGGCCTCCTCTGCTGCTGTTGTAATTATTAAAACTAATAGGGCTCATCCACACTTCTGCTTATCCCATGCCCAGAAAGCATGGGTCTGAGTGGTTTTCCCCTTGCCCAGTTCCTTTTCCATGAAAACCCATTCTTTAGTGCTAAATTGGAGCAAACGTCAATCTGGAGAAAACACAAATTGCCCTTTGCTCCAAAACAGCACTAAAGAGCAGCTTTCCCTAGGGGAAAGCAGCGGGGCAAGAGGGGGATAAACTGTTAGTTACTTGCCACCCAAAAGGTCTCCAGGTGAGTTACATTTAAAATATATACCCACCCAAACAAACACCCACCTACATTCTGTCATAAGGGGTGGCATCTGAACCTGTCATGTGGCAGCAATGCAAGCCCTGGCTGACCCTTGTAAGAAGGGCAGAGCTACATTGCAGTAATTGTCTTGCCCTTGGGTAGGGCATTAGGAAATGAAACTGGCCCCAAGGGAAAGCCGCAGCTGCCAGGATCTGCACATATCTGAAAGCGAAAGCCGGAGAAAACAGAACTGTGTTCGCTGTGTTTTCCAAACCAGTTGTTTTGTGGAAGCTACATTGTGCTGCTTAAAAAAAAAAAGTCTGCTTATTTAGATAAGTGCTAATGGACTTGTGTGCAGCTGTGTCAGTTAATGCATTCTTCTTTTTAAAAAAGAAATAAAAAAGCAGGCTAGCTGTGCCCTTCTGTACAGAAAAGGGGAAGGTCACAATCTCAAAGAATGGGCACATCTACATTTGGGGGTCACTTTTCAGTAGAATTGACCAGAGCCTTGGAAAGCACATAGAGCTGAAAGGGGAAAGACTGTCACTCTACAGAATTTCACTTTGGGCTGTATCTGCTCTTCAGCACCTCATGGCTAAGCAGGAAGTATGTGAGGGGCTCAGAGGCTTCATGGGCACCAGGCAAAGACCACAAGTGAATCACTGCATTCGCAGGCACCATATTGGCAGCCCCTGGCCCCTGTGTTTCAAGGTGTATTTTGCACAAAGAAAACACCTTTTCATTTCCCTTTTCAATCTTGCTGTAGCTTTAAAATAAGTTTGAGCTGTTGTGTTTTATTCTCCGCTCTTTGTTTTTGACCTTTGTCAAGGTTTGTCAGCATTTCATTCTGCATTACATTTTATTACGCTTTTAATCGGCTGTTGTTGTTTTAAACTTGTTTGTTTTTATTCTATAAGCCCCACCCACCCATTATAGTGCACCCTCTTAAAAAAAAATTTAAAACCCTGCAATGTGGAACAACAATAAGTTTTCTTTCACTTACTTAGCCAAACTTACTTATTTTCAGATACATCTGGCTGCTGAAGTTACTTTCATCCAAGACACTCTGAAGGGGGATGATGTGACAGAAATTGGAATTGCATTCTTAAAGAAGATTGAAACCAGGAAACACAAAAGAAATAAGTGAAGCCATATCTGAAGTCACTATGTGTGAACAGTTAATATTTTTGACCCTCTGTACCTGCCTAGAAAGATATTATTCCTGATCCAGAAAAGGCATTCGATACAGAACCGTGGTGTGGATGGTGCCACCTCTGGATCAGGCCCAGCACTCCCAAATGTTTGCTATGTGGGGCATGAACTCTGCAGCAACCCACAACCCAACATGGACATGAATGGTGCATGGTTCTCCCTCCTGGCTCAACTGCAGATGAGTCCAGGGTCTCTTGAGGGAATGGCTGCCTCTCCTGCATGCTTAGGTCATCCTGCTCTACATTCTTCAGCCAGGTAAAGTTAGATGGGTGGCTATGAGGCACAGGCACTGACTTAGGGGTGGCACACTCACTGTGGAACTCCCTGCTTCAGAAGGCTTAGCAGCCTAGCTATTTCAGGCTTAAAGAGACTCATCAATGTAGTACTTGTTAGAAGTGTGGGCAAGATTTCTTTTTATTCTTCTGAAGGAGTTGACTATTTCCCCAGAGTGTCTGGGGAAGCCTAGCCAGATCAGCGGGTATAAATAATAAATTATTATTATTATTGGTCCATCTCTTCTTATTCTAGGAATTTCTGGTTCCCTGGTGCTACTATTTTAGTATTTTAGTCATCTGTTTCTCATCAACAATAGTGTTTTTGACAGAGCAGACATATACATATACATATACATATACATATACATATACATATACATATACATATAATACATATGCATATATATTCACTACTGCTGCTTCTGTGCCTTTGATGTTGCCTTTCTTATAATTTCTCATCTGTTTTGTAACTGGCAATATTCATATGGCTTATCCCAGCAAATTCAGGATCACATATTGAGTGGAACGATAGGCCAATACATAACTAATCAGATGCAGCAACATGACAATGTCACTGAGAATGAATGAAGGCAATTGAGAATGAGAAGCGGTGCTCCCTGGCAATAGTCATGTGATCAACCCTAGCCCCCTCCCCCCTTTCATATCACAGAATGAACCAGATGATGTTATTTAAGGGAAATGGAAGAAGCCAATTTAGAGTTCAGGCAATGCTTCCTGAAATGGTGAACTCTTTTCATAGCAGCCACTGAAAAACTGCTGAAAGGGAGGGGATTTCCAGTGTTGCTGAATGTTCCCCTTTGGGGGGGTTTCCTTTTCCTTTTCCATGCCAGAGAGTATTATTATAGGTCACTGCTTTCTCAGGATGTCAACAACCGATCATGCCTGAACAGGTGAAACCCAAATGCCACTGGTTTTAAGATTTGGGGGAGGCATGAACATGCTGTTCAGGGTCACTTGGAAATCATCAAGCAAGAAAGCAACCGTGCAGACTTGCCCAGTACCCGACTACCAACAACAAGCATGTTCCTTCTCCCACTGAAGAAGCAACTGACTTTGGACTTCAGCTTTTTCTAGGAGGAAACAGATAACTTAAAGAACCTTATGAGTGAGGAAGGAAGGAAATGCTTATAGGATTTGGGAAGAAATGGGCTAAGGGGTGCCTGAGACATGATTTGGATTGCACAAACAAGAAAGCAAATAATGGGGTAAGACAAGGATTTTCCAGGCAGAAACATTTTGTGTTGCACTGGTTAATTTATTAGAAGCAGGGTAAGTGTACTACTCTTTTTGTGGCTGCAGAAGGATCCCAGACCAAACAGTTTTTTCCCATGATTCCAGTGGAAATACCCAAACACATGCTTCCTTTTGGGGGCCCCTTGGGAACATAAGAGATCCAGTTGTCCCCCCATGTCCTTTTTCGTACTCCTTGACAGGCAAGGTGAAAGTTTCATTTGGGCAAGTAGCCCAGTATCAGTCCACACACACTAACTCACTTCGGATGCCATTTTCCTCATTCTCTGAACCAGGGGTCTCCAACATGGTGCCCACATGTGCCAGTGAACATGATGCCCAGAAATACCAGTAAATATCCTCTCATAAAATCCACAATGCAAGAGAAACGTATCTCTTCCTGCTTAATTCCTGGCTCAGCGTCTCTTACATTGAATGTGCCTTAAACATGCCCATTTGTTTTACGTGTTAAAACTGTAAACTGCCCTGATGCTTTATATTGCAGGAAAGAAATATGTTTATAAATACCATAAAAATAAAATTTCGTTGGATGCCAAAATTGGAACCCATCTTCCCACCACCCCTGAACAGATTAGAGCTGCAAAGAGCTTTTCTGTGTGAATAAGTGTGGCAAATGTAGGTGTCTTTTTCCAGCTGGCGAGTGGCATGCTAATACCATTTTGTGGTCATGTCTCTTTTCCTGCTCTTTTGAATGTGGTAAACCATTTTGTGTTATGTCAGGTCCCTATGACAGACATTTTGTGACTGGTGCCACGATGCTTTCTCAGTATTTCAAATGTGTCCACTGGCCTGAATTGTTTGGAAGATCAGAAACATGGCATAAGACTTCCACCTATGCTCTCCCTCTCATGTGCAGTTTGGGCATTTGGTTCCTTCCAAATCCAGTAATCCAAAGCATCATGGGGGAGGGACTCCTGAATCTTTTATTTTTAAAATACTTTGTGCCACATTTCATCTGAGTAATATAAGAGGGATTGACAAGATACAAGCAGATTCAGTAAAATAAACCTCATATCTCTATATCTATCTATCATCTATCTGTCTATCTGTCTTCCACCCATGGTAGTCTGCAATATATTATTCCAGGCTGGGAATTAGTGGCCAGCCAAAGCCTAGATAAGCAGGTACAGTGGTACCTCGGGTTTCACATGCTTCAGGTTACAGACTCCGCTAACCCAGAAATATTACCTCGGGTTAAGAACTTTGCTTCAGGATGAGAACAGAAATCGTGCTCCGGCGGTGCGGCGGCAGCAGGAGGCCCCATTAGCTAAAGTGGTGCTTCAGGTTAAGAACAGTTTCAGGTTAAGAACGGACCTCCGGAACGAATTAAGTATGTAACCAGAGGTACCACTGTATGTCTTAGTAGGAGTCAGAGGTTAATTATGGTCAGGCTGTATACACACCATACATATAAAGCACAACCCAACACCAAAAAACAAGAGAAAGAGGGGAAAAAGAGGAAAGAGGAAATAACAACCATGTTCAGTTAGACATCTTCTTGTAACAGAGCCTGATGGGCTAAGCAATTATTTCACTATAACCCTTGTGTGTTAATACCACCAGCGCCATCCACAAACCCCAGGCAACAAGGAACTGTATCCCCCTCCACAGACCTAAGACTGCCAGTGTTGGTTTTGCTGCTGTTATATTTGTGCATCATGCTGTAGTAATCTTTTTTAGGGTTAAAGGTGAACAAGGAAGAAATGCCGTGCCACTCTTTGGCACTTGGAGTTGGAAACTCGTCCAGTTCTGTGGAATCAAAGAAGCACTTGACGTTCCTCTCTGCCAGCTTCGCCGCGTGATCCTTGGCCTTTTGCTCAAAAAGCTGCTGCTCTTGCTCCAGGTACACTTTCCAGAAGGCAAGCTGGAGAATACTGACTGGAGAACAGCAACGGGAGATGCATGTAAAAACTAGGGCCAATATGAAGACACTGGCGATCAAACTCCACCCCAGCACCTTGGCAAAGAAGCACAAGAGAGATAAGAACAAGGTTTGCATCAGTGAGCCCCATAGAACTCTTGCCTAGTATTAACTTGGGGTTGTGTCATGTCTGTAATAACTATTTCTCCCCCAAAATACCAGGAACCTACTAGCTCAGACGATTTGTCCACCTAGCCCATTACTGTCTATTGTTTTGATCAGCAGTAGCAATCCAGGATCCAAGCTGAGCTCTTTCTAATCTCTGGCTGCTTTACCTTGGAAACATCAGTGATTGGAGCTGGGACCTTCTGGACATGCTCTACTACAGAGCTTTGTGTTTGGCCAAACCCCCAAGCTTTTTTTAATTATTCAGATAGGCAATAAAAGACACTTGGGTTGCTCTTTAACAGTTTTATACATAGGATGATATGAGTAAAGAGCAAAGCGAATAGAGCAGATATATTCTTACGACCCCTTTGTAGTCTGCCAGAATCCCCTCTCTTCCAGGCAGCAGTGGTTTCAAACTCCTTACAGGCAAATGGTGCAGACCCCATGCTGACAACAAGATCCTTACTGGGATCTTATATAGCACTCTATTTTTCTGACACAAGCTTATCCCGTTTCATTTGGGCATATTCTCATGGCCCTGAAATTATTTATGTTTTACCATGCCAGAGGAATTCTTCAAAGATAGCCAAGTGGTTACTGTGGTTTATCTCTGTTAGGCAAATGACCCCTGCTTCAATTGCATCTTTTTTACCAGTTGTATACATTTCATTAATTCCTGCAAAATAAATGCTAAATGTGCAGGTTCATATAACTGCTGTCTATATAGATTCTTATTATCTGATCCCACACCTTCCAAAGTTTTCCGATACAAACCTGGATGCACATCTCTCAGTCACATGACCCATGCCTCACTCTTGCCCTGAAAAGTACTTTTTGGGGGTGTAAGATCTCACACAACACCCTAAAATGTGTGTTTTTGGGTGCTACACATAATCGCAGCACCAAAAAAACTGCTTTTTTTCAGGGCAAGAGTATGCAAGGTCGTAGCACCCAAACTGGCCGCTGAGATCTCTCGAGAAAAGTCAGTGTCCCATTTTTTTCTGGGGCTCTTGGAAGGTATGTGATACAAGCACAGGTTATAGTTATAAAACAATGCTAGGTCAAGGCCTTTTAGGCCTTATCCCAAGGTATCAAGGGAAAATTGATAACATAGCTCTATCTCCTCGTGATAACAAACATTTCCCACAATGTAAAGCTACACCGTGGCCTCTCTCATGTATGAACAGGTGTGTATCTGAAGAAGTGTGCATGCACACGAAAGCTTATACCCAGAACAAACTTAGTTGGTCTCTAAGGTGGTACTGGACAATTTTTTTATTTATTTCGACTGCATCAGACCTGAATCTAGAATCATGTATGAACAGATGGCTCATCAGCCCAAACCTTATCCTTCCAAGTGCCTTTGTTTAAAGGCTGGGATTTTATACTGCCATCCACATAATGTCACTTATAAGGCCCTGTTGAAGTCTGCTAAACTGAACTACATACATGATCACATGATGCTTCTAACACTTTCAAGTAGTGTCTGAATATTAGCTATGTTGTAAAAAGAGGAGTTTAGAGTTAGTTACTAAGGAGAAAGCATAAACAGAAAAAGAAGGGAAACATAAACAGCAGAAGGAAGGGCATTCCAGAAAATGCACATTTTCAGGTCACTACCACTTGATACGCTGTGCAGGGTACAGTGTCATGAGTAAATTTCCCCCAAATAATCCCAGTTTATACATGAGCAGGCAGCCTTTCAGTGCCCCTAGTCCCAAGTTGAGATGCCCCCCACCCACCCATGCAATTTACAAGTCACAACTTAGTAGTACCATCTGGAAGAGGTTATACCAACCTGAGACTGTGCTTGAAGGCTCATGAGTATATCCTGCATCTCCGAGGTAGCAGTGCCACTCTGACAAGGAACCTGAGGCATTTTCTCAACACACTCATCCCCTTTGCCTTTGCACATGTACGCCTGCACTGAAGAGCTCCCAGAAGCGGCACACTCGTAGAAGCGGCTTCCCAGTAAGGCCACAGCAATCCATGTCAAGGGAGCAACAGATGCTCTGACAATCACCAGCCCCAGCACTTTCAAGTAGTGCCGGAATCGGGTCCCGTGAGGGCACCTGCACAGCCTGTTGGGGGCGCAGCTTCCGGTGAGTATCTTCCAAGACTGGCTACTGAGCAAGAAGCCAAGCAGAAACAGAATAAGGGCTGGCACCAAGAGGAAGACCAGGCCATAGAGCATATTCCAGGAGTTGCAAGGGCATTTGAACACCACAGCAGAAAAGATGCGCTCGCTACCAACCGTCAACAAAGAGACAGCCCCATAGCCCAGTGCCTTCTGGTGATTAAGGCAGAAATCAAACACCGCATGAAACTTGTCCATCCTGCTCCCTGGGACTACTTTGGTGCTCTACTTCTGTCCTCTAATACACTTTCTTCCTACACAGGAAGCAAGGCTCTAACTTGAAAGAGGAAATCTGCAGTTTGAAACTATTTGCAGTCACAAACAGTTTCACTTTTGGTGCGAGATAGAGAAAGAGAATTTGGAGACTTTACTGGAAAACATGTTTATAGACCACTTCCTTTCTTCTTCATCACAATTGAATCGCCAACAACTCACTCACTGAAGCAAAAACAGAAGAAGAAATCCTCCTGCAAATCTTGCTGCATTTAAATGGTCTGAGCTGTTATTTTATTTTATTAGAACCATAAGTGGTAATTATTAATTTCCAAGCAAGCCAAAAAGGGTTAGGGGCAGGATACACAATTCTTCTTTTTATGTTATCGTCATAACAATGTTATGTTGGGAGACAGGGACTGAGCCAGACTGTTTTGTGAATTTAATGGAAGTACCAGGAGAGGCTGGTCCATGCCCTACCAGCCTCAGCCTGCCCTCACTTCTCCTTTCTTCCTTACAGCCAGCCAGAGAGTGGCATTGCTTCACAGCTGCAGCATCCATAGTCTCTGCATTGCCCTTGAACAACTGAGCCGGGAGGTAGAGGACGGGTCCAAAACTAGAATTATTTGGTTATGCTTATCATTGGCTCTGGCTCCGAATACTTTTGGGTTCCCTGCTTTCCACCTTAGCAGTCCCGATGGGCAACAGTCACCACTGAGAAGTACATTACACAAGTACTTCCAAAATAGTCTCTTCTCCCCCAGTGTAAAGTAAGACCACGTCTGATCAGTTTAAAATGGTTTACTTATAAACTCTCCAAAAATGAGATTCATTTGCTTTCCCACATATCACACAGAAACGTAACTAGTAAAACTTGGCTTGTTACAGTGGTGAAAGTTCCTAAATTATTGGCAAAGGAACACAAGATTGGCTTGTTAGAGCCATGCGGTCTGAGCTGCAGCAACCAGCAAAAAAACCTCTTCACTCAGCTTCTCAGGTAGACTGGGAGAGGACAATAGGCTTGTTTACCTTCCTCCCAAGCTGAGAGTGAGTGACCTAGCTAACCCCTTTGTGCATTAATTAGACTTAAGTGTGTTGGTTATATGAAGGTTATCCCACACATTGGCTGTTCTGGCTAGGGCTGATGGAAGTTGGGTATTCAACATCTGCAGGGCCATCCCTGGCTTAGAGCTACTGAAAGGTAAAGGTAAAGGGACCTCTGACCATTAGGTCCAGTCGTGACCTACTCTGGGGTTGCACGCTCATCTCACTTTATTGGCTGAGGGAGCTGGCGTACAGCTTCCGGGTCATGTGGCCAGCATGACTAAGCCGCTTCTGGTGAACCAGAGCAGCTCACAGAAACAGTGTTTACCTTCCCGCCGAAGCGGTGCCTATTTATCTACTTGCACTTTGACATGCTCTCGAACTGCTAGGTTGGCAGGAGCTGGGACTGAGCAATGGGAGCTCACCCCGTCGCGGGGATTCGAACCGCCAAACTTCTGATCGGCAAGTCCTAGGCTCTGTGGTTTAACCCACAGCACCACCCACATCCCAGAGCTACTGAAAGCTACCAGCAATTGGCACAAAATATAGTAAATTTCCTACAAGATATTTAAACAGCAGATCCACAAATACTTATAGAACATGGCCACAGGAACATATTTGCCTTTTTGAAAACCTGTTCATTAAAGGGTCCCCCCCCCCACAAGTAGAAACAAATACAAACCACCACCACCTTTTCCCCTCTGTTTCCCATTCCCCATACTCTTTTTTTCCTCCTCCAAGCAGTGCCTGAGCCGTTGATCATGCAGCAAAACTTGGCTGAAGCCATACCTTTCCTATCTGCTGTGATTTTAATGTTTCGAGCAACTACTAGCTACCCTGACTTTGGGGAATGGCAAGATACATATGGTAAAAATTATGCTCATTCAACAGGAAAGAGGATTGTAGAAAAAATACAAATCAGTATGCTCAGAAGAATCGAGTGTTAAGATTTCCTGTTTGCGTGGGGACTGACAAAAGTGACTGGGGTCGAAACTAACTTTATTATTATTCAGCATTCCACTAGGTGGCTCCTGTGTGCCACGACCTTGGCAATGATGAAACAGGCTGAAAAATGTGCATTAGGCAGATGAGAACACAAGGAGAGACTGGCAGTGACGATGCAAAGCAAATGCACTGTAAGAACTGGGAACCAGCTAACGATATATAAAATACAGAACTATATAAAACATGGACCATTGGTTTCCTCCCTCCTCTCTCTCCCTCATTCCCCACCCCAGAAAGATGCAGCACCTGGAGACAGCATGTTGAGTGGTAGGGAAATGCAAGAACTTTGACCTGAGTCAGCTAAAAATTTTTGCTCACACTCAGTATCCTTGATGACACTTTTATATTTTCACTTCATGACTGCAACATCAAAGCAAGTATTAAACCACTGGTCACACATCAAGCTCCACAGACATTGGCGGAACTTTCAGCAACGGCTGGTTGCTCGTTCAGAAGCAATTGTCAAGAAATCATGTCATGTAAAGAAAAAGAAAAAAAGGTTTAGGTATGGGTAAACAGCCTGCTTCAAGGCTGCACATTTCATATATATATATATATAGAGAGAGAGAGAGAGAGAGAGAGAGAGATTCCTACGTTGGAAAGGGGTTAGACTAGATGATCCTCGGGTCCCTTATAACTCTACAATTCTATGAATACCCCATCTGTGTTCCTATTTCCTCTTCTCAGAACCATGGCATCAAAGCTGAAATGAACGCTTGTCCTGGATTGTGATGTGGGACCTAGTTTTGGGTTGGAGAATCTCGGACAAACTTTGGCTGCTCCTGGGCCCTAACATCACTAGGCTGAGTTTGGTGCAGACAAAGACACCAGGCACTTGCATTGGACACATGTTTCCCAAAGCAAGGATGGTGCCCTTCAGAAAGTGGTGCCAACAGGGTTTTCTGAGCCCAGTACAAGCAACGAACAATTTGCACAGGGGTTACATTCCTGACCCCTGCATGTGTCAAAGCACAGATAAGCCTATTCTGTCCCTGTTCTGCCCCCTTTTCCGGCCACTTCCAGGTCACCACAATGTGCACACTTGATCTCTCTGACTTCACTCAATGGCACTGAGAGATGGGAGCAGCCAGGTTGACTCATCTCAACTGAAATTGTAAGGAAGTTACAAGGGCTAGAGACTTTTTTAAAAAAGAAAAAGAAAGCTGATAGCCTGAGGCCCCTCTTGGCTATGGGACCTGGTACATCTGAACCCCCTGTGGTGGCCGTCTTCAGATGCTGGAGATTGAACCTGTGGGTGGGGGGGGGTGAGACCTGCAGCCATCCAGATGTTGTTGAACACTATTTCCCATCAGCCACATCTGCCTGGCCAATGATCAGCAATGATGGGAGTTGTAGTCCAGCAACTTCCGGAGATCCACAGGGTCACTACCCCCTGCTTTAATTGCATCCCTCTTTGGTTGAACAGTAAGGTTCTGATTAACATGTTAAGCAAAACCATTCCATGTGTGCCATAAAGCTATGGAAGGAAAATATGAAAGTGTCTCTGATGGTATTTAATACATGAATGGAAAAGTCTCCACCCTGCTTTTGGAACGAAGCATTCAGAATTGCCATGTTGTCAGCCGCTCTTTCCTGACAAGTTTAGAATACGCAAGCTTGTATACGTAATGTTTAGTTACATGAAAGAAAAAGCTGGGGCTTTCCTGGGGGAAAAACAACAACATTGACATTGACCAAGAAGAAGGAAATTAACAGCAGTTAATTGGCCCGTTCCAAAAGGAGCTGATATTTTCCAAAGTAAACTTTTAGGGAGAAGACAACTTAACCAGGAAGCTTTAGTTTGCAAAGGAACTGAAAAGTGACTAGACATTACTACACACCTCTGCATCCATTTCACATAATACATACGCACTTCTCTGTGTGTGCAGAACAAAATCTTACTCACTACGCTAACTATTTTTAAAAAATTTTTGAAACAGGACTTAAGAAAATGGACAGAATGTTCATGTGTGGTGCCAAGGGTGTTGTGGCCTTATTTCCACATATAGAACTATAAGAACTCCTCAGATTTACCAGTTATGCTTCAATAAAACACCAGGGCTGAGGCCAAAATAAAACGAACTCTTCACATTGAGTTGGGAGTGTGAAAGGGCAGGCCCAGATCTGATGCTTGTGAATGATCTGTATTTTCACAAACATTTGCATTCTGTGACCAACATCTGACTCCTTTTAGAATAAGCTGTATTTATTTATTCCTGCCTGTTCCTTGCCACCTTTTTTAAAATTAGCAGATATTAAGTTATTAAACCTCTTATGAAAACAGTGACTTATAAGAGCATCTGTGATCAACAAGTTTTATTGCACTATAAAATGGAAGTATTTCTCTCGGGCACGCTGGCAAGCTGTAAAATTATCATATTCATAAGTTTCCTATGTGGCACAAACACACGCTGCATTCTTTGCTTGAATCAAATCAAATGTAGTGGGAGTATCCTTAAAGTACTGATGTTGCAGTAATGACTTGATTCTGAGCTTCAGGCAATCCAAATAAGGGAAAACCTATTATTAATGTAATTTCTACAGGGTGAAGTGGCCCACCTCAGAGTAGACATTAGAGTAACAGTAAAAAGTGGAAGGTGGTTAATAATCAAGGCTGCAATCCTAAATTATGGCTGTCAGCGGTGTGGCTTGGCGAAGTAATGCACCCAGTGATGAACCCACAGCCCCAGCATTTGTGCCAGAAGGTGGGGGCAGGAAAAAAGCCCCTACACTGTGCCAGCTCCCAGGCTGGTACTGCAGAGTCCCAGATCAGACCCATCGCCATTGCCTGACAGCAGCAGAGTCCACACAGGAGCTGCTGAATCCTGGGTCAGCCCAGCCCGGTTTCCAGCTATTTCAACCCACCATTGGAGTAGCTGCATTGGATTCCTCCTTTACACTGCAGCTCAACCAACAGAGGAGGCTGACAAAGCCAGGCAGAGCTGAGCCTCAGGACACTTCCTCTGGCCCCACAAGGAGTTGGGGTTGCACTGCTATAATTATGTATTGGATGCACCCATCCAATGTCATCTGCATTTAATCCAGGCACCAAAAATACTCATGCTATCTCTGTTACAACCTACACATTGTCAGAAACGGCTTAAGACCACAGTACCTCAGGGACCACCTCTCTTCATATGAACTGACCTACACCCTATGATAATCACCTGAAGCCCTCCTTCATGTGCCCCCTCCAAAAAATGTATTGAGGGTCCTTTTTTGCAGTAACCCCCTGTTTATAGAATGCCCTCCCCAGGGAAGCTTGATTGATGCCTTCATTATATATCTTTAAGCAACAGACAGCAACGTCTCTCTTCAACCAGGCCTTGGACCGATGAACATTCTATTGCCTTTAAAAAATTTTTTTGGGGAGGGGGGATTAATAGTTTCCTTTTCTTTTATGATTTATTTTGTATTCTGATTTTGTATTTTTATGTTGTGATCTTTGCATGAAGGGCAGTATGCACATTGAATAAATTAATAACAATAAACATTTGGAGCTCTGGAAATATGCCTGGTAAATTTATCTGCTACTATGATTGGAATGAATTGTGATTGTACAGTCTCTACATTTTTGTCGGTATTATGAAAGACCACAGGGAAAATGTATGAGTTTCAAGATACTTCAACCACATAAATAGCCATTCTTGTGGAGTCAGGTTGTCTGAAGAAGTTTTCACACATCCACTAAGGCAACTGTAAACTAGAAGTGGCTGATGAACCAGTTTCTGGATGGTCATTCAACTTTATGCTGGAGTCACATTGCACAATTCAACGTATGATGCTGGGGTAACACAAATGTACTTCTGCACACGAGCATCTGTTAACAAAGGTAAAACAATACTGGTGTTGCTTAAGGAGAAGGCAGCATTCCCATTTGATTTTCCATACTTCTATATTTCCCTTGAAAAATAGGGTTTTGCAGTTCCTCAGTATTACTAAAATATTCATTTTTTTAAAAATAACACTTTTATAATAAAGGACTTTCACTATTGTGAATGTAAATCAAAATTTACGACTGAACCTTGCCAAACGACAAGAAACACTACCATAGTGTGGGAGGCCAATACCCCAATGCCTTACTGACACAGTTGAGAAGATTATGCATGCTGAATATTTCACTAACAGAGAAGTTTGTTTGAACAGCTATCAAATTTCCTAAGGACAAAAGCATCTGTTCCCATATCTTGTCTGCAAAATCTAGAAGTTATTAGATTTTACTTGTCCACAAAATCTAGAACCTAGATGATGCTAGTCTTAGAGCCATCCTTAATTTCTTACCCCAAATCCACCCTAAAGCTGAAGCCAGTAAATATCAATACCTCATTTACTTATCTCCTGGGAAGGGAAGGGAAGGGTATAAATTCAATAAATAATATCTATGCAGTGTACATGATTATTTGCATAGTCACATTTACAGTAAGAACTCACAGCTGAGAGATCATGACATAGCCAACTTTGTCCTGTGATTAACGGCTGAAGTGAATCACAGTCTTGTTGTTTGTGCACTAGTTCAAAAATAGTATCAGAGAATGTGATCAGCATATAGCATCCTACACATCTGTTGAAATATAAAATAAAACTTCATCTGCTGGCATCCTTGAATAGTATTTTCCAACATGCCTTCTTTAAACTCCTGCTTTCAACCTATCTACATCTGCTTTTCTATTCTCCCTTTTGTAATGCACTGACCTCATTTTAAGAATATGGATGGTCTGATAAATCAATTACCAACAGAAGTCTTCATGATTGCCCTCTGGAGTTTTAAACATATCATTCATATATCCTCAAGAAATGTCATTTGATTGTTTTTCATAAAATAATACCCAAGTTGACCGATTCTTCAGAACTTATACACTAAGCAGTGCTGTCCACCCAAAGGTTCTTTTTATAAATGCCCAAATTTGTTTCCATTAAACAAATACGCATATATTCAGTTTAGGTTGAAATCCTATGGCCCATGGGAGGGCACCACAGGGGCAAAAGGTACTAGGAATTTCTGACCTGAGAGACAGAGATCCAATGTTTAACTTTACTGACTAAAGAAATCTCCATGACCCTGGTCCTGCTGGTGTTGGAGCTCAGCCATTGGTAGGACCAAAAAGGGTACCTAGTAGTAGAGGACCAGAGGAAGTTTGGATCCAAAGTGTTTCCAATCCCCAACATACCCCCCAAACAAAAGAAAACATTACATTGACTCAGGAACTGGTACTATATAAATCAGAACCCAGCAGGGAAGTGGATACGGTGGAAGAAGTGCTTTGGGATTTCTCTCCTTCCTCCACCCGTGCAGAATTGGAGCATTAGTGCATAATTATTTTGTATCCACTCTTAACTTTCCAAAAATGATTTTTACAAGGGCAAAAGCTGGAGAACAGTAAGAGCAAAGGAGATTGGAACCATGGGAGGAAAGACAAATTGTACAGTTCATGGGAAACCTCCCCAGACATATTCAAATACTTTTGCACAGCTATGAGAGATTTTTAAAAACTTTTTTTTTAAAAAGACTTTTTTAAAAAATAGAAATTCAGGTTTTTTTAAAAGCAAAAGCTGTTGGAAGTTTTCTTCTATCTTGAGCAACAAATTATGTGAGGTCAATGTGCATAAAATAAGAAATCAGATGTTCCTTATTGTATGGATGCACAACAAAAGAAGAAAAATTAAGCAAAAGTTTGAGATACCACAGACATTTATAATCTCTTTATTTAGCAAAATGCATTTGGAAAAAGCACTGTATTTTCTTCAATGTGTACAATAAAAACCATTTCCTCAACTCATATTCATTTTCAAATGCCTTGGATTTAAATATCATCCCCACGATTCCTGCATGCAAGCGAGGCACATTCATTAATTGCAGAAGCGATGTCTTTTCTTGTTTCAGGAACTTCTAGATACATACAGGCCGATATCCTAAAAACTGGGAGGAGCTAGGGCCTCATCAATCAGTTAATCTCAGAAAATTTCCACACAGAAAGACTGCTAAGAACATAAAAAGAACTCTGCTGGATCCGACCAAAGGCCCATCTAGTCCAGCATCTATTCACAGTGGTCAACTAGAGGTCTATGGCATCTAGAATCCCACCTAGAAGTAATTCCACAAAAATGTACATTATCCTATACATTTCACCCACACTCTCAATACAAACATTCCCAACTGGATAGCACTTTGGTATAGATGGGGCTGAACACCCCTGTTCCCTTTTCCCCAGTTACCTAATGCGTTCCCCAGGCTTCTTCAGGAAAGCTAAGTTCTGGCTCATATAAAATCATGTCATTGTAGAGATAGAAGGGGCCATGAGGGTCATCTACCTGAACATGAAACATTTGCTGACTGGCAACAGATTATGTGAACTGACACTAGTGAAACTCAGGGCTCGTCCACAATTTTGTGTCTAGAAAGCACAGGTCTGAGTGTTTATTCACTTGACTTGCACTTTCTAGGCAAACGTGCGAGGGGTTTTTCCCTTGCCCTGCTCTTTAGTGCTAAGTCGAAGGAAACATCAATTCAGAGAAAACCCAAATTGCTGTGTGCTCTGATTGAGCACTAAAGCGTTTTCCCTGGGGGGAAAGCAACAGGACAAGAAGAAGTGTGGCTAAGCCTTCACTTGAGAGGATCTTACAAAATTATTCATGGCTTGTTGTGTATGTTACAATATATGACTCATCCCTCAATTAGGCAGGCGTTAAGTGATGAAAATGCAAGCGTGTGCCAGCGCAAAGATACCTTATTGTCTCATTCGAGATTTTATTTATGGGCCCAGCTGCCTCTGCATTGCACTGACCAAATAACATGAGCTCGCTGCTCTTTCCTTCCAGCATAAATGGGGAAAAGGACAAATGACAGCATTTGGCTTATGGCGTCATAATTTCCCATTAAAGCATTCACACACGATAGGGTCTTGATGCTCCAGGAGCTGTTAGTTAGCCCAAACTGGCTTTCTGCTTACAAAGATTGGAAGAAGGATCTTGCATAGTCTTGACTGGAGGTGGGGGCAAGGCAAGCAGCACTTTCTGTTACTGGCGATAGAGAGAAAATGATAGTGATACTGACAGGAAGTGCTATACAGTAGTGCCTGCGTTTTAAGACAGGTAAGCAGTAAGATGCAACAAATAATCAATAGCACTTCTCGTCACCCTCCCTTCATATAATTATCTCTGGCTAGACAGAAAGGATGAAATCCTTTGGCTAAAAACCTTGCTGCATGTGTGAACAACCAGTTTGGGGGACTGTTAAAATAGTTACATATTTTAAAAACTTCACAAAAGTTATGGAACAACTCATCTGAGAGATATAATTTCTCTATTGAAGAAGGAAATGTAATGCCACATATTGAGTTCAGAACAAGGACATGTAACATTCATTCTTAGGACAAATGCAACTTGACCCATATCTAGGTGGTATTTTGAGATATGTGTTCAGTGCCCCAATGCCCATTAACTTTATCTTCTCTGACTACAATAATTCAACAATCCCACAAGGGTTTCTGGAATGTGTCAGAAGATGAACAAAATATATTCTGGCCCTATTAGGCTTAATGCTCTGCAAAGACATATCTAATCACAGAATGGTCAAGTAGCAATCACTGGGGTTTTTATTGCTAGCATTGTGACTGAGAACAAGAGGAATACAGCCACAATAATATACAGCTGTCAATTAGCAAGATCGCATAAAGACATCTTTGGCTATGCAGGCTCTTGGCTTTTTGGAACCAAGTGAGTTGCATGGCTAGCATGACAAAGAAAATAACAATGTTCAGAATGAGGAAGAGGCGGGTGTAAGATGCTGACATCGAAGGAGCACTGCTTCGAGCAGTTGCCAGCATCTGTGCAAGACCAGATCGGCCTTTGAATAACACACTGTCCTTGTGTTTCCCATATGTAATATCTGCAAAATCAAGAAGATCTTTCATTTCCTCATCTTCATCCACAGGCAATTCTTTCTGAGCCAAAGTCTGCGCCTTCTGTCGAACTTTTCTTTCATTCACTTCAAACTGTGCAAAAATGTCGGGACCAGCATCAACGTACTTATAGCCTTTAGCCATCTTTCTGTTCTTCTTTGCTTTGCCTTGCTGCTGCTGTTGTGAGATTGCAAATATCCTGTCAATGGCCTCCTCCGTCTGCCTTTTATCTGAAAACCGCAGCAGGCGCTCAGCTGTCTTTCTGAAGCTGTCTGTGTTCCGCACACGGGAAAGTATCTGTTTCTCTAGCTGCTGGAAGACAGGCTTGAAATGCTGAATATTCTTTTCTACTATCCCCATGTAGTCTCTGACTTCTGATACCGGGGGGCTGGTAATAGCTGAGGCTTGGTCAAACAGAACTTTATGGCGGTCTGCAATAACTTGTGCAAAGACAGAGCGGCTTTTATCCTCACCGGTCCATAAATAGACAGCATAGGCGTGCTCATCGGTTGTTATGAAGACATCTAATTGCTGAGAATCCCCATGGACGCTGAAGCTTTGGACCTCAATGGAAGGCCCAATAAAGAGGTACACAGCTCTCGTGACTGGGGCTCGCAGGTGAGTCGTGACATTCACATAGTTTGTCCCATTGTAAGGGTAGCCTCTGGGATACATTCTTGAGGCAATGACACCTTTTTCACTGTAGCCAGTGTCATCCATCCAGTACATCTTGTACATTCCATCTCGTTGCCTAATGAAGGCCCCGTGGACATCGTCAATAACTGTTTCCTCAAAAGGCACATCCACATTGTGGAAGAAGCTGGCTACTGTCTCCAAGGGGCTACCATCGTCAATAAGTATTTGGTCCACTAGCAAGAGGAGCTGGGGGTGTATAAGTAACAGGTTTCTTTGGAGGCTTTTCAGTTTTAGTTTGGGGTTGTACGCACCCACTCCTTCACCCCTGATGAAGATGATCCCACTTCTTTCCATAGCAGCAACCACTCTCCCTTGGCAATCTGCAGCCAAGTCATGTTTATATTTCAACCACTTTGATGAGCAGTCTTCAGTAACTTGCCCTTCCCAGGGGTAAAAACAGCTCTTTGACACAGCTGGAGAAAACATCAGTGCATTATTTAAAAATGTGTATTTTGGTCCATACAGAGCTTCTGTTATGAAAGGTACACCATTGGGGGCAAAAGTGAAGGAGTTCTGATCTGGGTGTTCGTGGCCAGCATTGAAGTTCCTCCAGCCTTTTATCCAGTCTTTGTATTTATTTCGGTGAACAATATCATATATTGCACGTCCTCCCAGTTTTCCTGATTTGAAGGAGAGGAAAGGTCTGTTGACTTCGGCCGGCAGTGCACTTCCATATGTTACAACTCCCCAGTCCTCAAAATAATGCAGTTTTGGAATGCCATAGTCTGGAGGAGGTACTAAACCCAGGCTTGCATCATACCTTTCCAAAAATAAAAATAAAAGAATGACAATAATAGGCATTAATTATTCATCTCTTTTGATTTTCTCAGTTAAATATTAATAGGTAACAATATTCCGTTCTCTAACCATCCTTACTGAAGAATACTGTCCTGATTAAATGCAGATTTTGCTTATCTATAAGCATGAATTATAGCATCTTACACTACAGGAACTCGCATGATCTAGAATATCTGCAAACAACTAGGGAAGGCAATATTTCAGATGAGGAAGATTCAGGGAAGAGTAGTCATGAAAAGCTCCAGTCCTTGACACTGGGGATGGCACCAAATAAGAATTTGTGAACTTCCCATTAGAAAAAAAGCATCTCTCCATTTCAAGGCAGGTTCAGATTGCTTTAAATGTGTATCTTGCTCAAAATGGTATTTGTCCCCCCAACCTAGCCCACCAAGCCGGGACTCCTAATAAAACATACAAACAAACCTACTTCTAAGAATGAGGAGGAGGTATCCCACAGTAAGGAAGACTCACTAGACAAAGGAGAAGCCTTGCTGGATCTATCCTTGGATAGAAATGATGCTCCTAAGTATATTCATGAACATCATTTTCTGCTGGGGATCATGGGGTTTGTAGCCTTCTCTGTTTCCTGAGCTGAAATGGGAGGCACATAATATCTACAAACCTCTGTGATCTGACAGTAAAAGATAATTTTGTACATACTCAGGAGCCTAATTTCCAGCCAATGGCAGACCCCACAAGGCTTCTTCTGTGCCATAAGTTGATTATTATTCTTTTGCGGGGCAGGGGGCAGGTTGGGGCTGAGGTTTGCACAAAATTACTGCCAATTTTTTCTTCAGTTTTCATTAGATGCTGCTTTCAGAATTTCAAAATTTATTCCAAGTTCATAAGGATGTTAATTTCATGCCAGTCAGTTTTTGTCCAAGGTAGCACATGGACAGAGTACAATATTCCTACATACATTGGCAGAGGACCCTCAAAAGTCTCTCTGCATTAGGATTTGTTTGTCTCGTACCAGATAAATTCAGTGTGAAGCGTGCACCAACGCTGCCCTTTGGATGGTGTCCCTGGGCCTTCAAGCACTCGGTTCCTCCTTATCTGATCAGCCAACCAATTTCCACTACCATTGCGCATTACGAACTTGTCCAGGAACACCAACTGGCTCTCTGGTCCATAAAACCAATTGTAGTTGGAATCTGCAATAGCAACTGTCCTTTGGAATCCTATGAGGAAAAGTAAAATCAGACATGTATCCATGTAATCACATTACTCAACACTGCATATTTGAGTACAGAGATGGGAGTGTCCTGCTGAAGTCAGAGGGAGTCCTTGGGAATTAAAGATTTCCAGGATTCTAACTATGCTCTTGAATAATGTTTTATCTGGCATGCAATCAATTTAAGAAAAGAGTTTCAACAGACACCCCCTTTTTTGTTAATCTCAAACCCAACAACAGTATAAAGTTGTGAAGTGGTATTGCCTCAGTTATATGTACACGTATGGGAATACTTGTGTTGTAGCAGGCATTCTAATAAGGATGGTTTGCCTGGTTTAATAAATTGTGGTCCAACTTCATAGTCTAGTTGCAGCCGGAAGATCCATATCACAATATTAACTCCCTTTTCAGCAGGAACGCCTTGCCTGGTGGGGTAGAGGTGCAGCACTAACCTCCCAGCAGCAGCAGCACTGCTAGTTACCTGGGGGCGGAGAGGCAAGTTGGGCAAATGGGCAAGCTGAATGGGCAAATGGGCAAGAAAAGCAGAAAGTGCTTTCTGCATTAAAAAATGCACTTTTGGATCCAACCCAAATATTCTGGATCACTTTGATCCAGAGAATCCTCTATGTGTGCAGGAACAGATTTTTAGGTGTGATTGCACTGTGTGTATCACTTGACAGCTGGTTGGTGCTGCTCAGCTCCAGCAGCACTTATCTCCTGTCAGGAGGGGCTACAGTTTGATACTGGCATGCAGCCTGCCACTGTACACAAGAATCTCACAACTTGGGGCTTCATCTAAAGACCCATTGGTCATTTATTTTGAAGCTGATTCGAGCTGCTTACCTGGCAGAACTGTCCTGTACATAAAAGCAAAATGTTCTTTAAGCCAGGGGTGTTTAAAGTGGTTAATGTCAAAGTGCCTTTGAACAAGGAACATGTATTGGAAAAGGGATCTGGTGGTGTAGCTGCCATATGCTACTCCTTCATAGAGAGATCCATCTGTCACTTCCTGAAGCAGAACTATAGACTTTTCCATGATTGCAAGGACTTGCTTAGTCCACAGGTATGCTTCCTGAAGATAACCTGGAAGGTAATATTGAGAATATTATACCCAATAGAGATACAATCTATAAAATGTCATTTTTAAACACAGATATATAAAAAATTACACATACTAGTTTATGACCAGGATGGGAAGTATTCTATGAAAATATCCAAACTGAAAGTGGCAAAGAATTCAGCTTCCCCTGAATATCAGCTTTCGTTAAAAATGAATTATTCCAAAACCTCAAGTGAAGGCCAGGGGCATGATCCATCTTCCTACTTATGTGAGTTGGCTGCTTCTGCTCCAAGCAGCAGTTACTTACATGCAGCCTTGGTGAGGTGTATTAAGCTGGATCCATATATAGGAGACAAGCCTTTGATAACATGTAATGCCCAAGTTTTCTGCCAAGGGATCATGCCTGGCCAATGACCAGTGGTTGTCAGTGACTGACTAAACGAAAGGTCATGGGTTTGTGGTGGCTAGCTCAAGGAAGATGCAACTCAGTGTGGATCAGTGGAGAAAAAGGCAAAATCCATGCTAGGGCTGATTAAGGGAAGGAAGGGAAATGTGATGCACCACTTAAATCAATATTTAATGTGGCTGGATTTCATGGAATCTTACTATGTACAATTCTGGTCTATCCAACTCAAAAACAACCAGGAAACCAGCAGAAAAAGACGACCAAATTGATCAAGGGGTTGAAACCCTTCCCCACAAAGAAAGGCTAAAGCAGTTGGGACTTTTTAGTTTAGAAAAATAGGCAAATGATAAAGGAGGTTTATACAGTTTTGCAGGGTGTGGAATAAATGGACAGAGATAATTTTTTCTCCCTCTGTTATATCACATGTTATATCCTTCCCGTTCAAGCTGTTTTACAAAACATACAGGATAAATAAATTACTTGCAAATGCATTCTGAAGAAGAAAGAGTAAGAAACAGCGAGCTTCTTCAGTAACACTTCTCAAGGCGATGTCCTGAAAATAAACTAAAGCTGCAATCCTAATCACGGCTACCTGGCAGTAAACCCAGATGACTTCAGTAAGTGAGAAGTGAGTTATTACTGTGCTGTAAATCAATGTAAGTGGAAGGCAGCTGTGGTCTGCCTACTTGAGGCAGGTCCCAACATACCCTTTCCAGTTGGTTGCACTAGCTGTTGATTATCAAGCAACTGTATCAACTTCTGAAACTTTTGTTCACAACTAGAAAACGCTACTGATTCAATCATGCTTTTTTAAAAAATGACTCTCTCATTGTTCAGCACATACCTTGATTCATCAGAACCAGGCTTCCTGCCAGCAAGGCCACGCAGTTGGTTGGCTGGTGGTTGTGCAGGTACTGGAATCCCCATCCCCGCCTGTATGATGCTTCATACATGTATCCTGAGGCATTGGCAATCACCTCAAGAAATCTTTCCTGCTGGGACTTGCTAAGATAGTTGTACAAGAAATCATAAGCAGTGGCAAATCCAACCAAAGAGTGAGCGAGAGGGACCTCATCCCATGGTGCATCCTTCACCAGCCTGTGGAAGACAAGAGAAGGGTCAACTCTATTCATTTTAGTCATACAGTAATATCCATATGGCTGGATCCCTGTGCTGACAGGGGGTTGAATTGCTCTGCCGCCTACTTAAGATGCTAGAAATTATGCAAAATCCATATGTGTGTTTGTGGGATGGAGGTGACTGAACCCTAGAGAAACTGCTGCCCATAAATGGCTGAACATTTACGAGTTTCCTTTATACGTTAGGTGGACACTTTAAAATCTACAACGTTTATAGAAGTAAAAAGCAATAAAAACGTTATACAGTCTTCATATGAGCTGTGTAACATACTGATGCTTCATAAAATGCAAACATTTTATACCTACACAAACCTTTTTAACACTCCAGCTTTTGAAAAATACCACAGCAAACCACTGATTATGCCAGACCATTGGTGATTTAAAAGGACCTATTTACACATTCACACTGTGGAGTCATTTATTTGCCTTCAAAAATGTACTATGGGATCACTGGAATCAAGCTGAAAGGAACAGCGCTAAGCACAGCCTTACCAAAACATTACATCTACTGAGAAAGTTTTTGGGTGGTTACCCTCCCCCTTCCTCCCACAAAGGCTTCTCTAATTGCAGAAACTCAAATGAACTTCAAACATTTAATCTTGGATTAAACTCTGAACATATTAAATATCACTGGACCTTCATGTCAGTATCTGTCTGTCTGCCACACTCGTAATTTACACTGCTATTCCCTTGCAGTTTACTTCACAAAAGGCAATGGCTCAAAAAGCAGCCCATGCTAGCAACTGTTCCACATTTTTAATGAACGGCTGCCCAGAGCTATCCCATGTTTTTATCAAGAGGCAAATATTTAAAACCTCACCAAGTTATCCCCAATAAACTCTGCATTTAGTGTGGCATTAATTGCTTGTTTTCTGTACTTTGATTTTGCCAAAACTGCGGCCCTACAGAGGCAGGAAGTAAAGATGAGGACTTGATAGACACGTGCAAGCCACAACTGGGAGAAATTTCACTCTGTTCAATAAATCTGGGACTCGGGTTTGGTTTGGGTTAAGCTGCTTTTGCAGTGTGGAAAAGCAGCTTTGGTACCACCATCCTTAGCAATATACAAAGTAGACATTTCCTTTAAGAGTGAAAAAAAGTGCCTGGAAAATTATATTTTTAATACGTAACTAGTGTTGGCCTATCATGGCTTAAAATACGTGAATGAATGAACACTTAACCATTTCCCACTGCTGTCCCTACAACAAAATCAGAGAGGTGTGGTCTGATAAATAATAGTGTGATAGAACTAGCATTCTTTAGAGTTTCTGGTAGAGCACAGAGGGAATATTTTCAGTATGAAAGTGCTTTGAATAAAATAGGAACATTGGAAGCTGACTTATACCGAGTTGGACCACTGGTCCATCTAGTTCAGTATTGTCTACACTGACTGGCAGCAGCTCTCCAGGGTTCCCAACAGGTGTCTCCCCCAGCCTTACCTGGAGATTCTGGGGACCATTTCTCATGCTCTCCCACTGTGGTATGGCCCTTCCCAATGTGGGAATGCCTCTGCTCTGAGAAGCCCCTGGTTTATCCCCATTCTGTGTACTGGAACATCCTGCCAGCAGAGATTCAGCAGGCACCTTCTGTGCCAACTTATAAACACCTGCTGAAAACTTTTCTATTCTGCCAGGCCTTTGCAGGCAATTAAAGAGTACATGCCCACAATGGTGTGCTGATGTTTGCTTTTAATTCTTTTAATTTTAACTTGTTTTTAATTATTTATGATATTACTGTATGGTTTTATGGCTTTATATTGTTGCAAACTGCTGTGATATATTTCTATGATGTAGGAGTATATCACACTCCAGTTCCTGAATCCTCACCTGGGCGTACTTAATAACACATTAGGACAGAGAGGTAAGGAGAAGAATGGGAGGAAGTAGGAGAGGCAACAAATCCTATATTAAAATTCAACATGTTAAATGTCCTGTAGCAGCTGAGAGTCAGTTAGTGATGCACAACCTTTGATCCTTGGTAGACAAGTGACCTACAGCCATCTAGCAACTGCTGGATCAAAACAGAGATGGATTGCTGACTTCTGCCTTTGTTTCCATTTCCATCAACACCCTCCTTTCACATACAAGGCCTCAGCTGTCATTTCAGATTTGGTTGCTCCAATTCTCCTCTCTCAGTTTTTGAACCTTTTCCTCTCTCAGCCTATAGTCTGTCTTTTGTTTTCATATCAAATTCCCAAAACAGCAACCTAAAGTAATGCTATTACTTATCCTAAGAGCTTTGATTCTGAAGCCAGATCTGCATGCATTTCCACCAGAAACATGTAAATTCCATCTGAAAACATTAAGCTTCCCCCACCCCCATTTTTTTGGAGGGTACTCCAAGACACTAAACTCATTTCTATGGACAAGCCTACACAAATTCCAGGGAGTTTTTACATTGTGTCTTCAAAGCCACTGAGCTTAGGAACACTGGTCAGCCTGCTGATCAACTTTGCTCTGTCCACATTGTACTCAAAGTGTTTTTGTCTCCTCTACATTCATTGCAACTAAAGCACTTCCTCTAGGGACATGTAGATAAACTTCCCAGAAACCGTGACATGCTTTGACTTCTACCCTTGGGGTGGGGGGTGGGGACACACATCTACATGGAATTCAATAAATTAATTGGGCTTTATTGAATCATTATGGCTCTGTCAAGCTTTTTTAAAAAGAACACTGTCAGTAGGCTTTTTTTTTTAGAAAAAAAAAGGGGGGGAGAAAACCACTATCCAAAGACTTTGTGGGATATTTAATAAAGAATTTGAGCTTTCCAGCTGTACACATTGTGGTTTTTATTGTGGAATTTATACCACAGGATTTTTTGGAAAGGGGAAACACTAAAGCACACAACCCACTTCTGAATTTTGTTGAAATTGTGTACAATTCATAGTACTGTAGAGCTGGAAGGGACGGCAAGGGCCATTTAGTTCAACTCTTTGCAATGCAGGAATCTCAGCTAAAGCATCCATGACAGATGACCACCCAATCTCCACTTTTAAACCTCCAAGGAAGGAGAGTCTACCACCTTCCAAGGTAGTCCATTGCACAGCTCTTACTGTTAGAAAGTTCTTCATAATGTTTACTCAGAATCACCTTTATTTTAAGTTGAATCCCTTGGTTTGGGATCCTCTGGAGCAGGCATCCCCAACCATCGGCCCCCTCCAGATGTTTTGGACTACAATTCCCATCATCCCTGACCACTGGTCCTGTTAGCTAGGGATCATGGGAGTTGTAGGCCAAAACATTTGGAGAGCTGCAGGTGGGGGGTGCCTGCTCTGGAGCAAGAGAAAAACAAGCTTGCTTAAATATCTAGGGGTACAAATCATGCATATTTTGAACAAGTTGTATCAGTCTAATTCTAGTATGGTTTGGAAAGGTATAAATACGAATAGAATATGTTGTCGTAAATTGAGACACTTCATTATGGACCAACTGGCTGCTTCTAAAATGATGATTGTACTGCAGTTACTTCTTTTATTCCAGATGCTGCCATTCTGCATACCTGCTCATCTGAAGAAATGGGGGGGGGGGAGGGGGACTTAGCAAGTTTATATTTCAATCAGACCGATCACCTATTAAAAAGTATTTATTATACCCAGCTGGCAGCTGGGGCATTCTGAATTTAAGTTGCTGTTATGAAGCAAGCCAGTTTAGCCATGTGGTGGAATTGATGTCATCCAATAAGGTGATTCATTGAAAAAAATCATTTTACTGATTTACTGTAATGACTTCATTATTATGTGAAATAATGTAAAAAAAAGAGTAAAATAATGTTTAGTGTTTTACTCCCCCGTGATCCATTTCTTATTAGTTATGTCATGTTTCAAGATTCATGTGTACAATTTCATAACAATATTTTTTTTTAAGAAAACAAGCTTGCTCCATCTTCCTTGTGTTTTTCTGTATAGAACAGCTCAAAGATAGAAACAGATAGCCCTTATCATAAGCAAACTTTATCTGCACATGTTTCCACTTTAGATAAATGACTCACCAGCTTGAGTCCAAAGAGAAACTATCAAATGCAGGAAGACTGACTTCAGTTTGAATTTTGTTTGTTGGGAATTAATAGTTTTCTTTGCGGAACCTCTTCTGGTTTATACAACTCCTGAAGATCTTCTGTCAGAATATCTAAACACCAAGCTTACAGGATCCCATATAGAGATGCTACCTATGTGTCTGGTGAATCATTTTGGCAGCATGGGACTTCAGAAATCTGTCAGCCATTAGCTCAGTTTCTAGTGGCAGTCTCCGATGGATTGGGTCCAAGACTGACTAGCCAATCTTTGCCTGAAACATATCAAAGTAACACTAGCTGCCAGCAGCCTGAAGTCAGGCATATTTTAGGCTAGGCCAGATGTTTGTTAAGATTTATCTGTTGAACAAAAGCCACAATGCATTCATTCAAAGGTATGTTTTGTATGCCAAATTTATCTTACTTCCCTGAAGGTCATGAAACATCTGCTATATGAAACCATTTCTAGCCTGTTGCAGCAAAAAAACCCAAGTCTTGTGGCATGTTAAAAGATTAGCACATGTGTGATGTGGAAGTTCTTTTGGATTGTCTGAACCAATCCAAATGATGCATTCTGACTGGCTTTTTAAAAAATCATTCCCTACTAATAGGATGTGCCCAGAAGTACATTTTAGCAGTGACCCTGCTATGTTTTGATCAAATATATGTACTTCTTCCCCAAATCCAGTTAAGGAGAAACCTGTTCTTTCAATGTGCAGCTGAGGAGGCTGCACAACTGAATCTGAAATACATGAATATTCCTGCAGCGACATCAAGGTTCAATAGTGAAATGAAATAAAAAAGTGACCTCAAAAATTTGCCCGGACAGACCCTGAAACTGGCAATCATTCTAACACCTTTCACAAAGGTACTGGCTGGGTATGGCCAGCTTTTCAAAGAATAGAACTAAAAGGAAAAACCAATGGACATACAAACAAATTATTGACTAGTTCATTTCTGTGTTTCCCAATGTGTTTCAAACACAGAGATTCTTCAGTAGAGGAAATTATTCAATTTTGTGGTGGGGAAGAAAATCAGTTATTTTACGGAAAGAAGAACTTATGCAAAAGTTTCACAACTGTAAAAACAGAAGCAGAAGAGCAAAAAACTCTTCTTCAGGAATAACATGGGGGTGGGGAGAGAAAAAGACTGTATTGGATTTAAATAATTCTTGTTTTGAAAAGTACTATCATGCACTGGTGATATACAAGTAGATAACTATGCAAGTATCAGAATCCTCGCTTGGACTCAATATACCAACTTACAGGCTTGCCTTGAAAGACAAAGAATGGAATCTCTTAAATTTATTGTTGCATCATGAATCAGTATAATGCTAAACTTTAATCCTTTGAAGGAAGGAGATTAGAAATTTTCTAGAGCACTTAATGGGGGGATTAGCTAAGAATAAATTCAAGCTCTGAAAACAAAATCTAAACAATTGCTACCAATGTTAACTTTCATTAAAGCTGGGTTAAATCCAATTAAGTCATACTCAAAATAGACCTACTGAAATTGACATGACTAACTTACATCCATTATTACTAATGGACCTATTTGAGTGTAACTTAAATTGGATAGTACAACCCACTGAGAAGAGGCACTATGTACTTTCAAAACCACACTAGAAGCCTACACAGTTGACAAAATGTTATTCATTCACTATCTGGTAACATAATACAGATCTACAACCTATTTATCCTGGTGCAATTTCACTGACTTCAATAAAAAGCAAGAGAAAATGGAGAGGGGGTTGATTGCAGCTATCATACTTAAAAACATTAAATCAGAGATGATGACATGTGGCTAAAATTGTTAAGGAATCAGCACTCTTCCAATCCTAGATGGAAGTAGGGTGGTTCACAACTCCAGTCAAGTGTTGCTTTATATATCACACACTTCACAGTAACCAAGTGATGAGGAGTTTTACCTGCTAACCACAGGAGGTCCAGAATCGAGGCAGCTATGTGAGTGGGGATGTTCTTGGCTGATCTTCGCAATAAAGTTGTTGGCTTTTTAAGCACTCGTTTTGGCCGGTTTCTTAAGAACTTCAGAAAGTACATTCCAAAGTCTGGCCATGGGTCCATCTATCTCAGTAGTATCTACACCGAGTAGCAGCAACTCTCCATGGTTTTGAACTGGGGGCATTCTCCCCCCCTCCACCTGGACACACCAGGGATTTAACCAGAGGCTTTCTACATGGAAAGCAGAAGTTCTACTGCCAACAGCCTCTCTCTTCTGAAATACCTTGGCAATTACTAAATAGGGCCAAGCTGCTCTTTTCTTCCACAGTAAATATGTGATGTATGAAGAGCAGATGCATGTTCATAAACATTCAGAGATACACACCAAGGAACTCTGACTGGCTACAGCTTCTAGGCACACACCCAATGCATGCCTAGGGATGCATTTCTCACTTTCTGCATTTTTAACAGAAAACAATGATGCAGTTCTGAATAACAGATACAGTACAAGCCTAAGTACAGTGTGAAATGGCTGTTTCAAATTAATCCATCTGCACTGTGCACTTGAATTCCACCAATGGTGCACCAAAACAAATAGTGCATGCAGACCATAGCTTATAAAAGAGTGGTTTACTAGCTGCAATACAATGAAAGTTTAAGAGAGCTCCTTTCAATTTCTTTAAGTGAAAGTTCAAATATGGCCTTGCATCAGACTCAAATTATGTCACTGAGTTCTTGAACAGGCTTTAAAATGTATGGAAAATATCACTACACAACAGGCAACATCTGTGAATATTTTCCTCCTAGGGAGTCACCTGACAGCAAACTATTCATAAAATGTTTATCTTTCAGTGCTTCCAAGCATGCAATATAATAATATTTCCATGATATTTTGTAGAAACGTCATACAGCAAATGCCAGGATGATATATAAATCATTTAGGGATAGGAGCTCTGTTTACAACCAGTTAAAATGTACAACCTGTTAAAGTTATTACATTATACTTAATAAAAGACAGGCATAGATTAATTTTTAGAATCACTGCTCCCATCTACCAGGGAAGATTCTGGAGCAGATCATTAAGCAAACAGTCTGTGAGCACCTAGAAAAGAATGCTGTGATCACCAATAGTCAGCATGGATTTCTGAAAAATAAGTCATGTCAGACTAACCTGATCTCGTTTTTTTGACAGAATTACAAGCCTGGTAGATGAAGGGAACGCAGTAGATGTAGCCTACCTTGATTTCAGCAAAGCATTTGACAAGGTGCCCCATGATATTCTTGTAAAGAAGCTGGTAAAATGCAGTCTTGACTATGCTACCACTCAGTGGATTTGTAACAGGCTGACTGACCGAACCCAAAGGGTGCTCATCAATGGTTCCTCTTCATCCTGGAGAAGAGTGACTAGTGGGGTGCCACAGGGTTCTGCCTTGGGCCCGGTCTTATTCAACATCTTTATCAACGACTTGGATGATGGACTCAAGGGCATCCTGATCAAATTTGCAGATGACACCAAACTGGGAGGGGTGGCTAACACCCCAGAGGACAGGATCACACTTCAAAACGACCTTGACAGATTAGAGAACTGGGCCAAAACAAACAAGATGACTTTTAACAGGGAGAAATGTAAAGTATTGCACTTGGGCAAAAAAAATGAGAGGCACAAATACAAGATGGGTGACACCTGGCTTGAGAGCAGTACATGTGAAAAGGATCTAGGAGTCTTGGTTGACCACAAACTTGACATGAGTCAACAGTGTGATGCGGCAGCTAAAAAAGCCAATGCAATTCTGGGCCTCATCAATAGGAGTACAGCATCTAGATCAAGGGAAGCAATAGTGCCACTGTATTCTGCTCTGGTCAGACCTCACCTGGAGTACTGTGTCCAGTTCTGGGCACCACAGTTCAAGAAGGACACTGACAAACTGGAACGTGTCCAGAGGAGGGCAACCAAAATGGTCAAAGGCCTTATGCCTTATGAGGAACGGCTAAGGGAGCTGGGCATGTTTAGCCTGGAGAAGAGGAGGTTAAGGGGTGATATGATAGCCATGTTCAAATATATAAAAGGATGTCACATAGAGGAGGGAGAAAGGTTGTTTTCTGCTGCTCCAGAGAAGCGGACACGGAGCAATGGATCCAAACTACAAGAAAGAAGATTCCACCTAAACATTAGGAAGAACTTCCTGACAGTAAGAGCTGTTCGACAGTGGAATTTGCTGCCAAGGAGTGTGGTGGAGTCTCCTTCTTTGGAGGTCTTTAAGCAGAGGCTTGACAACCATATGTCAGGAGTGCTCTGATGGTGTTTCCTGCTTGGCAGGGGGTTGGACTCGATGGCCCTTGTGGTCTCTTCCAACTCTATGATTCTATGATCTTTTTTAAACAAATCTCTTAATTTTATCATTTTTAGAATATAGTTTCCCTTATCTTTTCTTTTACCTAGTCTGCTACCAGATTTATTTATATTTTTTTCTAATGGATTATTTATAAATAGTTCTAATACTATAGTGGTTATACAACAATTGAAATTATAAAAATACAGCAGATAGAAACAGTTTTCAAAACAGTTATAAAAGGAAAAGAGGTGCTGAAGGAGATTGCAACTTTTGAAAATAATTCTAAAAAATCATCATTTTCCTGTTGTGAGAGACATTGTTCCATTTTCTGCTTAGCCTTCGTAAACAAAAGCTGAATGTAGTTTTATTTTATTTTTTTCATCTTGTAAATTTACTGCAGTAATAAAAACAGAAAAAGAACCTGACTTTAACTTTATTATATAACTTTTCTATAAGGAAACTGAAATATATTTTCCAATATAGAGTTGGAATGGACAGAATGGATTTCCTCTTCTTCCTGTAGCCCTACACACACACACACACACACACACACACACAGGTTTGAGTAGACCATTTTGAGAGTGTAGGAGCTGCGGAGGAGAGGACAGAACAAGGTGGCTGAAATTGCACAGTACTGGATAGTGCCCAATACAAATTAAAATTACCGTATTGGCCTGAATATAAGCCACACCCGTATATAAGCTGCACCCTTAAACATCAAGGGGGGGGGGATAAAATAAAAGACAATATAAGCCGCTCCCTTAAAATTCTGCAGGCACTCAAACCTGTTCCATTTTACTGTATGTCTGTTTCAGCAGCGATATCGTAAAAGCCAATTTTTGTAAGGTCACGAATTTAAGCTGCACTTTAACTTTTCAAGGTCAGAATTTTGGAAAAAAGTGAGGCTTATATTCAGGCCAATACTGTAACATTGAGCTGCACCATAACAAATTCTCTTAACTTTTATATATGTTACGTGCTTTTCCTGGCAGAAATACATTTCTGTGCCACAACACACATCATATTCGATTCGGTGACGTCACACAGAACTGAAAATATTATTGTGTTGCAGATTTTGCTTTAGAGAATACTTGAACATGATGGGGTGTTCCTTTATACTTGAGATAACATCTTTAGTGCCAGCACCATCTCAGTGGAAATCAAGAGAGCCCAAATACACAGATGAACCACTCAAACTGCCAATAAAATTTTATGAAAAACCCAGATGTGAAGCATTCCATTTACTCCAATGAATCCCTCTGTGATAAAAAAGAGCTTTCAAAACAAAACAGACCCTGCGCTTCCCTAGAACTTTGAAATCAGTGGGGTTATGCTAGCACATTCATAAGAAAATGCAACATCTTCTCCGAGTCCTTAGTATGTGGGATAGACAACTTTCCTACAGAAGACACTTAACCTGTGCTTACTTTTTAATCTAGGTTGCAGCAGGATCTTATAAAAGTAATATTTTTGATCAGGCCTTGTGCAACATAAAAGCCTCGGGTCAATCATGCCAGCTTTCCTATTTGCACTTTCTGGTGGGATTTCCAATTATTTATAGTCTGTGGCCATTCCCAATTTCTTTATGGGAACATTCACAGTCCACTAACACCCATCAAAGTAGGTAGGAACAATTAGGGGAGAACTGTGTCCATGTTGCTCCTCCTTCCCAACTGCTCATCTCTCACTCTGTTTTAAGCTCTGCTGAAGATACTGCACACCTCTTCCACAGAAGCCTTTGGCTTGCTCCTCTGATTCTCATCTTCCACTGAAATAAAGCATACTCTTGTAGTCCTACGTACATTTATCCAGAGGCAAATCCTACTGTGTTTAAAGGGGCTTATTAATGTGTTTAGGATTGCACCCTTTTGCTCACATTCATTCTTGGTTGTCTTTTCCTTTTTTCTCTTCCACTGTTATGGCACTGGTATCATCATAATTAAGCAGGAGTGGGGAACCTTATTCAGCCCAAGAATTGCATTTCCTCATGGCCATGTACCATGATGGGGCTATATGCCAATGATGGGTAGGGCCAGAAACAAAGGTGAGTGGGGCAACAAATGAGACTCTTAAACCCGTACAGCGACTGCAATCCAGCCACTTATAAGTCAAGGTTTTTGCATGTCTGTCTGTCCATGCAGCGGCATCATCAAGGACACATTCCAGCCAGGCAAAAGCACTTGGGGAGAGTATGGAGCAGGGCAGGTGAGGGGCATGGCCTGGAGAGAGGGAGAGTGGCTTGGGAAGGAGGCGTTGTATGGGAGGAGTCAGATAAAGAGCCTGGAGGGCATAATTTGGCCCCTGAGCCTGAGGCTCCCCATTCCTCAGCAGCATTCTCTGAAAAATCATCATCATAGGCATAAAACAACATGCCCCGGTCTTGAAAAGCCATAATCTCTATGGACAAATACAATACAAAATACTTTACCTGAAAATACAGAGTTGTAAGATGTGGCACAGGAGAAAATGCAATCTACTGCATTATCTCTATTTTGAAAGAGGCAGCCAACGAGGCACTTAGCGTGAAAGTATATACCAAACTTCTTCTTCTTCTTTTTAACCAAGTTCAAATGCAAGATACACAAACACAAGATAGGATTTCAAGCTGCATTCCAAGCACAGGAAACAAAACATTCCATAAAGCAGTGAGATGCTTTACAGTGCAGGCAATTCAGCCTAGACACTGTAAAAAGAAAACAATGGTTACTTTCACACTTTTCAGTAAAAGTTTTCAAATGGCCCAATAAGCTGGATCTAGAGCTGGGAGGCTATTTTGTTACAGGTGAATGCTATAGACATGGGAAAACTTGAAATCAAGCGAGAGGTCAGGTAATTAGGTTCTATCTGCAATATTCACGCTAGTATGCCACCTCTCCTCCCAATTCCATCCATCTTGCCTATGCTATCATTTCCTCAGGCTTCCACTCGTCATACTTGCTGAATGGCTTGCATAACTGGGTCCATCCAGCATTGTAACTTGAGGACCCTATGTACTGTAGCAAGTTACTATATCAGTAGCAGGAATTACTGTGGTCCTGCTGCATTTGTGACAATCTGGAGTAAGCGTTCATCACGAAATGTTTTTGTTGCTCTCTGAACCATTAACGATACAAAAATAAAAACAAATTAATCCTAAACATATAACAGAGCAGACATCTCACTTGTTAAAGGGTGTGTCTTTAAACGTGTAACCTGAGTTACAGATTTTGAGATGAGATTAATTTCATAAACACTTAGCTCAGTAATGTTTACCCTGATTGGCAGCAGCTCTCCAGGGCTTCAGGTTGGGATCTCTCTCAGGTCTACCTGCAGGTACCAGTGATGGAGCCCAGTATATTGTGCATGCAAAGCTGATGCTCTACCACTGAGCTGATTAGAAATGGTGATTAAAATAATCAAGCTTTACAATGCAGAATCCTCTTAAAGCTGTATTTTAACCTCAGGATGCACAAAAAATATATAAACAACTGAGAATACAAAATGTTTTTAACTATCCAACTAAAATGTGAGTTTCCATGGAATAAACCAGAATATGAGCAAGAATTTGCCGTGGCTCATTTGATTGCAAATATGATTTTTCTAGGATGTAATTAAGAACAGCATACCAAATGATATGGAAGTAAGTAGGAGACAATTTTAACACTCATTAGGCACCTAAGTGAGAAAGCAATGCATGGCAGTATTAAAACAGTATTATAAAGTTGAAAAGACTGCAGGAAAGAATGCAAACAGCATAATAAATACTTTGTGCAGGGTGGAAACTCCTACTATGAACTGTTAACATTTAAGTTTTGATATATTTGTAACTGAGTACTCATATTGAAATAATATTCTTCTGCTATCATATAAACAAAGACTGAGCCAAATATCCCTTCCTCTTTGGCAGGACTATTAGTTGCTTGTAAAAAAGAGCCTGCCCATGGAAGGGGACACTTAAAACCTTTTAGGAGGAAGTCTTAGCCTTTAATACTTATTTATTATTATGTATTTATTAAATTTGTACACTACCCTATACCTGTAGATCTCAGGGAAGTTCAGAATTTAAAAATAAAAATGAAGTGGCCAAGGAATTTTCTTCTTTTTTCTACTTTAATATATAAAAAAGCTGCCATTTCACTGCCCACAAGAGCCCAGTGGGGTTCCTGAAGAGCACAATGCCCCATGGGAACAATGACACTATGTCATGACTACAGACAGAACCTTTACTTTAAGCAGCACCTCAGGAGACAAATGGCAACCAGACAGGGGGGATTTTCAGCAGAAAATGGGTACAAGCCCATTCCACATCAGTGTGTCATAGCTGATTTTTCTCCAAAATAAAATCAGTCTGATTAAGCATGCATGTTTACATACATGACTAACATAATGTGTAGTTTGGGGGAAAAAGTTACAGTATAAGCATCTGCCATGTCTTTAGGCTTTGGAAAATGTGCACTCATTTCAGACAAAATTAAGGAAGAAAACCAAAACGTCCTACCCCTTTTCTTGCTTTCTCTTCATATAAATCTTTTTTTTTTTTTTTTAGTACAAATGGATTTTTTGTGGGGAGGGGGCAGTAGAAACAAAGATAAAAATATACCAACTAGGCTGAGCCGCCATTCTTTCCATGTAATCTCTGGCCATATTGATAGCTTCCAGGTTCTCTGGATAAAGCAGGCAGAACATTGCTAGAGCACCCAAGTTGTTGCCGTAAATCTCATTCCATCGAGCACTGAAGTCCTTGGGATCCCAGGGAGGAAGGTACTCCAAAGGGTTTGACAGCATGGTCTGCACAGCCTCAGCCAACCGAGCCGAAATGTGTTGGTGTGAATTGGCGGCCTTGAATCGCAAATCCCGCATCTCTCCTCTGGAAAAGTAGAGCATTGGGTAGCTGTCGTAGTTGGCATTGACAAAAGGAACCACGGTGCTTGGGCTGTTATTGCTGCTGTAGACCAGTGCGAAGCAAACCACATGTATGAAAAACACACTAGGAGCCCCCCGTGTGTGAGTCCTCATTGTGGCATTAGAGCTCCAGGTCTCAATGGCAGCCGGACCATCTTTGAAGGAGCCTAGATGGTGGGGGAGGGGACAAAGGGGGAGGGAACAAGAGTGATAGTTATGGTTAGTTTTGTGTAAAGCCTCTGAGAATTCATAATGTGCTCGTGATCCTTTGCTCTATCAGTCACAGATTCAACAGAGCAGCAATATCTATATAAACAAAAGCCAATGTAGCAACAAAGAAAGAAATTCCCACAGCATTCCTGTAAAATCCACAACCACCCACTAACCATCTTGTTGAATACAGAAAAATTACCCTTCCCCCAGCCCTACATGGAAGTTACCCATCAGTCCAGTACACATACATAACTTTCACACAACTAATGTTCTTGCAAACCACTTAGAGGTTTTCTTACAATCAAGCAGTATATAAAATTTGTTAAATAAATAAATGAACATACTAAATGAATGAATGTACTTGGCAATGTGGGCATGGAGAAGTCCTGCGTGGAGAACCAGTTATCCCAGCAAATTGCTCCACTTGTGGAACAAACAAATTCTATAATACGGTACAGCCCTTTGGATTGCCTGCACTTAAAGGGGAAGCAGCATTTGGCAGGGGAGGGGCATGCGCACGGATGAGCAGAATCAACAGCAGCAGTACGCTTACTGTAGGCAGCACTATAGGCCTCCTAGCCGCTCAGTGGGTGAAGGAAATGCAAGGGGGGGGAGTATATTGGCTCCCAAGCACTATCTTGAACAGATGTGAATGTGACCTCCATAAAGCACAGCTTACCTCTTGTGGGCACCACAGGCAACAAGAACTTCGGGTGTAAAAAAACACGATAGCGATATATTCCCTACCTCCCATCTTCATGTATGAGATCTGTGTTCCCCAGTGAGACTATTACTGCCTGTATAATTAGTTGGAATAATGGCCTTATCATGGCTGTGGTGACAGGATGGCAAAAGATGGCGGGGGGCATTAATCTTTATTAAGTATTACTTGCTATCCCACCACCTATGCAGGCACAGTGTTGTAACATTGGCAGGGGTGAAATCAATATTTGATGAAGCATATTATTCTAACGAAGTCTTGCATCTGTCTCTATTTACTAACTTCATCTTTCACCCCCTGTACTTGCAAAGGCTTCACAATTCCAATGCAAACATAAGTACCATATTGGCTTGAATATAAGCCTCACTTTTTTCCAAATTCCGACCATGAAAAGTTAAAGTGCGGCTTAAATTCGCGACCTTACAAAAATGGGCTTTTACGATATCGCTGCTGAAACAGACATACGGTAAAACGGAACATTTACCATTTACGGGTGTGAGTGCCTGTGGAATTTTAAGGGAGCGGCGTATATTGGAGTATTTTTTTTCTCTCCCCCCCAAATTTTAAAGTTGTGGCTTATACTATATTTGGGTGTGGCTTATATTCGGGCCAATACGGTATATATTTTTATGGGCATGGCATTCTCATGCTGCAGGACTTGAATCCTCTCCTCCTCATCACCTGTAAGGGGGAAAGGATGGGAGAGTCCAAGAGGACAGGGCTCCTGCACCTTTAATAGGTAGATGAGGGAATTTCAGCATGAATGGCTTGAATTACTGCTAAATTTCCATCTTTCATATACAGCTGCAAGAACCCTCTCCTCCTTTGCATCTGGCCACCCTACCCAGAAGGTTCAGATATACAGAAAGGTCTAATTTATTAGGCATAATTAAATACTGGGCTATTAAAAAGTCTTTTCAACAATCAAGACAATTAATATAAGTAGTTTCTTACTGTACTTACACAAAGGGGAGGAGGGAGGGAGGGAGGGAGGGAGAGAGAGAGAGAGAGAGAGAGAGAGAGAGAGAGAGATCATGTTAACATCAGCCAAGCCAAGGCGGTGTATGTCGGATTGGCTGACGTTCACAGCTGTGGAGTAAAGGATTTGGAATGTGGGAGGCTTGTACAGGAGTCATTAGAATTGTGTATAAAGCCTCTAGCTGTGACACGTCTTCATTAAGAGGAGAGGGGAAAACAGCAGAGTAGATCCTGGAAATGTATTTGAAATAGCTGGCCTTTAGGGCATGTGTGTTTTTTCCTATTAGCTTAAAAGAACCCTTCGATTTCACATGTGCAGATTTACAGCCTGTCACTTTAAAAGTTGAATGCAAAGTAAAAATGTATATTTTCCCAACTACCCGCCTGTTTAAAAAGGGATAAAAAAAATAAAAATGGCACACTCTGTGAAAGTAAAAAACAAAACAAGACTGTTTAACCATGGCTATTTCTCTTTCCTCCCATCAAAATTACCTACCAACTCAACACAGGTCTTAGACAAAACAGGCTAGGATTCCCCAGAGGAAAGCCAGAGAATTCCTGAAATTCTCAAGAGGGGAAAGGTTAGAGAAAGCAAGACCAAGAGAGATGGATTTATGTAAATAATGAACAGTAGTTTTCAATTATTAAAACCAGAAGTAGGCCGAGGGCAAGGGGAGAAAAATGACATCCAAAACCTACTGCACAATGATGTTTTTCCTGAGGGAAAGCCATTTCATAAGATTCAGAAAGGGGAAAACATGTTAGAAGTTAAAATAAACAGAAGCCACACACCGAGATCAAGTTTTCCAAACCATAGGTTCCCAAAATTAGACTAATAAATTAATGTTTGGGGACAGGAGTAATGATTCAAGTGAGAACTTTACACACAAAAAAGTCAATGGACTGCTTATAAATTTATTTGCTGGCTTGTGGAGCTGTTGAACATAATCCCAAGAGCTTGAACCTGCGAAAATAGTTGTGTCATTTGGCTGCTGGGCTGAATGGTTCCCTCCTTGCATTTTGGCATAAATTAAATACTACCGTAGGTGGGGCAAACTGTCTCTCTTTATTACTGGCACAGTATTGTATCAACACTTAAGTAGAACAGGCTGTATCAATGCCACACAAAAGTATCTGCTCTCTAGTCACATCATTCTCTACCCCTGCAAAAAAAAACTGAGTTACTCCTTCCACAGCAGTGAAAGAGGTGAATTTGAATCCTAAGCTGCACCAAGAGGAACACTTTCCCACTCCAGCTGCAATTGGTGGAATCCCCATGCTGAATCCTGTGGGTCACTATTGCTCAATATATTAGTTGGTGCTTTGGACTTTGGGAAATTAGAGGATTGTGCCTTTATCATTAGGCACATTATTAGGCCATGCCTACAAGAATGAACTCAATATTAATTCCAAGCTTTCCATCCCATTTCCACTCTGTGTTGGCCTTCTTCAACCAGGTTCCCTTCAGAAAGGTTGCTCTAAATGCAGTATGCCTCCAAAGGTAGAACAATGCTGAGTTACCCACAGTATAAGCAGCCTTCTACAGATAGCAGATTCCTTCACACAAATACACAGTATAAGACAGACAGACAAAAGGAGATGAAGCACAGCAACTGTTGTTCCCTTGTACTGTAAGAACAATTCAGACACAAACTACTCAAAGGAGTTTGCAAAATATTTCTTGTTTCAGGCTTTTGAGGAAATCCTGGTTAGCCATTTATTCTGCCACTGAACTGAATTATGTCAGAGGTTTTCAACCTTTTTGAGTCCACAGCTCCCTTGAACAACTACATTCTTTCTGCGGCACCCCTGTGGGGCTCAGGAGCCCAGTTATGTCACCCCTTGCCTGCAGAGCTGGCAGCTTCTCACCCTCTTTCATGGAGGGTTCTCTCAGCCTCCTCTCCTCTCCCTTCTCACTGGGAGTCCTCTGAGCAGCCGCAGCTGCCACCCCTGATCTCTGAGCTGTCCCCTGCTCTGCCCCCAAAAGAGGTGCCTTCTCACACTGCCCTACAGGGGCCTGGGAAGCACCCCCTGGCCAGCCCCAGAGGCACCATTTGCCTGGGGAGCTCGTAGCTGCAACTAACAGCTGTGCAAGCTTCTGGGAGGGAGAGACACAAGAGGGTATCAGAGGGAGGGAGGGAAGGAAAGTGGTACAGAGGCCAGTGTTGCTTGCAGCACTCCTGATTATCATTCAAGGCACCCCAGGGTGCCATGGCACACTGGTTGAAAACCACTGAATTACTTGACTGCTTAAGTTCCCTTCTCTTACAAACATTTGGGAGAAATAGCTTTGTCAACTGTTTAGTCCTACCCCACAATATGGACCAGTTGCACAGTCATGCGACAAGCAACGAAGCAATGAATAAAATTGTCTTGAGAATCAGTAATGCCAGGCAGAGTAATCCAGACCTCTGAACTGCTGTGCTGGAGGGGAGTTGGAAAAGGCAGAGTCCCTCCTGCTCAGCTCTGCTCACTTCTGCCATGGGGAGAGCTCTGCCATTGATGGGGAAGCTCCACAGGTGAAGCATGCAACAAGGTACTTATTAAGAGAGTGGGTGAGTGGAAGCTGCTGGTGGTGGCGGCGACAGCTATGCCATTCTCACCAAGCCCCATTGCTGATAGTCAAGAGATGGACTGCCTCCTAAGAAAACCGTATGCAGAGATTTTCAGTCACAATGCAGAACACTACTTTTTGCATATTATTTAGCATACTTGATAAGAACACAAACATATGCTTTTAGAACCAGGCAGAAATATTTTCTTCGACAGAAAATCTTTTCAATGTATTATTATAATCAACAAAGCAGGAAGATCCAAATATAACTTTCAAAAACTAAAAGCTGATTTCCATCCTCCAGAATCAACCTGAATTTAAGTGTGGCTAAAAAACCGTAGCTCCCATTTAAAGAAATATTGTCTATATTTCTTTCTTACTTACTTTGTAATAAAAAATAACTGTCTGTTTCAACAACAGGAAAGTGTAGAATGGTGAACTGCAGAGCCAATGTGACCAAAGAGTATTGTTCATTGTTAGTGCTCTATATATGTAATTAAAGCTGTTATACTCAGTAGGACTTCTGAGTAGCCATATACAGGATTGTGCTGTAAAATACACAGGCAGTGTGAAACTTTCTATGGTCTGAAATGACTGCTTCAAGTGAAGATGTGATAAAGGGTGCTCCTAAATCCAGTTTTGTCACTGGAGGTGCAGGTGTCCTCATTGGCTAGAAACGCATTTTACTAGCTTCATCTGCTACGACAGCTATGGCCATTCCTGGATTGTGATAGCTTGAACACAGTTATTTATGCATCAGTAACCTCAAGGTTGGATTACTGCAATGTGGGGCTACCCTTGAACATTTTCTGGAGGTGCAAAACAGTGTGGCTATGCTGCTTGTGGGGTCAAACTACCAGCAGCATATTACACCTTGTTTGCATCATTTGCATAGTCTTCATAATCCAAATCATCCAAAATCATGGTAGAAAGACAAATGTTTTCTAACTAGGCATCCAGGAACACTCTGCTTTGTATCTTCCTAAAACAACAAAATCTGTTTCGTATTTTCCCAAAACAACAAAAGAATCATGCTACAATTGTTACTAAGAAAAGATCACAATGAAGTTTTCTGTTGTTAGCAGAAATGGGTTAATGATAAACTGCCATTCCAATACAGTATTAATTCTTTTTAATGGTACTAACAGAGTAGCCATGAATAGGTAAATGCTATGCATTCATGTATTATCTTACCCCTGTAGTCAGTGCCTGCCTGCTGCCATCACACACCTGTCCTAAATTCTTGGCTACCCTTTACTATCCATCACACACGCTTTTGCAAGTACAAATCAGGGACATATTTGGCACAATTAATAAGCTGAAAGAAATATCTCAACCTGGCAACTAGCAACCAACTCAATATGGTGTGTGGGGAGGGGAAGCCCCATTACACCAGCGTAAGTCCTTCAGGCTTCTGCTAGCAGGATCTCTTAGTGGAATCTGGTGCATTATGTTTCTTTCTCCTTTACAAAATGTACTCATAAGCACTTCTCAGCAAGTCTGTGTCAAGGGGTTTCCCACATTCCCTGAGTCACCCACTCCCCGCTATGAAATTACACTCAAGACTGTCTACAGAAAATCACTTAAGATTGCTTTATTACTTTAATTGTTAAAGACATTCCTTTGATCATGTGGAGTGATGCTATTTGCTTCAAGTATTGTTACCAATCCCTAATTTCAGAGCAACAGGCCCTGTGACCTTTAAATGTAAATATGAATTTTCTAATAGTATTTTAAACACTGAAAACTCTTTTTCATTGATAATACCTGACATCCAATGTTAGCCATGCTCAGAGCAGATTCACTGAAAACAATTAACTTCAGCAACTTATATTCATTGCTTTCAGTGGCGTGACTCATCAAGTATGACTTAGTTTTTTTAGGCCCTCCCCATATCTTGTATTATTCTGCATCTAGATTTGTTACGGAAGAAGTGCAAATGAAACAGTAACATTTTACTGAAAACAATAATACAGAATAAGTGGTTAAAGCAAATAATACTCCATCATTATAAAAGTGATTTACCAATTCAGTGACAGACTGTAACAGAAGTGCTTTTAGTCAGTTCTGTTAAGTTAGACTGTACCATATTTCAGTGTGTTCATCCAATAATATTTTAAAAGCATTAACAATAAGCTTTTTTTATTGCTGATATCAACTTACAAAAATGCAAAAATAAAAAACCACCCAAAACTATGTTGCTATGTAGTTGATCATAAATTATGTTGAAATTTTCCTCAATAAATTGCTTTTGGGTGTTTCCCTCCCCTCCTCAACTGTTTAAACAGATCTTTGCAGGCATATATTTTTCAGTTTTTCAGTTTACGATTATGACAATAGCAGCTGCAAGTTCTCTACATACCAATAGATCACAAGTTCAAGAAGGTCATTCCTTATTCTTTCTCTAGAAAAGTGTCAGCTGCAGATTTCAATATGGAACAGTACTCAAAAGTCATTGATTAAGCCAAATGGAATTTTGAGAAGCCAAGAAACAGGAAAAGAACAATTCTATCCTTGGGTTACGCCTGCTGAGTCGTATAGGATTGGTCCTAAATCACAGCACAAGCACAATGATTCAAAGGAAACATTGTGCTGGGGTAGAAATGAATTTGTGCCAGCCTTACTACAAGAGACCACCACCAGCTTACTTGATACTCTAATAGAACTCCAGCATGACAAGGAGAAAAACTGGTCAGAGTTGAAAAAAATAGCAGGAGAGAAGTGGAATTTAGTTAGAATCCTATGATCACTTAGGGGTCAGTTCAAGTCCCAACTAGATGTAAAGCTACACCTTCAGAAGACATGGGGATCATTAATAACATCCACCTACAAAAGTCTCACAAAGAGAAAAACAGCCGCTGACACCACCCTAGTCTCTCACTCTAGGCTTGCTTTTTATGGTGGCTGGAGCTTCCTCAGGCTGCCCACAGCTGTGCTCCATTAAGCAGGCAGCGGCACTCTTCATTCTCCACATATAGTTCCAGGTGCAGTAGGTTGGGTGAGTTTCCCAAGCGGCCTCAAGGATGGAAAAAAGACAACCCTCCATGCACTGCTCTTTCTCCAGCTGCTTTGAAGTAAGCAAATGCACCCATATAACGGCCACCTTGCATCTCTCTCTGTCATCGTCGTTTTGATGGAGAATATCATTCTGCCAAACTCTACAGGCGATTGTGATACAACATCAGAGATCTTATATATCAAGACATGCTGCGTGACACTGTCTCAGTCTGATCCCAATCTAGAGAAATCTAAGTTAAGGAAATAATAATAATAATAATAATAATAATAATAATAATAATAATAATTTATACTCCGCCCATCTGGCTGGGTTTCCTCAGCCACTCTGGGCGGCTTCCAACAGAATATTAAAATACAATAGTCTATTAAACATTAAAAGCTTCCCTAAACAGGACTGCCTTCAGATGTCTTCTAAAAGTCTAGTAGTTGTTTTTCTCTTTGACATCTGGTGGGAGGGCATTCCACAGGGCGGGTGCCACTACTAAGAAGGCCCTCCTTCAGGTATACTGGACTGAGGCCGTTTAGGGCTTTGAAGGTCAGCACCAACACTTTGAATTGTGCTTGGAACCGTACTGGGAACCAATGGAGGTCTTTCAAGACTGGTGTTATGTGGTTTCGGTGGCCGCTTCCAGTCACCAGTCTAGCTGCCACATTCTGGACTAGTTGTAGTTTCCTGGTCACCTTCAAAGGTAGCCCCACATAGAGTGCATTGCAGTAGTCCAAGTGAGAGATAACTAGAGCATGCACCACTCTGGCGAGACAGTCTGCGGGCAGGTAGGGTCTCAGCCTGCATACCAAATGGAGTTGATAAACAGCTGCCCTGGATACAGAATTGACCTGCGCCTCCATGGACAGCTGAGAGTCAAAAATGACTCCCAGGCTGCGCACCTGGTTCTTCAGGGGCACAGTTACCCCATTCAGGACTAGGGAGTCCTCCACACCTGCTCGCCTCCTGTCCCCCCAAAACAGTACTTCTGTCTTGTCAGGATTCAACCTCAGTCTGTTGATTGTGCAAAGGGATTCTTTTGTGATCATGCAATATAATTAAAGTAGATGAAGGGCTGGTGAATAACACTTGTCTTACAGGTAACCTGCCACTGGATCCTGAATATGATTACTATTATTATTATTATTATTATTATTATTATTACCCAGCCCATTTACGCCCACTTATGCTAGTTACTAAACTAGCAACAGCAGCTTCACTGCTACAGCTGAGGAGGAAAAGGCAGGACACTCCTGCAGGGAAAGAGGTTCATGAGGGAAGAGGAAAACTTGCATGTAGAGTGTGACCCTTGCACATCCTTTATCCTCCTCCACACACAGGTGTGTGAAAGAGAATGTAAGCATTTGTGGCCACAGATTGTGCACTAAACTAAGAACTCTGAACTAGTTGAAGTTTCTACCACACAGAAGATACAGGGATGGTTATATAGCATTGACTAGGGGTGTCCCTGATTCCCCAAAGCCCCCACAATGCACCAGTGAATGCAATGAGGAGAGGTGGTATAAAAAAAACAAAATAATCAATCATCCTTGACTTCTGTCAACTTGATGCTTTTTACACAATGGCTCAGAAACAAAGGAATGGCTAAAACAGCAATACTTAACCCAAGAGATATCCAGCACACTAAGTTTTGGTTACATAATTTGAAGTTTATTTCTTGAGAAAGTCATCTTATTCTAAGATATATTCCCAACCAAAAGGCTACTTGAACATTTACAGAGGCTGAATTTAAATTGAGACATATTTCTCAAAATAGTTTCTCTAGTTTGGAAATCATTAGCAAGTTTTAATTCCTCTGGCTATATTCAGACATAAAGATTTGCCTTTGCTCTGAATTCCTAAACTGTTGGCAGAGAAGAGCTATCATAAGTGAGAGTGTCAAGGAGTTGTAGTACTCAGTTCTGGATGCAGCAGGTTTGAGAACAAGTCTAAACTAAGTGATGCTTCAGCTCAGGATTTGTAGCAGAAGCCTTCAGAAGCCTACCGGTAATTGCTTCACTTCACACCTGATCACTACCAGGCTTTAAAAAAAGGTAAGGGACCCCTGACAGTTAAGTCCAGTCAGGAAAGACTCTGGGGTTGCGGTGCTCATCTCGCTTTACTGGCCGAGGGAGCCAATATTTGTCCGCAGGCAGTTTTTCCGGGTCATGTGGCCAGCATGACTAAGCTGCTTCTCGCGAGACCAGAGCAGCGCACGGAAATGCCATTTACTTTCCCGCTGGAGTGGTACCTATTTATCTACTTGCACTTTGACGTGCTTTCAAACTGCTAGGTTGGCAGAAGCTGGGACAGAGCAATGGGAGCTCACCCCGCCACGGGGATTCAAACTGCTGACCTTCCGATCGGCAAGTCCTAGGCTCAGTGGTTTAGACAATGTGGCATATGGTACTCCAAGGACTTCAGTAGGTATTGCTTGGGGTGAATTAGGGATATTATATTTTAACATATTTTATCACAAATTAAATGCATGCTTTATCTAAATATGCACTAAGTATACATTTTGGTATTTTTTTTTAAGCTGAGAACTGTATTGCAAATATTAAGGTGTGAAATCTGAATGATAAATGGGCTCTTACCTATTTATTTGCTTGTGGGATCAGTTAGTAGATCGAATTGCTTAAAAATAAAGACAGTTTGTTCCAAATGTGCACAGAAGATGAGTGTATGTTGAACTTGTGTAGGTAGAAGTTGAACTGTAGCATGTGCTGCAGGAAAAGCAGGGGGAACCATTTGTGGAAAATGGAGAAGATGCTGAGATCAGGTTCTCTTTCATAGTGAAACCAACTGGTGTTTGGCTTTTACAGTAAAAAGCAGTGGAGGGATATGATATAGTGTGTTGTCAGTTCATCTTACAGTGTGAAGAGTTTCTCTAGTGAATGTGAGCACATGCTGACATAATAGCTGCTTATGAATGTGAAAGCTCTTAGGAGTACATGAAGCTTATACGCACGCATACTCTTCGCGCTCTTTTAGGTGGGACTTATCTACACTCACAAAGTGTTCACTAGTGGAACTTTGTATTGGGACAATGAGAGCTATCCAGAGAACCTTAGGTGCACCAAAATATAACTTAAGAGTCCAGCCCCGTGAAACGTACTCAAAACAACCTTCAGTGAGTCGTTTCTTTCCAGTTAGCAAGCCTGGGATTGCAGTCCTGCACATTAACTACACCCATGGCGAATAGAAAACAAAATCAAACTTTTATGTATTACTGTTTCTGATAACTCTTATAATTTCCTTACATATACAGATGCTGAAAGTTGACTACACTCCTGAAAAGTAAAAGTTCAGATATCTAAGACTCAATGATTTAAAACAACAACAGAGGAGAGATCAAGCTCCATCTACCTGTCAAAGGCGATACTACAAACCTTGACATTGTTAGGAACAGATCCCAGATGATGAATAGCTGCCCTGTTTGTGCATGCCTTTATCACCAGGGTTCCCTCCTTCTCCGGGCCCTTTCCTGTAGTATTCATGCCAACTTGGAGAATGGTAAACAGTGTAAGAATCTGAAGAACTGAATTGCTTCGTTTTGCCTAGCTGTCTCAAAATATTAATGGTGCCTGGGAAAGAAATGTTTATCTGAACTTCTTTCATAACTATTTTTGATAAACATGTTCTTTGTTTTATCTGCTGACAAATGCAGTAAAAGGTAATTCTGAGCTTATGACCTCAAACTGCTCTGATAAGAAAAGCTGTGAAGACAATATTTTGACTTGAGTGCAGAGTTAGCTCAGGGCATTACACAATGATGCCTACATTCCAAAGAACGATATATTGCACAATCCTATTCATGTTTTCTTGGAAATATGACCTACTGTGTCAATGGGGCTTACTTCAAAGTAAGTGTATTTAGGACTGACACCGTAAGATATGAATGCTCCAGCACCTACTATTATGTAGTCCTGCCGTCAAAGGAATGGCATGTTTCACTATGATGTTACAAACTTCTTTGATAATTGAACTCTAGCTCTGCTTTGCTTCTTCTTCTACACACACACACACACACACACACACACACACACACAGATAAACACAAATATTTCACATACAATACTAACACCAATTACAAACATTAAAACACCCTTGTGACTTTCCTCCACCAACATTTGTAGTATTATTGTATTTCACATTGCAATTTACTGTATATCTTTGTTTCTTAACTTCACACTGGAGAGCCAGTGTGGTGTAGTGGTTAAGAGCAGTAGTCTCGTAATCTGGGGAACCGGGTTCGCGTCTCCGCTCCTCCACATGCAGCTGCTGGGTGACCTTGGGCCAGTCACACTTCTTTGAAGTCTCTCAGCCCCACTCACCTCACAGAGTGTTTGTTGTGGGGGAGGAAGGGAAAGGAGAATGTTTAAAAGAGTAGTCCCATATTTCTGAGAGGTTTTTTTGCCTCCATATCTTTGCCCTAAGCAAGCAAAGCAATTGCCACATATACAAGGCAGTGATTTTTGATGATATTACTTTCACACTGCCTTGTCAGTTTCCTTTGTTATTAAAATATGATTAAGTGCTCCAGTGAGAGAAACTGAGATGCACATTTGCCTTTATTTCATGTGTGTACATACAATGCATACATCAGACCCAAAACGTATGTGGGGGTTACGTTCCAGGGATAGCGCATAAAGCCAAAATCACATATAGTGAAAACACATTGGGTGCAATGGTAGGTGAGATTGCCAAAGTCTTTTTTCTCTGTACACCCACCCAGTTTCCATTTTAAAAAAAATTATTGTTGCCAAGCACGTAAAGCTGACAGCGAACAAGTTAAATGCATGTAAGTTACTACTGTACTTTGGCAGACAAAGCTATTACCAGGAAAGCACAGCAGCAGCGCTCCTTTATTTTTTGCTCCATTTGCAATGTACAGTATTCATCCTTTCCCTTCTTGTCCCTTTTTCCTCCTCAGTACCTCTGGAAACCAAAGCTGTTGCAATGGAATCCATTGTTAAAGAGTCAGAGACACGGTGGAACATTTTTCTAACTTTTGAAGTGTGGCACCTTCAAAAAGGGGTCAAAGAGAAACTACAGAAGATTGGTGTGAAGCCATGGAAGGGTTATTTAGTATAAGGGTGTGGGCTCAAATTCACTTAACAAATATTAGTTTTCACCCCTCAGAGAGTCTCACCTGCCTTTTGTTTATGCAGTCAGCATGGTTAAAGGCTGCCAGACTATGGGTTCTTCCCGTTAACTTTTCAATGTATGCATCTCCATACAAGATAATGTGGTCAGTTTTGTATTTGTGGCTTTGATTATAACAGTTATAGAAGTAGAATGGCACTTATTCCAGAATGTAGTTCAGAATAACAGAGGGCAAGCACTCTAAGCAGGGTAGACCTGCTGGGTATCTCCAAAGCGGCTGACGCCACTAGGTCACTGGCTCACACCTTTCCATAGTCAGATAAAGCAAATTCTGACTCACTGATGCTGCAATTCCATACATAAAGGTAAAGGTAAAGGGACCCCTGACCATTAGGTCCAGTCGTGACTGACTATGGGGTTACTTGTTCCCAATGAAACATGGAAAGGATTAGGCTGAACTGGTGTTCAGTCTAATGCAAGTGCATAATCTTGACTAGATTGAAACTGGACATTTAACCATTTTCTGTGTTCTGCCCCACCTTAACAACATTTGCATGTGGAAGTGCAAGAAGATCAAAGGTACATTTCAGCGTAATGTGTGGAAATGGTCTAAGGCTGCAATCTGATGGGTGGAAACGGTCTAAGACGAAACATGCTTACCAGGGAGTAATTCCCATTCACCTCAGTGAGATTTACTCCTAGCACATGTTTGTTCTGTATAAGTCTATGGCTGGCTGTAACATTACAGAGCAATCCTGCCTTTAGTGGCTGTTTCACTGCTGGGCAGGCAGGAGTTATCCCTTTGATTCTTCACTCAAAAGTCACGCCTGCCGAACAGACTCCCAAGAACAAAAACAAGAGCAAGGCCAAGGCCTAAAACCTTAGGCCTTCTCAGAACTTCTTCAACTTCACAAGAAGCTGCTAGCCCTTGCTCTTGTTTTTTGTTCTTGGGAGTCTGTTGCTCTTGGCATGACACTTGGCGAGAGCGAAGAATGAAAAGGTGAACTGGCAACGGAAAAACTCCCAAGTGCCTATACGACTGCTCTGTAAATCCTGCTCAGACCGCTGGCATTTCACATTTGAGGGTGAAGCAGAGGGCTTGCTTTTGTGGAGATCAGAGGGAGATGAGTTCAGCTTACATACTGATGGAGAGGCACAGCAAAACACACATCTCTGAGCCTCAGCCGCAATACGCACGAACTCACCCACCCAGACCCGGCCCCAGTCTTTTAAGCCTAAATGGATGAGCAATTTGGTCCCTTCGATTTTCTGTGAGAGGGGAGAAGCCTCCAAGTAGAGCGGATCTTCCTCTCATCGAAGTCCACCCCCAGCCTAATTTTAGACATGCTTACTCCTAATGACTTTCGTGGAGCTTCCTTTCAACTTATCTCTCCAAGCCAGGATGCTCCTGAAGTTCTGGCGCTTTCCTATCCCGGGGCTTCATTGTCTGCGCCTAAGTTCAGGAGGGAAGGTTGAACCCAAGGGCGCCACCCACCCATTTCCACACACCCCACCCCCCGCTCAACGAACCACCGGCTCTGCCTCAGCTGTCAAGATAACTTGCCTCTGGGCATCTGCAGACCGCGCTGGCCTTGCCCTCCGCGCATTTCACCGCCATCCAAACCCAGCAACGCCCCCAAACCCCGAGCAGGGCCGAGGAAAGTTCCCCAGCTACGAGGATGCCCGGCCGGCCATTTCTGCCGTCGGGAGTGGTGGTGGTGGGTTTCTCCAGCGCTTACCTCTCCCCCAGCTGCCCGTTGCGCAGACCTCACTCCATGGCGGCGGCAGGAGGTCGACCCCCGCGCTCTAGACCCGGCCGCCTCCGCGCCTACTAGCGCTGCCTCCCGGAGTCAAGCGCTCATTCCGGGCGGGCGAAGAAGCGAAGTCGTGGCCCCTCAGCGCGCGCGGTGGATGCTCGCTCGGGCGGGTGGCGGGACGGACGGAAGACTACGGGGCCGCGCCGAGCGGCAAAAGGGCTTTTGCAGGCGCCTCAGCTCCGCCAGAGGGAGGAGACCGCAACGTCACCGGAGAAGGGGGAAAGGGGCGAGGAGCCCCTTAGTCCCACCTCCCGCCCGGATCCCTTTCTCTGCTGCTGCTTCTGCAGTGGTTGCTCTTCTTTTGCAGTTGAGGCGTCGCCCGCGCGCTTCGAACTCCTTTGAAGTTGTTTTCCCTCCAAAAGAGCAAGCGCCCGGGCAGGCTTCTCTGGGTGACTGAGGCCGTGCAGCGCCTCATTTAGTCAGCCCCTGAGGGGACGGCTGGATTTGTCCCCCTCCTCGTCCCGCGCTGTCTTGCAAAGAGGAAAAAAGCTTCCTCCCAACAAGCGCCTGCTCCCCTCCCTTTGGTAGCTGGGGATGTGAACACTTCTACAGGCCTATAAGATAACTTTTTTTAAAGTGCGCGCTCAACACAAGAGCTCAGTCGGCGCAAAAATCCCCCAACTCCTCTGGACTGACTTTCCTGCACAAGCACAGGCTTTTCTGAATGTTTGAGGACCTCCCTCCCCCCATTTATTTACTCGCCCTCTGTGGAGAAAAGCGCCCCTCAGAAGTCAACAACAAGCAACCTTCCCCTGATAGTAAATAGGATTGCCGTCTTCCTCAGGGCGGCTGTAATTCAGGTGGAACCAGGGGGGAGATGGAGCATTCTGACTTCAAAGGGGAAGATGGTATCTCCCTCCCTGTTTTCTACACAGAAGCAGGTCAAACTGACAGCTGACTCTTACTTCAATGCTGGCAAATGGTGTCCTCTGCTACTTGAGGGGAGAAGTCTACTTTAGGGAAGGTTATCTGGCTCCACACACAGTTCCACATTCCCAACACCACCTTGTCACAACTGACATCCATCTGCCCAGTAGTAGAGCCGATGATTCACCCCTACAGCCAAGCTAGTTGGGTGGCAAGGCTTTTCCCCACGTGTCACTTCCTCCACACCCAAATGTGGTAAATGTGAAGGGGTCGGTGGGTGGGAAGCATCCATTTCCATAGCCACCGTTTGGCCCATAGCCTTCCTGTTGCTGACATGTCCTTGTAAGGTATGTATACCATGGGTGCTCCCCACCTCCAAGCCACATGAGCAGCTCTGCAACAAAGAATGCTGACAAGCTGATCCTATGGATGTTTATGCAGAAGCAAGTCCCTCTAACTTCAGTTTACTAATTTGTTTCATGCTCATCAACACCAGTAGGTGACTGGCACTGTGAGATCTAGGTTTCATGCTCAAATTTCAAAGTGGAAGCATTTTAGCAGCATAGATTAGCTGTGTGGAAAGACAGTACTTTGCATAGACCAGGGAGGACCCACTGTGGGTTGCTTGCTCCAGGTCCCATACAAACCTAGTTTTAAAGGCTTTTAAAATATATAGGCATAGCTAAAACAAAACAAAAACATGTCAAAGACACTAAGTCCAGAGGTAGTACCCCAGTACCAGATGCTGGGCACAAATAACAGGAGAAAGGATATTGACCTCCAACAGGTCCTGATGAAAAGATGGACAGGGTGGGGAAAGAATAAAATTAATTTGGGCTTTGTTTTCCTCTTCCCTCTTCGCCTCCTCTGCCATGACCATATTTCAATATAGAAAGTTGGGTATAAATTAAAAAAAAGATAAATAATGTGTCATTAAAGACGCAAAAACAAAACAAAACAAAAACAGTTTCTACTACTCAGTAGTATCTTTGCAGTTTCTTATTCTAGCCTATTTCTGGCTTTAAGTGTTAAAACAAGTTCGGATAGGAAAACAAACTGGAAGCCAGTGTAGCTGTTTGAACTGCAGTCTTATCAACTCATTTAGATAGCTAAGCAGCCTGTTTCGTTTTGACTTAAGTGAAGTTTCTGGACAGTCTTGGAAGTCATCTGGTCTAACCTCGTGCACTGTTCAATAAAGCCATTGCAATGTGGGATGACAGAGTCAATAATTATTATTTGGGGGGCATCACCCACAATCAGAAGAAATGTGATTATTATTATCAGTATAAAAAGGAAACTGATAAGTGTGATAGAAGAGAGTTAGCTACTAAGGCAGAAGATGCCTGGAAAAAGACTACAAAGCTGAACTGAGGAATACAAAGTGACTTGGCTAGGGAAACAGCCTAGAATAGGTATAGCTAGTTGTTTATTTTTTGCACTTATGCATAACTAACTGTAAAATTAACTTTTCTCTACCCTGTTTTCTCAAACTGTTTTATTAATAAACCCTTAAGTAAAAGCATTGTTTGTTTTTTAGGGGTAGAGATGGGAAATGGTCTGAGGTCTTGTTCTTCACCTCAGGCCTAGGTGTTAAACCACTTTATACAGTACCGAGTGTAGGATGGGCTGGTTAGTCCACAAGGTTAAAGGGATGCTTAGCAGAGCCAGCCAGAGAAAAATAAAGATACCCACACAGTGGTAGCTGTGAAATTAAGGAGGAGGAGTTGGTTTGGCCGGTTTGCTTGCCTCCCTTCTCTATCATGGTGCAGCCTATATGCTGTCAGACCTAGTAATATTTTATACTTAAGACAGACAGGGACAAAACAACAGGAAAAGTAAATAAAAATAATAAAATGGAAGGCATGGCATGGCATTTTAGGAAAGGATTGGTTTAGACTGGGATAAGAAAAGGTTTAGGTCACACAAGCAAAACCAAACCACCAGCTGCACAAACTCTTTTAAGCATTGCTGCTACTTAGAGAATAAGCTTGCAAAGATCAGCAAAAAATAAATAAATGCTGAACAGCTTCTGATATCTTGTTGTAATATCCCTCCCCAAAAGCACTATGGTTTTAAAGTCTTTCTTTTATTAGAAACTAGAGTTATCAGTTTTCAGTTAGCCTTCTCTCTCTGTTTTTGCTGCCTGGCATTTTTCTTTTAAAACTTGTGCAAGATGAAAACACGTATCCATTTGAGTTTCCAAAATCTACTATCTGAACCCTCACTGAATCAGGCTACTTTGGTTCTCTGTTCAGGCTCTCATTTACATGCACAACACAGAAGCATATGAAAGATATGACTAACCTATTCTTTTTCTTGAAAAAAAAACCCCCAAATACCAGTGTAAAATAAATTGCGTTTATATTTAGTGGTTTAGAAGTTTGCTTCCCCTTTTCTAACTATAAATTTGCATGAGAAGAAAATAGAAAACAAATTCTTCTGAGAAATCTATTTCCCCTACTTCCTATCTCCTATTCTAAATGCACACTTCTTATTTCTCCACAGTATTTGTCCTGTAGTTATTTCCTTGTGCTTTGTTGAAACACTATTGTCTGCTTTTCATGCACAAATGCAAGTATTTAAAGGCTAGAACCTAGCACCTTGAATTGAGCCTGGAACAAGATGATGTCCAGCAGAGCTCTTTCGAGACTCGTATGACGTGACCTAGTCCTGTTGCTGTTTCTGAACCAGCTGAAGCTTCCAGATAATTACCAGGGGCTGCCCCCAAATACAACATGTTTCAGTAATCCAGCCTGGATGTCACTAGAACATATCTAAATATTTTCCTTTCATTTGTTGCCTATAAAATCATCACCTCAATTTATAGAGCTGTAAATGCAAGTAAATTGCCTTATACTTTTCAGTCTTCTCTCTCTCTGTGTGTGTGATTCAAGCTCATAGCTGCATTGTGACCTAAAACCCTCAAGTCCTGCCTACTTTTTCACCGACGTGCATACCCCTCATACTTTCATTATTCCCTGCAGCTTAGTTTATTCTGCCTTGCTGTAGATCCAAAATAGTGTTAAGTGCAAGGAAAGCCCGTAGCAAGTTTTTCTTGAGGCCTCTTCTTGTGAAATTTAACCCACTGTTTTACATTTCCCTCTGGGTTCTTTTTCTTTTTTTGGCTCTCTCTCTCTCCCACCCCCTTTCCCGCTCTGTCTCGACAAAGTCTAAGGAAGCCCGAGGCCAACAGTTAGTCAGTTGGAGCGAAATATCACAGCACATTTTACAGGCAGGAGTAAACTGCCACATCAGCAGGCTCAGTAATGGAGGAAGGTGAAAACAGTTAAGGAGTTCTGGCAAAAGATCCAACTCCATTCTGAAAGAATAACGTTTCAACAGCTGGCCTGTGATAGTCTGGATAAAAGTGTGTACTTAAGCATTGTTTCCTCTGAGATTCTCATTCTATGGTACTAAATAGGAAAAACGTTCTAAGGCAACTTCCTGCTATCTCACATTCAGTGTTTTTATACTCCTTTTGTTTTGGCTACTAGCTATTGGAAAGCTGAGAGATGCTGACAGGACGGAGCTGACAATTCCTAAAGCTGGTTCTCCCGCTTAATCTTTCTATCCTATCCTCCCAAAGCAACTGTGTCCTACAGATCCTGAGAAAGAGGTAAGGAATATCAGTTTAAACCTCTTTCCAGCTTGGAACTGGCATCACAAGAGGGGAAGCAAGCTGCAGGAGAAGCACCATTTACCTATTTGAAGCACACCCTATCACTCATCTTAAATCAAGCCCTATCTCATAACCTGAACCTCAGCCCTATCATCTCAAATCAAACTCCTATCTAACTCTCGCGTTCAGAAACTGCTCCTTTTATCCTTCCCCCCAAAGTGCTGTTCCTCCCCACTCTGTGGCTAGCTGAGTGTAGACGACCAGAGAGAGGCTCCAGCACTCTGGTGGAATTTCAGAGGGACTCCATCACCAGACTCTGGTTTGATTCTGCTGTCCGTCACCATGAGCATTGCCATTAAAATGGTGTATGAGCACTACCTCATGTGATTATGCGGGGTGGGACTTACCTGCCCCCCCCCCATTATTTTATTCAAGTTGGTCCCCTGGCAGCCAGGAAGGTTTGCATGGGAGATGTGCCCCCAAACCTTTGCAGGCACAAACAGTATAGAAAGTGAGATCACATGTGACTGCCCCAATAGCTAGCATCATGAGCACAAATAACCATGAAAGCACAATAAACAGGATGTCTGGAGGGGCCCTAAGGGTTTTTCTAAGATTTCAGAAAGACAACTCTTGGGTGTGACATAGAACTCTTGGCCACAATGTTTTGAAATCTGTTGATGGTCCAGAGGGGCAGGAAAGCTTTAAAAAGTAGTACAGTGTCTATCAGCACTTGACACAATGAGATTACATTTCCTGTGGCAGTTGCACACTAGTTTGTAAGAGCTCCTCATCAAAATGGCATGCCAGCAACTTCTGTTAGAACACAGATATACACGCGGTGTGGCTCCTCACAGAGCTTTGTTTATATACATATCTTCTGAAATAACATAACTCACTTTGGTCCCTGATCTGTTTAGCAGTCAAAAGGCTGAAGTGTCTTGAAAGAGAAGAGACTCACTATAATTAGGGGCTCTTATTTAACTTCA